CAATATGGTACAATTTGGATCTGAACGCAGTATCATTGCGCCTGGCGGAGGTGGGGTGGGGAGAGCTGTAAAAAGGATTTACAGAGCGGAACTGCCCATCTATCATTCTGGTCTCATGCAGAACGTAATCGCAACTCAAGCATGAAACATTTCCTGACAGGATATTTATGCTCTTATCACAATGTCATCTGGTCAACTTGACGACACTCGCACAGACAGGACTGAATAAAAACACAGCACTTTGCGGGTTAACCAGACAGACACCAACCCCCGATCGTATGCATCATCCTTCAGGCGAGAAGTTAAACCGAAGCGGATGCTAAAGATCCCATGGCACTATTTCAAAAGAGAAGGAAGTTTCCCTCTCTCTCTCTCCCGGTGTCCTGGTTGACAATCCCCAGATAAAATCAGTCTCTCACTCCATGGCCATTTGTGGAACATTACTGAGCGTAAATTTGACTGTCCCCTACAAAGTACACTATCATCATTCATAATAAATAATAATAATCCTTGCATTTGATACAGCGCCTTATCACTTCTTCTAGACGTCTCAAAGCGCTTCACGGGATACACTGTAAAGTGAATTGACTATATTTGTGGGTGAAACGCGACAGCCAATTGCACACAGCAGCGTCCGCACAAACAGTCGTGGATTGAAGTGACCAATTTATTATTGTTATTTTTCCTGAGGGATTATTATCAGGGGTGTGGAGTAAGGAAACTCGCCCAAGGTTTCGCCCTGAACTGCCGGGAATCAAACCCAGGTCTCTCGCTTGCAAAGCGAGTGCTCTAACCACTGAGACACAGTACTCCACTACACCTGGTAGAAAACTCTTAATAATAATAATAGTAGTAATAATAATCCTCACATTTGATATAGCGCTTTATCATGTTGTCGAGATGTCTGGCCGACAATCCGCCAGATGAAATCAATCATTCATCTCACAGGGTTGCCTGGGGCTTTTGCCCACAAAATACACAGTCACTACACTTCACAGTAAAATGTTGAGAAGCGTTCTTGATTGCCATCTCGACGACGCGATAAGGCACCGTGTCAAACGCAAGGATTATAATTAGATTATTAATAACAATAATAATCATTGTTGTGTTTGATATGGCGTCTCATCGTGCCTTATGACGGTGTGTTATGTGGGCGAAAATTAAATGAAGCACTTGCGTTGGATCCAATGCGAGGATAATTAGTATTACTGTTATTATTTTATTATTATTAAGCTTTCGTTCAGCAAACGGATTGTGACAGAATTGCTCACGCAGATGCTTCTTAATCAATAGCAGGTCAGCTTTACGAGCAGCAAAACCGGTTACTGCTTTGCAAAATAAAGAGAGCGATGTTTCCACACTGGCCTGGATTTCAAATCAATATTCCCCATTCTTGGACTCGGAAGGGGTTTATAGCAGGGAGAGAGGGGAGGGGGGTTGTGTAGGGTGGGGAGGGGGTGGGGTGGGAGGCAAGAAAAAAAGCTCCCACATGGTTCTCCAATCATAAATTCCTGCTGTAATGTTTTGAGTCAAAGCCACCACTTTACCTGTCTCAGACAAGGACGCTCACTTGCTTGTGAGACCCCTTCTGGGAATCGCGTTATTTCCACATGATCGCTCCTGGAAAGTCCATCTGCTGCTGTATCCCAAAAGGCAAGACTCGGAGAGTGTTTATCCCGGATCCTTCAGCAACCAGAATGCCTTCCAGGAGGCGAGCAACAGGTCCAAGGTTCAGGGTAAATGGTCAGGGCAGATGCCAGGAAGTATTTCTTTACACAGAGGTGGGATGATGTGTGTGTGTGTGTGGCCACTGGGGGCGCTCTGTGTGTGTGTGTTGGGGGAAATAATAATAATCGTTGTATTTGATGCAGCGCCTTATCAAGTCATTGAGACGCCTCAAAGCGCTTCACAGAATGTACTGTAAAGTGAATTGACTGTATATTTTGTGGACGAAAATTGCACACAGCACCGTCCCACAAACAGTCGTGGATTGAGTGACCAATTTATTATTATTTATTTTTAAGGGATTACTACTCCCGGAAAGTGATCCGCCAATTGACTAACAACCGGGTTCCTACTCGCTGCTGGTAGACAGAGGTGTGTGGAGTAAGGAAACTTGGTTTTGCCCCGCCCGGGCATCAAACCCGGGTCCTCTCGCTTGCGAGGCGAGTGTCTAACCCCTGAGCTACAGGACTCCAATCAATGGTGCAATATGGGCTATTATCAGGAAGGGCATTAGATGTCAAGATATTTGATTCATCCAGCAGATGGGAGGGGGCTATTTTGGAGGGATGAGACCAAATAGGTAAACGGCCTTTTTCACCCAAATCTTGTGCTCGGGTTGTGGGGGAGAGGGTGGGGGGAGGGTGCTGCAACGTCTGTGGTGCGCTGTTCGGAGAAGAAGTTAAACCGAGGTCCTGTGTGGGACCTACTCCCCTGGAATGCTAATGATCCTGTGGCACTATTTGAAAAGGTTTCTTGTCTGGTGTCTTGGTCGACAATCCCCCAGATAGAATTGGTCACTCACTCCATGTGAGGACGTTGCTGTGTGCAAATTGGCTGCTTCATTCACCTACAAATACAGTCATTGCACTTTACGGTAAAACCCTGTGAAGCACTTTCAGACGTCCTCCCATTGGCAAAGGTTCTGTGTATTAAATGCAAGGATTTCATATCACCTGTGATCACCATATGGCACATTCTCGCTCTCTGCTGTTAGCTCTGCAGCACTGCAAATGAATTCAATTCACGAATAGCAAATGATAATAATCCTGGCATTTGATACAGCGCCTTATCACGTCTTTGAGATGTTTCAAAGCGCTTCACAGGATACGCTGTAACGTGAATCAACTATATATTTTGTGGGCGAAACATGGCAGCCAATTGCGCACAGCAGCGTCCCCCAAACAGTTGTGGACTGAGTGACCAAATTATTATTATTTTATTTTAATATGCCCGAAACAGCGATCCACAACTGGGTTCCTACTCACTGCTGGTAAACAGAGGTGTGCGGAGTAAGGAAACTTGACTAAGGTGGGGGGGGTTGGGGGGGAATAATGAGGGAGAATGAATTCAGGCAAACCAGAAAACACTCAAATTATTTCTAGCTCGGAATTTGTTTTTAAAGAAAAAATGTAAATGAATTGTTAAAATATTCCATATATTTACATTTGCCTCTCGGGTCAGGGGGATGTCTCAAAGCTCTTCACAGGATTCACTTGGACAAACGCAGCAGACAATTTGCGCTCAGCAATGTCCCCACAAACATCCAAGAAGTGAGTGACAGGGTCTGTTTAGGGGATGGTTGGCCAGGACACCAGGAGAGAGAAACTCCCTTCCCTTTTTGAATAGTGCCGTGGGATCTTTAAAGCCTCCTCCACAGGCAACTGGGACCTCAACAACAACAACAAGATTCCATTTATAGAGTGCCTTTCATGTCGGGAGGACGTCCCAAGGCGCTGTACAGTTGGGTCAGGACCCGAGCAGGGGGGAAATGGTCAGGGTGAGGGGAGGGAAGGGAGGGAGCGAGGAGGGGGTAGAGAGTCGAGAGGGGAGCTGAAGGCACGGTCAAAGAGATCTCGGTTTAACATCTCATCCAAAAGGCACCACCTCCAACAGTGCAGCTTTCCCCCAGCACTGCATTGGAGCGTCACTTTATGCAGTGCAGGGATTATTGAACCCACAACCTTCTGACTCAGAGACGAGAGAGAGGGCTACCACTGAGCCAGGCTGACACACGCAGTCGGTCACACACACGCAACAACAACAACAAGATTACATCTGTATAGCGCCTTTCACGTCGGGAGGAGGTCTCAACGCACAGGACTCTGCACAGGAAAAAAGTGTGGATAACACTCAAGGCAACTGCAAATGGAGGAGTGAATTACAGTCTGATATCACCACCCAGTGGCCAAAGATTATTAATAATCCATACATTTCATTCAGCAAAACTACATTCAATTGTCAGTTTAGACTATACCAGTGTCAAGTCTTGTCAAGGCTGTAATATAACAAGATCCAAACATCTCCTCCGGCATTCGCTCTCAAGGTTTTACTTTATTGAAATCCGCAAATTGAGTTTAAAAGTTCAAGAGAGAGAAGACACACAGACTGAAGAATCTGATGAGGTAAATTTTAACAACAATAATCCCTGCATTCAACATAGCGCCCTTACCACGTCGCTGAGACTGGGTAAAGCGTAGTGTGTATTTTGTGGGCGAAAGGTAGTGGCCCAATTGCGCACAGTGTCGCAGAAACAGTCGTGGATTGAGTGACCACATTTTTGCAATGTCCCACAAACCGCATGGAATGGGGGACCAATTTTATTTGGGGATTGTTGGTCAGGACTCCAGGAGAGAGAGAGAGAAACTCCCTTCTCTTTTTGAATAGTGCCTCGGGATCTTTAACATCCACCTCAGTTTAACGTCTAACCCAAAGGAGGGAATCTCTTAAAATTCCCCCAGCGCTGCACTGGAGCCTCAGCTGAGACTGCGTTGACTCCAAGTCTCGATGTGGGGGTTGAACCCACAACCTTCTGAGTCAGAGGCGAGAGAGAGAGAGAGAGAGAGAGAGAGAGAGAGAGAGAGAGCGACACCCACTGAGCCGGGCTGACAGATAGATAATCTAGAATACTGGGTCTCAACCTGGGGCACTGTTCTCTTTTGCGTATAGAGCCGCAGGAGCAATACAATATGGGACTCGACGTGAGATGGAGGGGCAGGAGGGGGCTATATCTTCCCCCCAATCCACTCCCACAGTCTCTGTCCCCCCCCTCCCCCCCCGTTGAGAAACGTCCATGACCCTCGTAATCCTTGCACAAAACATAAATAAGTAGATTAATAATAATAATACTGATTTGGTCACCCGGCCCACGCCTGTTTGTGGGACGCTGCTGTGCGCAATTGGCTGCCGCGTTTCGCTCACAAAATACAGTGACTGCACTTTACAGTGTATCCTGTGAAGCACTTTGAGACGTCTTGAAGTTGTGATAAGACGCTATATCAAATTCCAGGATTATTATTATTGTTATAGGCAATATTTTATCCTGATTTCCCAGTACTGTTGTCGGGTAGAGCCTGAGACCCTGATGACCGTCTCCTGATTGGCTCAGGCGGGCGGGGGGTTAGGGGGAGGGGTTGTGTGTCGCCTGTATTGCTCAGTGGATAATGAAGTGGGGAGTGGCTCGTGGGCCGGATGCGGCCCGCGGGCCGCCAATTGGACCAGGTGATGAAGTCCAGAGCAACAATGAAGCTTTCTGGTAGTTAACCTTCTGATCCAGACTCCTCGTGGCATCCACAGAATGGGAAGGTCCCACAGCAAGGCTGCAGCCAGGGCCTCCACAGGATGTTCCTCCAGGACAGTTGTTGTGGCACCGAGCTCAGGGTCCTGCGGTGCTGCTCCACGGCTGCTCCGATCTCCGCCAGGATTCCCTGGAAATCGGGCTCCGACTCGGACGACAAGGGGGACACCTCCGAGGGGTCCTTTGAGAGATCGAAGAGCAACGGCGGGCTGTGGCGGGTGACCTGGGTGCCCCAACAAGGGCACACTCCAGACTGGTGACACCCGCCCGAGCCATTGGGGCTGAACACGGGAGTGAAATAGTGGGCCTTCCACACGGAGTCACCTGGAACCTCACACACGCGCACCACACATACACGTACATACACCACACACGTGCATACACATACATACACCACACACATGCACATACATGTACATACACGTACATACACGCCACATAAACACACACAACACACACCACATATACCACACACGTGCACACCACATATATACATACACATACATACCACAGACACACACACACATATACACACACACCACATACCCACACGCACCACACATACATACACACACACACAAACACATATCCAAAATGAAAAGAAGGCAAAGGTGAGGTGGAAGAAGAGAACCTTCCTGGTCTGTGTGGACAAGCTTTCAGACCCTCTACCAACCGCCCCAACCTCCACCACCCCCCCACCCCCACACACACACTCAAATGCCTTCCCCATATTTCAAGTCTGTGTCAAGGTTTCATTGCTCGATGATGCTTTCAGTCTGTTTTCTTTTACCCCCACTATACAGACAACCCCTCCAGCTCCTACAGACACCCCCACCTCCCACCTCCCACCCCCCAGCCACATCCCCGACTCGGGCCCAGCCAGTTGTACAAAGCTTTTTGAGACATCCTCCCGACGTGTGAGTGTAATTTGTATTATACTGTAAGGAGGAAGAAAATCAAGTCTTTGAAGACTGACAGCCCAGTCTAGGAATTGGTATGTTTTTAATGGCTGTTTCTTTGTAGTCAATATTAATAATAATCTTTGCAATTCAGCTCCCGTTAACCCTCCAAGCCAAAGCCCTAACAGAAACGGGGGTCCGAGCTGGACAAGCAAGTGGGAGAGCTTGCCAGCCAATGCTCTCAATGTCAAGCTAGGCGGTTTACAACAACAACAACAACAAGATTGCATTTATAGAGCGCCTTTCACATCGGGAGGACGTCCCAAGGCACTGGACAGTTGGGTTGGGACTGATTAGCTGGTTAGACTCCAGCAAATACCCCAATACATCCCCAACCTGAGCCTAATACTCTAATACTCTCTAGGATTAGGTAAGCAGGATGAGTCCCTCTAGAGAGAGAGAGAGAGCGAGTGCACATTCCATCCCAGATATACAGGACTCTCCATGTGTGGGTGGAGAACACACGTGGGAATCTCAGTCTGCTGTGGAAACTCTTAAGAACGGCGCAACACCTGGAGAGAACTAATCCTTGCCCTGAAACTGCAGGTGGGTGGGTCGGTGACCAGGGGACATAGATTTAAGATAATTGGCAAAAGAACCAGAGGGGAGATGAAGAGAATTTTTTTTACTCAGAGAGTTGTTACGGTCTGGAACAAACGGCCTGACAGGGTCGGTGGAAACTGAAAAAGTAACAGCTTTCAAAAGGAAATTGGATCGGGACTTGAAGAGGAAAAATTTGCAAGGATGTGGGGAAAAGCAGGGGAGTGGGAGTAGTTGGTAGCTCTTCTAAAGAGCCGGCACAGGCAGGATGGGCCAAGTGGCCTCCCTCTGCGCTGTAATATTCCATGATATTACATATCATATCCTGTAGCTCAGTGGTTAGAGCACTCATCTTGCAAGCGAGAGACGTGAGTTTGATTCCCAAGCAGAGCAAGTTTCCTTACTCCCCACGCCTCTGTTTACCAGCAGTGAGTAGGAATCCGGTTGTTAGTCGATTAGCGGATTGCTTTTCTGGGGGTAATAATGCCTTAAGTAAAATATAATAATTTGGTCGCTCAAACCACGGCTGTTTGTGGGACAGACGCTGCTGTGCGCAATTGGCTGCCGCGTTTCGCCCACAAAACACACAGTCAATTCACTTTACAGTATATTCTGTGAAGCGCTTTGAGACGTCTCGAAGAAGTGATAAGGCGCTCTATCAAATGCCAGGATTCTTCTTCTTAATATTATTATTATGATTTCTATGATTTTACTCTATGATTGACTTACTTGCTCTGGGGTGCCAGCGGACAGCATGTAACTCGTTCCCACAGTAATGGAACAGGAACTCGTGCTCTGAGCGACGGACTTTGGCTTCCAAGAGTGGCATCAAGTCCCGTCCGTCTATCACCCTAGTGAGGGGCAAACAGCAACAACAACACGTTACGTTTGCAGAATGCGTTTCATTTTACATAGCGCCTTTCACATCCCAAAGGCATCCCATAGCGGGCCATGATCAGACCAATTCTAAAACAGAACCAAAACAAGGGGCATCATCTTAAAATTAGAGCTGGGCCATTTATAATAATAATAATAATCCTTCCATTTGATATAGCGCTTTTCACGTCGGGAGGACGTCCCAAAGCGCTTCACAGAACACACTGTAAAGTGAATTGACTGTATATTTGTGGGCGAACGCGGCAGTCAATTGTGCACAGCAATGTCCCCCAAACAGTCGTGGATTGAAAATGACCAATTTATTATTGTTTTTGGTTTTGGAGGATTATTATTAGGCTCTGTGTGGAGTAAGGAAACTTGCCCAAGGTTTCACCCTCTGCCTGGAATTGAACTCAGGTCTCTCACTTGCAAAGCGAGTGCTCTAACCACTGAGCTACAGGACTCCACTCCACTCCATTTAGGAGTGAAATCAGGGGCAGGTTTTCACCCAAAGGCCGGTGGGGATCTGGAACTCTCTCCCACAAAAGGCTGTGGATTCTGTGTGGATCCATTCACATTGTCCAGACTGAGGGGGAGAGATGTTTGTCAGGTCAGGGGATCAGGGGATATGGGGCAAAGGGGGTAATTGGAGTGGAGGTACAGATCAGCCGTGATCTTATAGAATGGGGGAACAGCCTCAAGGGACTGAATGGCCTCCTCCTGTCTCTATGTTTCTGAAACGAATGGCAGCCTCACTCTCCCCCCACACTCTCCACTGCAATTCACATGGAAAATCACAAATCTGCTCTGAAAATTATCCATAGAATTGAGTGGGAGGGGAAGGAGGAGTTGGATGGACAGTGACAATAAACGTAGAGGTATATTAGTTGGTAATTGAGTGGAATGGATGGAAGGAAGGAGGGATAATATTTAATAATAATAAACCTTGCATTTGATATAGCACTTTACCACGTCTTTCAAACGTCTCAATCGAATAAATTTAATAAATTTAATTCACTTCACAGCTGCTTGTTGGACATTGCTGTTGCCATGTGTATATGTATGTCTGTGTGTATGTGTGTGTGTGTGTATATGTTATTATAATAATCCTTGCACTTGATATAGTGCCTTATCATGTCTTTGAGACGTCTCAAAGTGCTTCACGGAATATAAGGTTTTGCACCTGAGAATTGAAGAGATGGAAGATGGAGGGAAGGATGGTTCGAGGGATGGAGGGAGGGAGCGAGGGAATGAGGGAGGGAAGGATGGAGGTAGGGAGGAGGGAGGGAGGGATGGGTTACAATGATCAGCGTCTGGACAAAGGGGGAGAGGTGGAAATCGAATGAAGCATGTACCTGTCCTGGGGCAGATGGGCACCAGCCAGGTTGGCCAGGGTTGGGTAGATGTCCATGAGGCTGGTGGGTTCATCAATCGTTCGACCTGCAGTGAGGACTCCTGGCCACCGGAATAACCCCGGGACCCGAATACCTCCCTCCCAGCCAGCCATCCCCTTCCCACCTGCAGTGCAGCAACATACGACACAATACTGTACAATTATACAACGCCTTTCACATCGGGAACTGGATCAATACCTAAAAAAGGACTTCCCAAAGCACGTTCACAGTCCTGGCCAGGCAGGGCGAAACCGTAGGCAACTTTCCTTACTCCACCCCACGCCTCTGTTTATCCAGCAGTGGTTGTTAGTCGATTGGGGGATCAAAACCAAATGAAATAGAATTCTGATAGAAATAATATCTGGAGGATACAGTATATAGTTTGGGTCACGACATGTCAAGCGACTGCCAGGTTGGTGGAAGGCGAACTAGATGGATCTTAGTCTTCTATTGCCAGCAAATTCTTATGTTTTTATATTGGAAAGAACAGGGAAATGCGAGTTATACTGGAAGAGAGAGCAGGAAATGGGGTTAGAGTAGAGAGCTCCAGTGGGAGCGAACACCAGCACAGATACGATGGGGGAAAAGATGGACTACACTATGCGTTACCACGTACACACGTTGCTTTGTTTGTTACGCATTGTAGTCTTGCAAAACAACAGGGCAACAACTTTCTTGATCAGTACATTTCCAGCCCAACGAGGAACGAGGAAGGAAGCAGTGCTAGATCTAGTTCTGGGGAATGCAGTAGGACAAGTGGAGCAGGTTTCAGTGGGAGAGCATCTGGGCAATAGTGATCACAACATCATTAGATTCAGAGTACATATGGAAAGAGACAAGGAACCATGTAAGGTGAAGATACTCAACTGGAAGAGGACAAATTTCAGTGACTTAAAAAGGGACCGGGCCAAGGTGGACTGGAAAGAAAGATTGGCAGGTAAAACAACTAAAGAGCAGTGGGAAGTCTTCAAGGATGAGATAGCTCAGGGACAGAATAAATACATTCCCACAAAAGGGAAAAGTAGGGCTTCCAAACCTCCGTGGATGACGAAGGTAATTGTATCTGGAATGAAGCAGAAAAAGGAGGTGTATGACAGATGTCAAACCTAAGATACAGAAGACAACCAAATAGAATATAGGAAGTGCAGAAGAGGTTTGAAAAAGGAAACAAGAGGTGAAAAAGATTATACGAGAAAGGTTAGTGGGTAACATTAAAGGGAATTCTAAAATATTTTACAAACATATCAAGAAAAAAGATTAGTCAAAGGTAGGGTGGGGCCAATTAAGGACCAAAGGGGAAATCTTATTATGGAGGCAGAGGGTATGGTTGATGTACTGAAAAGAGTCAGCCTAACGGGCAGGTAAATGGGACTGAAAGAATCACTCTTAAAAGAGCCGGAACAGACACGATAATAATAATAGCAATAATAATAATTCTTCATTTGATATAGTGCCTTATCACATCTTCGAGACGTCTCAAAGCACTTCACAGGATACACTGTAAAGTGAAGTGCTGTACATGATGGGCCGAATGGCTTTCTCTGGTTCTATGGGGGGAACGTCTCAGACGAGGATTATTGATGTTTCAGGTGAGGCTTATCGATATTGATATTATAATGATATAATAATAATAATCCTTGCAATTGTTACAGCGCCTGATCACATCTTCGAGATGTCTCAAAGCGCTTCACACAATGGAACGTATTGCCTGAAAGGGCGGTCGAGGCCGATTCGATAACAACTTTTAAAAACGCGGTGGACGGGTATTTGAGGAGGTTGGGTTTGCAGGTTATGGGGAAAGGGCCGGAGAGTGGGATTGACATTACATTGCTCTATTCAAAGAGCTGCACAGACTCGATGGGCCGAATGGCCTCTTTTTGTGCTGTACAATTATATGATTCTATGTTTGTAGATGTGGTATATTGTGCATTACAGTTTAAATGGGTCTGGAGCGAATATACCTTTGTATATCCCATTGCAGTCTCCCAGCCTCTCTCTTATCTCCTCAATGCTGCCACCGTGATCCGAGGTGAAATGGATGAGGGTCCTGTTGGCCAGCCCCAGCTCATCGATGGTGTTGACAATCTGACCTGGAGATAACATTGATAATTACTTTTAAGCATTAATCCCAGGGACTTTATCAGGAAAATGAGGGAGAGCTGATTTCGGAGCATAAAGTTTACTCTGGAACTCTCTTCGTCTATCCCTCCGTCTTGCCCTTTCTTTCCCCATCTGCAAGTCGCGTCTGAAAACCTTCCTCTTCGACCATGCTTACGGTCACCTTCTCCTCCCTCCGGCTCAGCATCATGCTCCGCCACTGACAAGCGTTATGGGTTTCTATCCCGCATGAGAGGCGCAATGTAAATGCAAATTGTTGTTGTTGTTAATCTCTACTAATGTAGATGAAATGTCTGTCTGTGTGTCTGTCCGCCAATAACACAATAACCAATTGACGTAGAGACATGATTTATACCTCATCGGCAATGTCTTGTAAGGGGGAGTGTCATGGGCACATTTTTTTTTGTGACTTAAACAAGCTCCTATCATGATCTAAACAAGCGCATCACACATATATGGACTACAACAAGGAGTCCTCCCAACCAGGAGTCCACCCATCCAGGAGTCCTCCCAACCAGGAGTCCGCCGAACCTGGTGTCCTCCCACAGGAGCCCTCCCAACAGGAGTCCTCACACAGGAGTCCTCCCAAAAGGAAGTGTGTGCAAAAATGTGAACAAGGGATGCTAACGAGTTCAACAGCACATTTTCTTAATCTTAAAGATGCCTAAGAAGCGAAATTCAAGCCTTTCAAGCGCAAATAAAAATGCCAGAGAGAGAAGGCCGATTAAATGAAACGGGTTGCAAGCATAGCTTGTATAATATAACAATAATCCTTGCATTTGACACAGCGCCTTACCACGTTGTTGAGATGTCTCGAAGAGCTTCTCAGGATATATTGTAAAGTGAATTGACTGAATATATTTTGCAGGCAAAATACTTACCTTTGCCCTCCGCATAAACACTCCCCAGGAAGGGACTGTGGTGACCTGGAATTCGAGTATTTTAGCTCCATAGCCAGTCAGTGTGGAGGAAGCGAGCAAATGTACTGTGCTCGCACACAGCGAATGGGGCCCAACAACAACAACAAGCATTTATACAGTGCCCTTCACGTGGAGTAACGTCTCTTAACAATGAATGCTTAACAATGGTGGAGCCTGATGCTGAGCCGGAGAGGGAGGGGAGGTGACCGTAGGTATGGTCAAAAGTAAGATCTTCAGATGTGATCTGAAGAAGGGCAAAGAGGGGGCAAGGCGGAGGGATTGAGGGAGAGAGTTCCAGGGTTTTGGGGCGTAGTGGCTGAAGGCACGGCCACCGATGGTGGAGCGGAGGGGACAAGGAACGTACAGGAGGCTGGAGCCAGCCCAGCTAAGGAGGCAGGTAGTGAGCAGGGTGTGAGCAGGGTTGGGGAGGTAAGGAGGTGCCAGGGTGTGAATTTGACTTTGCAAATGTGAAGATCTTGAGATTGATCCATTCTACAGTAGAGAGCCATGGAGCCTGGCGAGGACTGAGGTGATGCCTGTACATTGTAACTGCCGCCTTTAGCTGCCACGATGTTTTTAATGATTATTACAAACAAAGGTAAAGGGACTCACCCACATGCCAGTCCATCTCCTCCACATTGTCTCCGTACAAACCATTCTTGCTGTTCCCAACAAACCCCTTGGTCATAAACAGAGGCGTGTGGACGTGTAGCAGGGACACGAACAGCAGAAAGGGCTTCTTCTGGTTCCTACAATTTAAACACAAAAATTCCATAAGTATGTAAACACTCACTCACTCGTTCACTCGCTCGCTCACTCACACACCCACCCACTCACTCAGTCACTTACTCAGTCTCTCAGTCACTCACTCACTCACCCACTCACTCAATCAGTCACTCACTCCCTGAGAGCAATTTATTTTGAATTACAGAACGATAATAATCCTTGAATTTCACATCATTGGATTCACCGGTGGTGACTTTGGCGAACACACCAGCCCAATATGCGCACTGCATCATCCCACAAGCAGCATGAATCCCATGACCAATTTTATTTGGGAGGATTGTTGGCCAGGACACCGGGAAAGAGAAAAGCTCCCTTCTCTTTTTGAACAGACCCACGGGATCTTTGGCGTCCATCTGAACAGGCACAGAGGGGACCTCAGTTTAACATCTCATTCGAGTGTCAGCTAGAATGTGTGAGTGTAAAGTCTCGACGGGGCTTGAACCCACAACTATCTGACTCTAGAGTCAAGAGTGGTTATAGCTGACACCCAGGTGACAACATCGATTGTAGGGCAGAGGGGTCTGGAGACACGCAGCATGTTCAGCGCCTTTCATGTCAGGAGTACGTCCCAAGGCGCTGAAAGCCTGTGTCTGCTGAGCGAAGGGAGATGTGGGCAGTGGAGTCAGGTATGAGCAGGGGGGGGTCAGTGAGGTGCTGGGATGCAAAGGGGTTAGTACCCTGAACGTGAGGGTCTTGAGGCCGATCAGTTTGGAGAGGAGGAGGCAGTGGCCCTGTTGAGGAGCGTGGGGAGGTGGGTGTGCAGAGATTGCTGTGAGCATTATTACAGTATTAGCGATTGTTGACGTTCGTGATCGACATCACCTCTTGATGAAAGCGAGAGCCTCATGTGTCAGCCGGGTGGGGAAGCTCTCCAGCTGAATTGGCTGTTGGACGACCTTGAAGTCCCTCATGGCTATGCAGTTCCAGAGCCTTATGTAGCCGAAGACGGAGAACCAGGAGATGAAGAAGAGGAGACAGAGGATGGTCAGACACCCGATGGGCCTCCAGCCCAGGCTGGCCAGGCCGAACAGCTTCAGGGCCACCAGGCTCAGGAGTCCCAATGCCAGCGCCTGGTTGATCCTGCTCAGCACAGCTGCCACATCAACCAGTAAATTACTGCCCGCACCAGGCTTGCAGTCCAGGAAGTTGGTGAAGGGAGTACCGTAAAAATAGCCAAAGCCATGGCTGAGCGGGTGGTGGCACCAGTCCTCACGGGATTCACAGTTGACACCCAGGTGCCACTTGCCTGGTCTCAGGGAAGACAGAAAAATATTGGGTCACAACAGTGCCAAACCGTGGCCAGTGGTCCACAAGCTCTCTTATTGTAAGATTATGTCCCCCCTTCTTCTGGATTCCCCCACCCATCAAAGGAAATAGCTTCTCCGTAGCTTCTATTAGAGAAACTATTTCCTCTGTTGGGGAATCCAGAACACGGGGATCATCTTAAAATTAGAGCAGCGCCATTTAGGAGTGAAATCAGGGGCAGGTTTTCACCCAAAGGCCGGTGGGGATCTGGAACTCTCTCCCCCAAAAGGCTGTGGATTCTGTGTGGATCCATTCACATTGTCCAGACTGAGGGGGAGAGATGTTTGTCAGGTCAGGGGATCAGGGGATATGGGGCAAAGGCGGGTAATTGGGGTGGAGCTACAGATCAGCCGTGATCTTATAGAATGGGGGAACAGGCTCAAGGGGCTAAATGGCCAACTCCTGTTTCTATGTTTCTCTGTCGCTGCCTTATCAAACCCTCTTATTAATTTAAACACCTCAATCAGATCAACCTCAACCTTCTAAACTCAAGGGAATACAGACCACGTTTATGCAACTTGTCCTCGTAATTTAACCCTTTAAGGCCTGCTTTCATTCTGGTAAACCTGCATTTCACCCCCTCCAGAACCAATACATCCTTCCTGAGGTGCGGAGCCCAAAACTGAACGCAGTCTCCAGATGGCGAGGGGTGCGTAGGTTGGGGTGGGCGTGGGGTGAGGCGGGGTAATAATGAGTTGCCAGAGAATGGATGGATTTGTAGGCGAAGGTTAAGGAACTTGAAATCGATCGGCGTGGAGGGAGGGATCAGAGACAAAGGCGGAGAGAGGAGGGCGGGGGGGATGTCTCTCTCTTTTGCTTGAGAAGAACGCACCTACGATGCCGGTGGAGTATCCTTCCTGTTGCAGCAGTTTTGCGAAGGTGGTTTCGTTGGGAGGGAGACCCCCTGTACCAGCGTTAAAGAGAATAACTCGCACTCTGTGGCTGTTATCCATGCCTGAAATATGCAAACAAAAGCCAAAATGGGTCACTCACTCCTTGGCTGTCTGTGGTACGTTCCTCCGTTTGCCCACAAAATACACAGCAAATCCACTTTCTAGTATGTCCTGTGAAGTGTTTGAGATGTCTGGACAATGTGATAAGGCCCTATATCAAATGAAAGGTTCACTATTATTATTATCCAATTCAGCCAACTTTATGACAATTGCACTGCCATTGCCTGTTGCCCCCAAACCTCACTTGGCTCTCTTGAACTCCAGCCTTACCCCCCCACCCCACCCTGCCCCACCCACCAATTGCAACCCCCCCCCCCCCCCAAGTGTTCAAGGCTGGTCTCAAAACATACCTCGTTTGACCTCGCTTTTGGTCATCATTCCCTACACCCCTGTTTCTGCTCCCATCACCAGCTCAGAGGGAGGAAAGGAGGGAGAGTGGGTGGGGAAGGAGGGAGGGAGGGAAGGAGGGAGGGAGGGAGGGAGGGAGGGAAGAACAGACAGGGAGGTAAGGAGGAAGGGACATGGAGAGAGGGAGTGAGAGAGAAGGAAGGAGGGAGAGGGAGGGAAAGGGAGGAAGGGAGAGATAAGGAGGGCAGGAGGGAGATGAAGAGGGAAGGAGGGGAAGAGGAAAGGTGGAGAGGGAGAAAGCGGGAGTGAGAAGAAGAGAAGGAACATTAGAGAGAAAAGAGATGGAGCACAGCACTGATGAAAAGCTTTCACTGAGATCTTTCAGACAGTCCTTTCGGAAAGCCAGGCCCAAATAGTCCTGTCACTGTGGGTGGGCTGAAAACCTCTGACGGCTCAACACAACTATAACAACTTATATCTATACAGCGCGCCTCACACAGGGTAGCGTCCTGGAGCACACACGAAGCTGCTCTTACCAGAGCGCACGGGATACCTGCCGGTCATGAAGGCTGCCCGGCTCGGAGTGCACAAGGGGGCAGCAGCGATGTGATGTGTCAGCCTAACTCCCTCCTGTGCCAAGCGGTCAATGTTGGGAGTCCTGCGTGTACGGCAACAACAATAATTACAGAGTTATACACTGTCCATCACTGAAACAGGCCACTCGGCCCAACCAGTACCTGCCGGTGTTTATACTCCACACCAGTCTCCCCCCATTTCTTACCCCCTCCCACACCCTTCTATCCTCCCCTCCCTCATGTGAAGGTCTAGGTTCCTTTTGAATGTATCTACACTCTATGATTCAACCTGCACTTCAGGCAGCGAGTTCCACAATCTCACTGCCCTCTGTGTGAAGTGGTTCCTCCTAAATTCTCTATTAGATCCTAGTCACTATCTTATACTTGTGTCTTCAGAAGAATGGCTGGAAACTCGCCTGTGGATGGACCGGGGGCTTTTTTGGGAGAGGAAGCGGATGGGTTGCAGATGGTAGGGAACGAGGCCATGGAGGGGTTAGAATGCAGGAATCTTGCCTCAATCCACTGGTGGGGTGCGGTGGGGGTGGGGGAAGCCGGTGGAACTGGGTGAGGACAGGGGCAATGGGCTTGTGGAGTTTGATGTGGGTTCTGGAGCTCTGGGTGGTCTGTAGCTTGTGCAGGGAGGAACTCTCTCCCACTACCCTTCACTTGCCCCCTCCCTCCCCATCTTCAAAATCTGCCTAAAGACCTCCCTTTTTGATGGTGCTTACAGCCGCCTTCCCCCTCCCTCTCCCTCCGGCTCGGGGTCAGACTCCACTACTGTCAAGCGCTCCGGGACATACTCTGTGTAAATGCAAGTTGTTAAGTGAAGATATTAAGGGATGTCGTGGGAGGTTGGATCCCATAGGCTGTGGAATGCTCGATGGGCCGAATGGCCTCTCTGTGTTGCTGTCTCACTACACATCACCAATAAGTGAACCTTTTCATCAAAACACCGAGAGACTTTGCTCATCACACAGAGCCAAAGACCCCATACCTCAAGATGTCATTTCCATAGCAACCAACGTCCCCAATGCCAAGGTCGTCGGCCATGATTACCACAAAGTTCGGTTGGGATTTGGAGTCTGTGGACATCACCCGAGTCACCAACACAGAGCTGAGGCCCAGGGCATGGAGCACCAGCATCCTGTACCTAACACAGGGACAGCGCAGTGAGGAGGGGAGGAATGAGAGACACAGAGAGAGAGTGCGTAAAGTAGAGAGAAAGAGAGAAAAGGGAGAGGGAATGTGTGAAAGGGAAAGAGCTAAAGGAGAGAGAAAGAGTGAAAGGGTGAGAGAGGAAGGGAGAGACAAAGGGAGTGAGCAAGAAAGAGAGAGAATGAGAAAGGAGATGAAAGAGAGACAGCACAGGGAGAGAGGAAGGGAAAAACAAAGTAGGTGAATATTCCATTGTCAGTGTGAAACTTTCTCTGTCACCATCCTACTATATCGCTCATCAATCCCTTTTATGCCTGTGTGCACCTCAATCAGATCACACACACACACATACAAACACCCCACACAGCTCCCGCACTAAATACAGTCATTCCTTCATCCAGAGAACTGAAAGTCCACCCAGTCCTTGCCAGTAAAGACCTAAAGTCAATCCGTTGGAAGTCAGGGAGCCTGGCCAGGGTATTGGGGTGCTGGGGCGCGGAGTTCGAAGTGTGGGAGCTTGTGGGCATCAGAGTTTTGGCTTAGCTGGAAGCAGCCTGGGTCAGTTGGTATCGTTCTGTTACCCAAAAATAATAAATAATAACAATAAATTGTTCACTCAATCCACGACTGTTTGGGGGACGCTGCTGTGCGCAATTGGCTGCCACGTTTCGCCCACAAAATACACAGTTTACTTTATCCTGTGAAGCGCTTTGAGACGTCTCGAAGTCGTGATAAGGCGCGACATCGAATGCAAGGATTATTATTATTATTATTATTGCCTGAGTCAGAAGGTTGTGGGTGGATATTGAAAGATCCTGTGGGGCTACACGAAAAGAGGGGGGAGATTTTTCCAGGTTTCCTGGCCAACGATACCCCAATTAAAAATAATTGATCATTCACTTTGTGGCTGTGGATGGGATTTTGCTGTGCACAAATCAGCTGCTGTGTTTGCCTATGAAAATACACAGTCACTCCACGTTACAGCGATTCCGTGAAGCGCACCATCAAGGGAGAAGGAAAAGGTATCCATAGGCACAGACAAAAAGGTAGGTCTTAAAGTGGGCTAAAGACTGAATCAAGAATCTTCAGAAATTCTGCACTTTTTTTTCTCAGCCGGGTGTCTGACACACACGGAAACCCATCACCGTTGCTCAAGAGTCTCCAAACCAGCTGAGAATCCCGTGCATCCCACCTACACACGGAAATCCCAGAGATGGGTTGTTGGAATGGAATTCTCTCTCTCTTCCTGGAGAGTATTAGGCGCAGGTTGGCAAGAGCCAAGGCTTGGGGACACCAGAGTGTGTGTTGGGGTCTCATCAGCCTCATGGGGAAAGACTGAGTGGGTTCTCTGGACTGGTTCCAGAGGGTTGGGGCCTCTTTGCCCCCGCTCTCTGGAACTCCATCCCATAGTCCCTCGCCTTGCCCCCTCCCTTGCCTCCTTCAAAACATCTCAAGATGCTTCTCTTCGGTCACCCGCGTACCCGTACCCTCCTCCCCGCCCTCCACCCCTGCCTGATCCCAACCACCAGCTCGGGTACGGATCCCTGACTGTCCAGCACTTTGGGACGTCCTCTTGCCGTGAAAGGCGCTGCACAAATGCAATTTGTTGTTGTTGGTGGTGGTGGTGGTTGCACCAACTTTCACCCATACTCACAGCCGATTGGTGACGTCCATCTTAATTTTTTTTCTTCTACTCTTTGTTGACTGCACTTCTCTTCACAGAAGATTCTAAGTAAAAAAAACGAACCAGTGTTATCATTCTGGAGACCTGCAACTCAGTGGTTAGACACTCGCCTCACAAGCGAGAGGACCTGGGTTCAATTCCCGGGCAGGGCGAAACTTTAGGCCAGTTTCCTTACTCCACAAGTCTCTGTGTACCAGCCGTGAGTAGGAACCCGGTTGTTAGTCGATTGGCTAATAGTCACTTTTCTGGGATAATAATCCCTCAATTTTTTTAAAAATAGCTTTAAAAAATAATAATTTGGTCACTCAATCCTGGTTGTGTTTGTGGGACGCTGCTGTGCGTAATTGGCTACTGCGTTTCGCCCACAAAATATACAGTCAATTCACTTGCAATATATTCTGTGAAGCGCTTTGAGACGTCTCGAAGATGCGATGAGGCGCTATATCAAATGCAAGGATTATTATTATTATTATTAAAACCATACCCTGTAAGAACCATATAGAAATCCTACATTTTAAATTGTGTAAGTGTATTACTTAATTTCACTACATCTTAGTTACAATGCAAACTGTCAGCAGACAATGCAAAAATTCATATTTTTAAAACAAAAATATACTCTGATCAATAAATTCCAATCATCAAATCCAGAGTAAACAAATGAAAGTGAAATATATAATGAAATTAATTAGAATGCACATAACTTGATGAGCCAGGAGGACGTCCCAAGGTACTGGATAGTCAGTGCTTCGGACCCGAGCTGGGGGGATTGGGGAGGGGGGAGGGCAGGTGGGGAAGGAGGGAGATTGAAAGTACGGGCAAAGAGGAGAGTCTTGAGATGGGTCTTGAAGGAGGCAACAGAGGGGGCGAGGCGGAGGGACTGCGGGATGGAGTTCCAGAGGGGCACAGAGTGGGAGGAGCTGGCTACGGAGTGGGAAGAGCCGGGCACGGAGTGGGGGGAGCACGGGGAAACGGGGGTTGCAGGTACTGAAATCGGGCACCTGGGTCCAGAGAATAAGGGATGGATGGGGGGCATTGATAACTGGGCAGTCTGGGTAATGTGTGCGGGTGGGGGTTGGGTTGTTTTTAGGGACATCATTAAAGAAACCATGGATACTGGATGCGGAGGAAATAGGTTGTGGTCCGGATGCAATCGCCCCCCCCCCCCAGGTCATGGCCGGGATGGCGGTGCCGGAGCCAGGACATTGTTGTTGCTGTTGTTGGGTTTTTTAAAAAATGTATTTTTGTTGAGGCGAGAGCGCTACCAACTGAGCCGGACCGCCTTTGCACCACTTCCTACCCAGCGTAGTTTCTTTGTGAACGACACAAAAGGGGGAAGGGGGCCGGTGGGCGGGAGAGCGAGGAAAATAAGGAACCCGAACACGCGCAGAGGAAGCAATGAGCTTATCGCAAGCATTTTGTTCAGGAACAAAGAACTTTAAAGCGTGTTTGGCAGTCAATGTCTCTGACACATTATACCCTGCCTTCACCCCTCCCTCTCTCTCTCTCCCGCTCACATTCACTGCAAATAACTTACACAACAGCAAAACACACAGAAGCTCCAGAATGTGGGATTTTCCACATTCAAGAGGACAAGTTCCAGAGGCTAGCGTGTGTGTGTGTGGTGTGTGTGTGTGGTGTGTGTGTGTGTGTGTGGTGTGTGGTGTGTGTGGTGTGTGTTTGCAGTGTGTGTGTGTGTGGTGCGTGTGTGTGTGGTGTGTGTTTGTGGTGTGTGGTGTGTGTGGTGTGTGTTTGTGGTGTGTGTGGTGTGTGTTTGTGGTGTGTGTGTGAGTGTGGTGTGTGTTTGTGGTGTGTGTGTGTGGTGTGTGTTTGTGGTGTGTGTGTGTGGTGTGTGTTTGTGGTGTGTGTGGTGTGTGTGTGTGTGTATGTGTGGTGTGTGTGTGTGTGTGACAGAGAGAGAGCGCAAAAACGAGTCATCCCTTGTAATAGTTATCAGGAATCCTGTTAATGCCATTTCTTCTCGTTTCTCCTCTGGACTTCCCATGTAATGAAGCCGAGGCACTGAAATCTGCCCGAGTGAAACTAGACATAGGTGATCTCACCACCGCTGCAACTGTAAGTGTTGCACAAGAGAAGAACAGGAGAACTAGGTAACGGAGAGGAGCTCGGGGGAGGTTTAACTGCTGGGAAAGAGTATTTGCATAGTTATTTGTGTATTGGGAAATATTCCATGTCCCCCACCCGCCTCATCCCATCAGCGGTCAGGTCTTCAGCCTCTCTGCCCCCACCCTCTAATAATAATAATAATAATCCTTGCATTTGATATAGCGCTTTTCACGTCGGGCGGACGTCCCAAAGCGCTTCACAGAACACACTGTAAAGTGAATTGACTCTATATTTGTGGGCGAACGCGGCAGCCAATTGCGCACAGCAATGTCCCACAAACAGTTGTGGATTGAAAATGACCAATTTATTATTGTTTTGTTTTGAAGGGATTATTATTAGGCTCTGTGTGGAGTAAGGAAACTTGCCCAAGGTTTCGCCCTCTGCCTGGAATTGAACTCAGGTCTCTCGCTTACAAAGCGAGTGCTCTAACCACTGAGCTACAGGACTCCACTCTGGAACTCCATCCCAGTCTCTGTGCCTCCCTCTCTCTCCAGCTTCAAGGCCTGTCTCACAACCCTCCTCTTTGTCCGCACTTTCAGTCAACCTCTTACTCCTACCCTCCCTGCCCTCCAAATCCCTGACTGCCCAAAGCAGTGGGACGTCCTTTTGACATGAGGCGCCGTGTCAATGTCAGTTGTTTTTGTTGTTGATGATCGCAGGGAGGATAGAGGGAATTGGGGTGAAGAGAGAGAGAGAGAAGAGCGAGAGATAGAGAGGAAAGGGAAAACATTTCCTTACTCTTTGCCAAGAATAACCCGACAGCCAACATAAGGTGACTTGTGGAGTCCTGTAGCTCAGTGGTTAGAGCACTCGCTTTGCAAGTGAGAGACCTGAGTTCAATTCCAGGCAGAGGGCGAAACCTTGGGCAAGTTTCCTTACTCCACACAGAGCCTAATAATAATCCCTCCAAAACCAAAAACAATAATAAATTGGTCATTTTCAATCTGCGACTGTTTGTGGGACATTGCTGTGCGCAATTGGCTGCCGCGTTCGCCCACAAATATACAGTCAATTCACTTTACAGTGTGTTCTGTGAAGCGCTTTGGGATGTCCTTCCGACGTGAAAAGCGCTATATTAAATGCAAGGATTATTATTATTATTATTATTATGAGGAAAGGGCACTCGGAGAAAAAATAATAACAATAAAGCCACTCAATCCACGACTGTTTGTGGGGACGCTGCTGAGTGCAATAGGCTGCCAAGTTTCGGCCACAAAATATACAGTCAATTCACTTTACTATCCATCCTGTGAAATGCTTTGAGATGTCTCGAAGACGTGATGAGGCGCTGTATCGAATGCCAGGATTATTATTATCATTAATGTTAAAGTTGGAATGTGAGACGAACAGCAGGGAGCGAATACAGCCTCGAGGGCATTTAGCACTGCCATGGAGACAAAGGATCTGTTGTTCATTAAAGTCATGGGCAGTGGAAAAATACTTTAAAGCTCTCTAAGTGCCAACTGCACCTTTCGCACTCGGTCAGCACCTTTTCGAATTTTTTTTAACAGCGAAGTGAGAAGCACAAACACGTCCGCTCCTCTCTCCCTCTCTTATTTAACAATAATAATCTTTGCATTTGCTATAGCACCTTATCAGGTCGTCAAAGCACTTCACAGAAATATACTGTAAAGCGTAGTACTGTGTATTTTGTGGGCGAAAAGCGGCAGCCAATTGCGCACAGCGGCGTCCCACAAACAGTCGTGCATTGAGTGATCAAATTATTATTATTTGGATAGTTTCCTCCCAGTGTCCTGACCAAGATGGGAAATGGGGTGGGGGTGAGGGGGAAGTGGGGGCAAGGGTGAGAGCTGAGGGAGCAGCGTACGTGATAAGGGGCTCTATCAAACGCAAGGATTGTTATAACACAAGCAAAATGTTTTGTGAATCTCTTTTCTTTATGGAGTCCGTCAGCGTAGTGGTTGGAGCCCTCGCCTCACAAGCCAGAGGACCCGGGTTCGATCCCCAGGCAGGGAGAAACATTAGTCAAGTTTCCTGACTCCACACGCCTCTGTTTGCCTAGCAGTGAGGAGGAACCCGATTGTTAGTCGATTGGCTAATCAGTTTCCAGGGGGTAATAATCCCTCAAAAAAAGGGGCCACTCGATCCACGACTGTTCATGGGACGCTGCTGTGCGCAATTGGCTGCTGGATTTCGCCCACAAAATAAACAGTCAACCCATTTTACAGTGTAACCTGTGAAGCACTTTGAGATGTCTCAACGATGTGATAAAAGCGCTATATCATATGCAAGGATTATTATTATCATCATCACATATGTCTCAATTGCACTGTTTCATAGAACAACAACAACAGCTTGCATTTATAGAGTGCCCATCACGCAGGATAGGGCCCCGGAGCGCTTAGAATCATAGATTCATAGAATGATACAGCACAAAAGGAGGCCATTTGGCCCATCGGGCCTGTGCCGGCTCTTTGGAATAGCCACAGAATCAGCCCCACTCCTCCGCTCTTTCCCCAGCAATCTACGTCCTCTGGTTACTGACCCACCCACCTCCCAATGGAAGCAGTTTCTCCCTATCTACTGTATCAAAACCCCTCATAAATTGTGAAAACCTCTATTAAATCTCCCCTTCATCTTCTCTGCTCTAAGGAGAACAATCCCAGCTTCTCTAGTTTATTAGGAATATGTAATAAGTGGTCTACCTCCCACCCCCACACCCCCGCTTCTTAAACAGACTCACAAAAACTCTATTCATCCTGCATCAAAAGCCACGTTTCAGATTTTAACTCCCTTTCCCAATGCGTTTGCCTGTAAAACACACAGCAGGTACACTTTACACTACATCATCTTTGAGACATCGATCAAAACACTGGCTCTGGTGGGTCCGTAACCAGAGGACATAGATTCAAGATAATTGGCAAAACAACAACAACAAGATTTCATTTATAGAGCGCTTTTCACGTCGGGAGGACGTCCCAAGGCGCTGGACAGTTGGGTCGGGATCAGAGGGGAGATGAGGAGAGTTGCTTTACACAGAGAGTTGTTACGGTCTGGAATGCACAGCCTGACGGGGTCGGTGGAAACAGATTCAATAATAACTTTCAAAAGGGAATTGGATAGATAGTTGAAGAGGAAAAATTTGCAAGGATATGGGGAAAGAGCAGGGGAGGGGGACTGGTTGGTAGCTCTTCCAAAGAGCCGGCACAGGCACGGTGGACCAAATGGTCTCCTTCTGTGCTATAATATTCTATGATTCCATGATTCTCTTACCCCATAGCCCAGAGAGAGAGCGAGAGAGACAGCTTGTGAAATATCAGCCACTTTGATGTTGTCGAAGTCCAATGCCAGGTACCAGGCTCACTCAGCACCAGTTGCTTAATCCAATCGGCTTTACAGCAAACAAGTCTATTTACCAACTACTTGTGAAGGGCCTTAGCAAATTGACATGCCCGCTGTGAAGCTGACTCCACCTCCAGGGTGCTCAGCGACAAGTCAGTGTAGGCCGGATCCCTGTTTCCTTTCAGCCGCTTCCCTGTGTTTACCATAAATAATAATAATATAATAATAATCCTTGCATTTGATATAACGCCTTATTATGTTGTCAGGTCATCTCAAAGCGCTTCACAGGAGATAATAATCCTTCCATTTGATTTAGCACCTTATCCTGTGAAGCGCTTTGAGACGTCTCAACAATGTGATAAGGCACTATATAAAATGCAAGGAATATTGTTATCTCACCATTGAGACATCACAACGACCTGATACACTGTAAAGTGAGTTGACTGTATTTTGTGGGCGAAATGCAACAGGCAATTGCGCACAGCAGTGTCCCCACAAACAGTCATGGAGTGAGTGAACAATTTTATTTTGGTTGTGGGGGGGATCGTTGGCGAGGACATGAGAGAGAGAAACTGCCTTCTCTTTTCAAATAGGTTCTTTAACATCAACCTAAGCAGGGGCCTCGGTTTAACATCTCATTTGTTTTAGCCCTGCGGCCAAAGCCCTCAGAGGTAGGGTGGCCCGATCTGGATAAGCAGCGGGAAAGCTTGCCCCACAGTGTCATGAATGGCAAGCCCTGCAAGTTTAGCTGGTTAGACTCCAGCAGGTACCCTAACGCACACTCTGGGGTTCCCCGAAAGCCTTGGCTCTTGCCGATCTGTGCCTAATACTCTCCGGAATTAGGTAAGCAGGATGCGTTCCCTCCAGGGAGAGGGAGAGAGACAGAGAGAGAGAGAGAGCGCATTCCATTCCGACAATCTCTCTCTGGGATCTCCGTGTGTGGGTGGGATGCAGGGAATTCTCAGTTTGGTTTGGAGACTCTTAAGCGACGGTGATGGGTTTCCACGTGTGTCTGACACCCGGCCGGGCAAAAAACAAAATTCAGTGGAACAGAAGAAAGGCTTGTGAAATGCAACACCCCACAGAACTGATTCATTTCCTTCATTGCCTCTCTCTCTCCCACTATATCCCATTTATTTTCCTCCTTTCCCACCCCTCCCCCATTCTTTTCCTATGACTAAGCAAAAAAAGTTATTCTTACACACAAAATACATCCGCAGAAGTTTCTCACAGGAATGAAATATTTGTTCACGCCCAACACTTACACACACAGACACACAAACCTTCTTTCACCCACACAGACATAAGTCTCTCTCCTCTTCCAACCCCTTCGAATTCCCTCAAAGGGTCAAAGCAAATTATTCTCTCTCTCTCACATCTCCACACACAACCCTCACACAAACAGACCAAACGCTCTCTCTCTCACACACAAACAGACCAAACGCTCTCTCTCTCTCTCTCTCACACACAAACAGACCAAACACTCTCTCTCTCTCTCTCACACACGAACAGATCAAACTCTCTCTCTCTCTCTCTCACACACACGAACAGACCAAACGCTCTCTCTCTCTTTCTCTCTCACACACAAACAGACCAAACTCTCTCTCTCTCCCACACACACACACACACCTCACCTGAACAGTACAGGGAATGAGTGCGGGAATGAGAAGCAGTTAGCAGACTACTGCAAAACAAATCAAGCTTTACCTACAGCGGCATGTGAAGTGTGCGAGTGTGCTGGCCTTGACGCTGTGATGTTCTGGGCAAAGTTGTGTGAAAGGAGGAGCAAAGTGCGCCCACAGCAGGTCTGGCCAACATATGGGCAACCACCCTGAAAGGCAATACTATCCTGACCTCAGACTGAATATGCTTCTCTCTCTCTCACACACACAACACACACACCACAGAAATAAACAAACGCAGGAGGAAACAACAACTGCAAAATTACCAGTGTAAAGCGCCTTTCACCTCAGGAGGATGTCCCAAGGCGCTGGACAGACAGAGCTTCAGACCTGAGCTGGGGGTCGGGGATGGGGAGGAGTGAGGGCAGGGGGGGAAGCAGGGAGATCGAAAGTGCAGTCAAAGAGGAGGGTCTTGAGATGGGTCTCTTGAAGGTGGCGAGGGTGGGGGAGAGGCAGAGGGACTGCGGGATGGAGTTCCAGAGGGTGGGAGCCGAGTGGTGGAAGACCCGCCTGCCAATAATGGGGTGAACGAGGCGGGGGATGTGAAGCAGGCCGGAGCCCGCCGAGCGGAGATGGTAGGAGTTTAGGAGGTGGCAGAGATAGTGGGGAGCAAGGCCATGGAGGGCTTTGAAGGTGAGGACCAGAATCTTGAACTGTATCCCCTGTGTGATGGGAAGCCAGCGGAGTTGGGCGAGGATGGGGGTGATAGGGTCGCGGAGCCTGGTGCAGGAGAGGACACGGGCTGCAGAGTTAGTTCTGGATGATCTGCAGCCTGTGGAGGGAGGAGTTGGTGAGGCCGACAAGCAATGAGTTTGCATAGTCGAGCCTCGATGTAATGAAGGCGTGTATGAGGGTTTCGGCGGCCTGTGGTGTGAGACAGTGGCGGAGCCGGGTGATGTTGCGGAGGTGGGGGAAGGCAGAGTGGGTCATGGCACAGATTTGGGGTAGAAAAGATAGTTGAGGGTTAAACAAGACCCCAAGGTTCTGGACTGGCTCTGTGAGGGGGAGAGTGCAGCCATGGACGGTGATGCTGTTGGCGCCTGAGGTGAGGAGGCGCTGATGAGAGCCAATCAGGAGAGCCTCGGTCTTGTTGAGGTTCAACTGAAGAAAATGAGCTCTCATCCAGGACTTGACGCCCCCCCACAACAACAACAGGTGACTATCGGCACAGTCGAGGGATGTAGGGCGAGTGTTCTAGAGTTCCAGTGGGGTGTAGTAGCCGAACCGAGAGAACTTAGGGACAAGCAGGAGGCCAGAACTAGTTGAGCAGAGACCCCATTTACCCATTTCCTCCTCCCCACACACCACCCCACTCTCATTGGCTTTGACACACATTTCAGAGGATGACCAAATGAGTACACAGGGACAGACACTCAGGACATTTTGAATGCTTTATATAAGACCTCAGTACGAGATGTTTTGGAGACTCTTTCAGTCACAACAGTGCAGACTATTTATGACCACTGAACTCCACAACCTAGGAGCAATAGGAGGTTAGGGGAGGAGTGGGGTTCATATGTGCATGTATATATGGGGGTGGGTAGGGGGAAGGGAGAGAAAATGGGAATGCACATCAGAGAAATATATATAAATCTATGTATAAATTCGAGTACATTTGAGTGCAGCAAAATTTAAACTAAATCAGCAAGTGCACCATCAAATGTAAAAAAAACTCATGAAAAAGTACATGTTCATCTGAGATACACGTCTATGTACAGATATATTAAACGTCCCGAATTTTTAAACGAGTTTCGTCTTTAGTGTCCTTGTGAGCGAGAGAGAGAGAGAGCAAGAGAGAGAAACAGAAGCTACTGGAGAAACTGGTCCAACTTCTTCTGAATGTTTGAGAAGGCATCCTTCCCTAGGTAATCGATGTGTCCTTCTTCCCACTTGCGGCGATCCATTCCCTCTCCCCTGGTGGCCTTGGAAGTGGCCGCTGGCCGCTGTGATTGATGTAAAAACAAGACAAAATATAAATCTATAAAAAAAATTTATAAAACGCGTCATTAATAAGGATAATGAAGGGAAAGGGGGGAAGGGGATGCTAGCGTGTGGCATTTCTTTACTGGATTCTTTAACAAAATAATCCGGAGTAGTGGAAATTATTAATAATAATCCTTGCTTTTCACAAAGCTCTTTGGAAAGTCATCAAAGTGCTTCACAGGATTTTGCCGTCAAGTAGGGTGACTGTGTATTTTGCGTAGGCAGATTTGGCCCACTGTAATGCTACCAAACAGTCAGCGAATGTCAGTTTTATCCGGAGAAACTCCCTTCTCTTCTCGAATTGTGCCATTGGGAGAGCTAACTCAGTTTGGTAAAGCAAGGGACTCAATAGTAATAATAATCCCTGCATTTGATACGGCGCCTTATCACGTCTTCAAGACGTCTCAAAGCACTTCACAGAATACACTGTAAGTGAATTGACTATATTTTGTGGGCGAAACGTGGCAGCCAATTGCGCACAACCGCATCCCACAAGCAGCTGTGGATTGAGTGACCAAATTATTATTATTTGCTTACAGAGTGGAATTGCCATGGAGAATTTGGACGGAGGAAATCCCAAGTGAGATTGCCACATGTTAGACCTTCTCCCCCCCCCACTATGGACCCCTCTTCCCCAGCGTTAGTGCAATTGGTTAGTGCTAACACAATCTATTTCAGAGATACCAACATCTCCCATCAGAAAGATCTGCTAATAGTCATCTACTAAGAATAATACCAGTAATACTAAACCAATGCATCGGCTATTACTAGTCTAATACTGTCATGTTTTTGGTGAACTTTTGAGTTGCGAAAAGTGTCCCCCCTGCTCGCTCGCCCCAGCCCCCATCTCCGCGCCCTCCCCCTCACCCCGTTTACTACGCTGGAGGGCTCGCAAGTGCTGGAAAATCTGAAAAGGAAAGAGAAACACGCTGGGAATCCACAGCAGCTCAGGCCGGCACCTGGAAGAGAAAGAAAAGTTAAACGTTTCTGCCACTGACCCTCCCTCAGGGAGGGATGCCCTGGAGCGAGAGACCCCCACCCCAAACCCCCAGAGACGATCCGCCAATCAACTACCAACCAGGTTCCTACTCACTGCTAGGTAAAGGCGTGGAGTAAGGAACTTGCCCGGGTATCAAACCCAGGTCCTCTCGCTTGCGAGGCGAGTGCACTAACCACCACATTACAGGACTCCTATTAAAAGAACAGGTTAGAGGCAGCCCCAATGAGGGTGGTGTGGACACAGCTGCTACCTACAGACCAGGAGCTCCCTGTTGGAATCTCGAGCCCAGGTTGAGTTTGCTGGGCTCAGTGGGGAGTGGGTGCGGAGGCTGAATTCATCCCAGCATTCCCACGGTTAGGAGGGAAAAAACAGTCAGGCTTCCTGCTCTTTGTCCCTCTACAGCACCATCTACTGCTGGTTGGGCACGTGTGTGTGCGTGTGTGTGTATGGCGGTCTGGTGGGGAGAGGTTAGGCTCAGCTGCGACGCCCTCTACAAGCCAGTGAGCTGCTACTCACTGCCGAGGCTCCACACATCAACAACGGCCACTTAGGATGACATGGGGGCGGGGGAGGGAAGTCAGGGCAACCGACACCCCAGCGGGAGGAGGCCAGACCAGGTGCAGGGAGGGGGTGGGGCGAGAATTAGAAAAATACCTGGACACAATACGTTTATATTTCTTAAAACAAAAAGTTAATTATGTCCGGAGAACCCAGTGTTACACAGTTCAATCAGTTTAAAGTCTCAGCTGATGGATGAAACCTCAAGCAACGCAGATCTTTTTTGGAGGCTGGAGCCAGTTGAACCTGCAATGGCTAACAAGTGAGAGGACCCGGGTTCGATTCCCGGGCAGGGCAAAGCATAGGGCAAGTTTCCTTACTCTACACGCCTCTGTTTACCGAGCAGTCAGTAGGAACCCGGTTGTTAGTTGATTGGCGGATCGCTTTTCCATGGATAATAATCTCTTTAAAAAAATTTGATCACTCAGTCCACGACTGTTTGTGGGACGCTGCTGTGCTCAATTGGCTGCTGTGTTTCATCCACAAAATATACAATAAATTCACTTTACAGTATATTCTGTGAAGTGTTTTGAGACGTAATACATGATAAGGTGCTGTATCAAATGCAAGAATTATTAGTACTCTGGGGTCCTTAAGCCTTGGCTCTTGCCAACCTGCACCTAATATTCTCTGGAATAACATAAGCAGCATGCGAAAAAAAAGTGTATTTGAAGCCCTTAATGATTCCTGTAATGAAGGTATGACAAGAGAAGTACAATAGGATTAGAAACTCGTAACCTGATTTACAATTGGACTGGGAGACTGGGCGAGGAGGACGTTTCATTCAAAGTTGCTGGTTCTAAGGAGGTAATGGACCATGAACAAATGAATCAGTAATCTCAAGACTGCATCAAACTTTTAGTTCATGGTTTTCTGCCACAGTGCCTTATTTTATTTTGTGTTTTTTTTGGACCTTTTCTAACTGAATATTTTCAATACACTCTCCTGGGGAGGGAGGGAGGTAAGAGGAGTAGAGCTTTGCTGGCTCCCAGACGATGACATGTCAGAATCGAGCCCACCCTCTGTGGCCGTCTCTCTCGGTTGTCTGGTTCCTCAGCCAGTCTGCAGTACTGCTGATGACAGACGGCCCAGCCCATAAGCAGGATTTTCGGAGCAGACCGGTCACTGGGGGCAGCGATCCTCCCCACTCATCTACAAGCCAAAGCTCTAAAAGGTAGGATGGTCCTAGCTGGACAAGAGGCAGAAAGTGTTTAAGGCTCTCAATGAATGGTAAGCTATGTGGGTTTGGCTTGTTGAACATCAGCAGTTATTCTCAAGCCTTGGCTCTGGAATTAGGTTAATCAGTGTACGTCCCTCCAGGGAGAGAGAGCGCATTCCATTCCAGACATGAGGAAATTCCCAAGTATAGGTATATGGATCTCCCAGTCTCGCTTAGAGACTCTTAAAGTCCAGGGATGGGTTTCACAATCTGATCACATTGCAAGTGGAATGTGGGTTCACCCAATGGCCCAAATATCTGCCTATGAAATGCACAGTCACTACACCCAACAGTTAAAAAAGGAGGAGTTATGTGACGTTTCGACAACGTGTGATAAGGCGGAATACCAAATGCAAGGCTTATTATTAATTATTTACAAACATCACTAGATCAAAGACTTTGTTGCCAATTCTTATATTAGCACATCATAATGGTGAATTCATCATAAAATCAGATGCAGACCATTTGGTGAAACAAGTCTGCAATGGTGCTTTCCTCCACATGTGCCACCTCGTCTCTTCCTGAATTCCTGCACGCTCTTCCCCCGACCTCCCCTTTAATGTCTCTCCCCTTCAAGATTTCATTAATTTCCCCATTGTTCAGCGCTCCGAGACACTCTCTTGTACAAAGGGAGTTTCTCTCCCAGTGTCCTGGCCAATAATCCCCAAAATAATACTGGTTCTTCACTTCATAGCTGTTTGTCAGACATTGCTGTGTGCAAATGGGCTGTTGTGTTCATCTACAGTCATTACACGTGACACTAAATCCTGTGAAGCGCTTTGAGATGTCGTGCTGATATAAAAAGTGCTATACCAAATGCAAGGATTATTCTCGTTATATAAATGCAATTTTTTTTTAGTCAGCCAGCTGACCAACACACACACACTCACACTCACACTCAGCACCGTGCTCAAGAGTATCCAAACTGAACTCCACTCATCTCATCTACACATAGAGATTCCCGTGTCTGGAATAGAATGCACACTCTCTCTCTCATCACAGAGGGATGCATCCTGCTTACCTAATTCTGGAGAGTCTCGGGCACAGGTTGGCAAGAGCCAAGGTTTGGGGATTTATCTACATATTTCCCATCTAACAGAATTTGTGCCCCTCACAGTTTGCGGAGGACAATGTCACATTCCAACCACCAGGACAGGAGGGGACTGTGGCACCTCTTTTGGAGACACATTTAGGATTCTTGCGATTACTCAGGAGCGGAGAAAAGGAACTTGGAGGACTTTCCACTGCTTGTCCAGCTAGGACCACCCTACCTGTTAGGGCTTTGACTTGCAGGGTTAACAGGAGCTGAGTCGGTGGATTCCCTGTGCCTTATGGAAGCTGGTTTGATCCTTCAAGTCCTGCCAACAAGCCAGTCTGAGTTCGTCTGTCATCAGTGGTGCCCTGGAGTACTGTGAGCCTGCCTGGCACCAAGCGGACTAGAGAGAGAGGCTCCCACAGAGGGTGGGCTCAATTCTAATATTCCATTGGCAAGCAATTGAATATTAATTAATAATCTAAATATTAATAATTGTAGTTGAGGTACAGATCAGCCAGGATTTAATTGAATGGCAGATCAGGCTCGAAGGACTGAATGGCCTATTCATGTTCCTATATATAAGCACATCACCTTGGAACCAGCTCAGCTCCTAGGAGACCCCGCTTCCTCCCCTCCCCTTGCCGGAGTCAGTCAGTCAGTCAGTATTCAGACCCAAAGGAGCAGTCAATCTCATTGGTGAGACCAATTTTACTTGCAGAAATTACATGATGCTTTGACACACACCAAGCCATACAATTCCTGTTTTTCTAAAAAAAAACAAGGACCGCTTTGCATTGGGAGGGGCGGAAGTTCAAATGAGAAATAAAAACAGCCTTTGTCGTTGTTTTTTTTGTTTGGTCTGATCTTCAGGTCACAATTTGGATTCTATTAGTTTTGTAAAAAAAAAAGAACGTTTAAATCTCCCATTTCACTGCCCCAGGAGCATCAGCGATCAGCTGTAACACAGGGACCTTGGGGTTTATCACATCGACTGGATGGCTTTATCGAAGCTTTCCGTAGTCCTATCAACATAAAGATACGAGGGTCACAAAAATTGCTGTGTTCTGCAAAAAAAAACAGCATTTATCACGATGGCGAGACGAGTCAAAGCGCTTCACAGGATTACAACTCTGACATGTAGTGACTGTGTTTTTGTAGGTGAACACAGTAGCCAACAATGTGCCACAAACAGCCATGAAGTGGAGTGAATGATTGAATTTATCTGGTAATAATACTTGCATTTGATAGAGACCTGTATTTGATATTGCATTTGATATTGAGATGCCTCAAAGCGCTTCACGGGATATATTGTAAAGTGAATTGACTGTGTAAAGTGATTCTCTTGGCTCAGGTGTCAAGTCAGTTCTGCTAAGTGAAAGGTGCTATAGATGTGTAAATATGTATTGAGTAAATATGTTCATGCATTTTTGCTTAAAATCGCAGTTTCTGGCAGTGAGTTCCACATTCTCACCGCCCTCTGTGTGAAGTTCCTCCTAAACTCTGTTAAGTTCAGTACTGGTTACCTTATAATAATTAAGAATAATGATAATAATAATAGCATCGGATATAGCATCGCATCACCTCATTGAGACGCCTCAAAGCGCTTCACAGAATATACTGTAAAGTGGATTGACTGTATATTTTGTAGGTGAAACACGGCAGCCAATTCCGCACAGCAGCGTCCCACAAACAGTCATGGATTAAGTGATCAAATTATTATTATATATTTTTTAGCAGCTTAACACCACTGGAAAGCGATCCACCAATCAACTACCGACCGGGTTCCTACTCACTGTTGGTAAACAGAGGTGTGTAGAGTAAGGAAACTTGCCTAAGGTTTGGCCGTGCCCAGGAATCAAACTTAGGTCCTCTCGCTTGCGAGGCCTCTAACCACTGAGCTACAGGACTGCACATATTTATACCCTCTAGTTTGGGGCTCACCAAATGGAAACAGCCCATTGACGACCTTATTGGAGATGGAAACTGTCAGAACTTTTCCCCTCCCTCTATTCCCTTCCCCCCAAAAAACACACACACAGACAACCCTGGAATGACCATAAGTGCTTCTTCCACCCCACAGACCAAACCCGGCTACACCAACTTACTTATTGGTTTCACCGGAACTTACCACAGCCTCGCCAGACATTGTGCCCCCGGTTCCCGAGTCTGTTGATGGCAGGGGGATATGGTTTGCTCTCCCTTTTCCCCCCCACCACCACCATAAAACCGATGCATAAACCCCACCCCCCCAAAAATTTACCAAAAATGCAGAGGGCGGGGTGGGGAGAAGGGGGTAGGGGGAGTGGGGGGTAAGAGAGCGCATGCTTCGCTGTACCAGTTCCTTGGATGCCTTCCTCGCCAGGTCGGATGGAAAGAGTGGAGCCAGCAGCTTGACTGGTTCAACCTGTCCCAGTTTGGACATCGATTTATACAGAATAACTGGCTCCTGGAAAGATGGGGGAAACGGACAGTTAGAGTCAAACACTCGGACCTAGACTTACACCTGGTCCACGCTGGGGTTTATACTCCATGAACCTTCTTTATTAGTGTTTGCTCCCCCTCCATTCCCTCCTCCCTTATTCGTGGCATTGTATTTTCTCTCAAATATGGGAGGTCTACACATTCACCACCCTCCTGAAAATTCCTGAAACCCTCCTAACTTCCACTGCCTGTCATATCATAGCAACAGCGTTGGAAGAGTGGCCCTTAGACTAACTCTCTTACCCTCTCCCCCCCTTTACACACATTAACAAAGAGACATCAATCACCCGACATCTGTCCATTCTCTGCCCCTCCATTCATACACACCAACAACAACTTGCATTTATATAGCACCTCTCACGCAGAGTAGCATCCTAGACCACACAACTACAACTACCACACATTGTGGAGTCCTGTAGCTCAGTGGTTAGAGCACTCGCTTTGCAAGTGAGAGACCTGAGTTCAATTCCAGGCAGAGGGCGAAACCTTGGGCAAGTTTCCTTACTCCACACAGAGCCTAATAATAATCCCTCCAAAAAACAAAAAAAACAATAATTAAATTGGTCATTTTCAATCTATGACTGTTTGTGGGACATTGCTGTGCGCAATTGGCTGCCGCGTTCGCCCACAAATATACAGTCAACTCACTTTACAGTATATTCTGTGAAGCGCTTTGGGACGTCCTCCCGACGTGAAAAGCGCTATATCAAATGCAAGGATTATTATTATTATAACTATTACCCACCCCCACACACATCCATTTCCTCCTCCCCCCGCCACACGGACCACATGTCCATTACCCCCTACATACACAAACCTACCTGTATAATCCCCCCCTCCACCCCTCCTGTGTGGGCCGCCAGTTAAATCAATGGTGAGAAATTATACAACAATTGGCAAAATCATAAGAGTCTTACAGCACAGAAGGAGGCCATTCGGCCCATTGTGCCTGTAACAGCTACCAACTATTCCCACTTCCCCCACTCTTCCCCCATAGCCCTGCAAATTATTTTTTTTCTTTTAATAATCCAGGTCAGGTTCCTGAATTTTCTCTCCTGCTCTACCCCACCCCCGTAAAGCTCCAGCTATCACAGGCCTGAAGACGTCCAGACTGAAGTTCATATCTACCATCTCCTTGGGTAACTTGGTCTTTGGTTCGGGAGGATGCAGGGGAGCCAGGAGCTTAATAGGTTGAAGTTTTCTCACTGGTTTCTGGGGAGAATGAGGAACACACCTTACAATTGTAGAATCACTGAATGTTAACACTCCTCATCTCCCTCTTCAACCTCACACTGACCTCACACCCCAGCCCCATCCCGCCCCCTGCCTCTGTAACTCACACAGACCCCACTACTTCCCTTCCCTCAGTCAACATCAACCTGTTTCATATCCACCATCGGTGGGTGACCTTTTAACCAATCTGCCCCCACTCTCTAGAACACCCTCACATAACCCCTCCAACTGCGTCATTCCCTCCTCAAATTCAAAGCCCACCTCAAGGCTTACCTCGGGTTGGCCATCTAGGGGGTGTAAAAGTGCAGGGTTTGGGCACTTTGTATATAAAGACTCATAGCCCAGGCTGACGCTCCAGTTTAAAACTCGTCGGTGGGTGGAATGAATGGTGTGGGAGGTGCCGTCCTTCAGACGAGATATCTGCCCATTCGCGCAGCTGTTAAAAACGCCGTGACACAATTCAAACAAGCAACATCCATTGAACATTTATATCACACTGGGTGGACTTTCCAGAGCAGAGCTGGGGGTGGGAGGCAGCTGAGAGAGGTGGGGAGGGAGGGGTGGGTGAAATCAGAGGGGCTCCGCGATGGAGTTCCAGAAAGCTCGCCCACTGATGGTGGGGGGTATCAGGTGGGGGGTGTTAGCTGAGCAGAGGGTGCAGCAGGGTCAGTGGGGTTGCAGGAGGGTGGTGGAGGTAGGGTGGGGGCAAGGCCTTGAAGGGATATTAAAAAGGAGAAGGGAGTTTCTCGGTGTCCTGGCCAGCAATCTGCCAGATAAACCCAACAGGATTATGGAATCCTGGAGCAACAATTTATGGAGCCACATCTCAACAACAACAACTTGCATCTACACAGCGACCCCTCATGCAGGGTACTGTCCAGAGCGCCTGACAGTGCGGAGCACGACACCAAGTCTGAGAGAGGGGGGAGGTGACCTCAGGCACTGTCAAAGAGGAAGGTCTTCAGGCCCCACCTGTAAACATGGAAGGAGAGGGCAAGGCGGAGGGATAGAGGAAGAGTGTTCCGGAGCTTCGGGGCGTAGTGACTGGAAGTGCGGCCACTCGATGGTGGAGTGGAGGGCACGAGGGACAAGCAGAAAGCAAATCTCTTACAAAGGCTGTGCGACTAGCAGCCCCCGAACACCCCCCACCCCAAAAAAGAGAACCATTGAAGTAATGAATTGCGTGCTGAAGCATTGTGTACCGGTTCTATACGTGGATGTTGAACAGCCTCAGACTGTCCGGAAGTGGAAGAATCAGCATCACTTTCAAAGGCTGACTGTGGGCACAGAATAACACCAATTAATTTCCATCGGATCGTTAATAATAATAATCCTTGCATTTTATATAATGCCTTATCCCATCGAGACGTCTGTATTGACTCTATATTTTGTGGGCGAAACGTGGCAGCCAATTGTGCACAGCAGTGTCCTACAAACAGTCGTGGATTGAGTGTCCAAATTATTATTATGAATTATATTTTATAATATACCAAAGCACTTCACAGGATTTCTCCCACAAAAGACACAGTCACTCCACAATATATTCTGTGAAGAGCGTTGAGACGTCTTGAGGACCTGATAAGGCTTTGCATTGCGTCGAAATCAAGGATTATTATGATTTACTGTCAATTGGAACGATCTTGTGTATTTGTGGGTGAAATTGCCTCCTTCAAGGCCCATCTCAATACTTTCCTCTTGTGTCTTTGGTCATCCTCCCACCCTCACAAATACAGCTCAAGCACAAACCCTGGACTGTCCGTTACAGTGGGACATCCTCCCAAAGAGAAAGGGGATGTATAAATGCAATGAGTTGTTGTCTCAAAGTGTGCAACAACACTGCTGAGCACCAAAGCTGGGGGGTGAAATGGAGGGTGCGGAAGGAGAGAGAGGGAAGGGGACATGACGAGAGTAAAGCCAATGTACCTGTTCCGCAGATGTAGAGCTGATGGATTCAAACTCTCGACTTTCAGAAATGCTGGTCTCAAAGTGTGGCTGTAGAAAGTTAATACAACGCCAGGTTTAGCCCAGTGCCACACAGGGACTCTGCATTTGCTTCAATAAACTGGTCAGGGTTTATTAAACACCACTGGCCCTGACGTCAAGAGATACAAATCTCTCAAAGGCAATGCAGCACTCAATTACAATGATAAATACAATGTCGGGAGGACATTTTAAGCTCTCCGGCACGCCATCCGCCGCGAACAACAACAAAATTACATTAGTATAGCGCCTTTCACGTCAGGAGGACGTCCCAAAGCGCTGGAGGCCACGATATAAATGCAAGTTGTGTTGTCCCAAAGTGCTTCACAGGATCTGCTGTGAAGTGTAGTCACTGTGTGTTCTGGGCGAACGTAGCAGCCAATTTGCGCACAGCAACATCTCGCAAAATAGCTTTGAAGTGAAGGACCAATTTTATCCAGGGGATTGTCAGCCGGGTCATTGGGAGAGAGAAACTCTTTTCTCTTTTCAAGTAGCGCCACAGGATCTGAACATCCACCCGAACATTCACATGCAATGAGCGACATCTCTGACAATGCAGTGTTCCCCCCCCCCAGCACCGCCTCAGATCATCAGACAAGACTATACCAGTTCAAATTCCCCAATGTGGGGCTTGAACTGAGCCAGGCTGATAGTGGAATTTATCCACAAATATGCATCATAGAAACACTCTCCCCGCACTGTCTTCCTATCAATAGGGCCACGCTTACAGATTCTCGTTTGACAGATGTGTCGTTGGAATGTTTCCGGGCTTTCGGAGGGCTTTTTTTACCAGCAGTTGGTCTGATGTTTGTACCACTTCTCTGTCGTTTAAAACAAAAACATTTTCAAAAGTTACCTTTAATAATGAAAAATATCCTTCCATTTGATACAGCGCCTTTTAACGACAATAATCCTTGAATTTGATACAGCGCCTTATCAGGTCATTGGGATGTCTCAAAGCGCTTCACAGGATATACACTGCACTGCATTTTGGGGGCAAAACGCGGCAGCCGAATGCGCACAGCAGCATCCCACAAAAAATAGTGACCACATTATTTTTTAATATTATTTTTAAGAGGGATTATTACCCCCGAAAGCGATCCGCCAATTACAACCGGGTTTCCACTCAGTGCTGGTGAATCCCCTTTTCTCTCATCTCACAGGATCTTTTAACATCTGGCTGAACGGGCACAAACGGGACTTTGGTTTAACGTCTAATCCAAAGGACAAACCTCTTGGCAACTCTGCTCATCTCCTCTCTGGTTCTTTTGCCAATTATCTTAAATCTGTGTCCTCTGGTTACCAACCCACCCGCTTCCATCCTCATTGCTCCCCTCTGCACCACCCGACAAGACTGGTGTGGGTCACAGATGTTAGTGGGACTGACATACCTGTGGTGGAGTCTCAGTGGGCTTGGGCTCTTGTTTCCAGGTAACCTACAGAATATAAACAACATCATCTTTAAGCCATTGGGAAGTCTACTCTCTATTTGTGGGCGAGGAATAGGGAAGGAGGAGCAAAGAGAAAGAAAGGAGGGGAAAGCAGAGACGAAGAGAGGAGAGTATTACGGTAAATTATCTTTCGCTTAGCAAAACAGTGAAATTATTCACCGCGGCAATACTGGCCACAACTAGTATTGGGCTTTGGCTGTGGGGTTACATGGAGCTGAGGGGGAGGATTCCCTGCCCCCAGTGACTGGTCGGCCTTCCAGGTCCTGCTGATGAGCCGGGCCGGGCTGTGCTGCCATCAGCAGTGAGTGCCCTGGGACACTGCGGCCCCTCCTGGCTCAGGAACCGGACTAGAGACCGTCATTCCATTGCCAGGCCTGTCACCTTGGAGCCAGTTCAGCTCCGAGGAGACCCCACTAACTTTTTCCCCTGTAATGTAAACTGGTATTGGGAGTGCACGTGCTTACAACAGGTTCTTTCTTGACAGACTTGGTCTCGTAACGTTTCCTGGGTTTCAGGGGGCTGGAAGGCCTGGGAGATAGTTTTGCAGGTATTCGGTTTGCCTTCCCCTGGGAGACAATAAACAACAACAACAAATGACATTTACGCAGCGCCTTTCACGTCAGGAGGGTGTCCCAAGGTGCTGGACAGTCAAGGGTTTGGACCTGAGCTGGGGGTTGAGATCAGGAGGGGTGGAGGGCGCGGGATTGGGGGGTAGGCGGGTGACCAAAAGAGTGGAATGTCTTGAGATGGGCCTTGTAGGAGGCAAGGGAAGGAACGAGGCGGAGAGACTATGGGATGGAGTTCCAGAGGATGGGGGCAGAGAGGCTGAAGGCCTGACCACCGATGGTGGTGTAGGCCGGGCGGGAGACATGGAGTTGGCTAGAGCCTGCTGAGGGGAGGGAGCGGACAGGTTAATATTATTTATTAGAAAACGTTCATCAATTTCTTTCTGGTACTTAAGCCAGATCCTCTTCCCCTGACTGGACTGTGTGGATCACAGATGTCAGTGGGGCTGACGTACCTGCTCTGGAGGCTCAGGCTCTTGCCTCGAGGCGATCTCAGGTTTGTGGTCAACCTGCTGAACATTAACATCATCAGCTATAAGGCATAATAATAATTATAATGTGATAAAGCGCTTTACAATTCTAATTTTGTTGCTGTATATCAAATGCAAGGATTATTATTATTATTAGCCACTGGCACATCTACTCTCTATTTGCGGGCAAGCACCAGGGAAAGAGTGGGAACAGAAATAATTTGTTTTTTTTGCCCAGCCGGGTGTCTGACACACACAGAAACCCCTCACTGTTGCTTAAGAGTCTCCAAATCAATCTGAAAATTCCATACATGTCACCTACACATGGAAATCCCAGGGAGAGATTGTTGGGATGGAATGCGCTCTCTCTCTCTCTCTCTCTCCCTGGAGGGACGCCCCCTGTCTACCTAATTCCGGAGAGTATTAGGCACAGGTTGGCGAGAGCCAAGGCTTGGGGGGGGCCCAGAGTGTGTGTTGGGGTAACTGCTGGAGTCTAACCGGCTAAACCCACACAGCTTGGCCATTGCTATCACTGTCTGGCCAAGCTTTCCCGCTGCTTGTCCAGCGAGGACCCCCTTCCCCGACAGGGCTTTGGCTGTGGGGTTACCAGGAGGTGAGGGGAGGATTCGCTGCCCCCAGTGACCGGTCGGCCCTTCCAGGTCCTGCTGATGAGCCGGGCCGGGCTGTGCTGCCATCAGCAGTGACTATCCTGGAATACTGTGGATCCACCTGGCTCAGGAACCGGGACTAGAGCCCATCAGAGAGGGCTGGCTTGATTCCGATATTCAGTTGGCAAGCAGTTCAGCTCCAAGGAGACCCGGCTTACCATCCCTCCCACCAAGGAGGTGAAAGCAGAGAGAAGAGCATTAAGACAAGTTATCTCTCTCTCCAAGAACAATAAGTGAAACAATCAATTATTGGTGACAATTCACCAATAATTGCCCAATAATTCTCCATAACTGGCCTGCAGTGTAAACTGGTATTGGGAGTGAATACGCTTACAACAGGCTCTTTCTTGCCAGACTTGGTCTCGTACTGTTTCCTGACTTTCAGGGGACTGGAAGCACTGGGTTTTGCAGGTATTCGGTTTGCCTTCCCCTGGGAGACAACAAATCATTAACATTATCTTTAGAAAATGTTCATCGGTTTCTTTTTCTAAGAAAAAAACGTTGACATTTTATAAGAATACTTTCATTTGATGTAACGCCTTTCACGTCAGGAGGACGTCTCAAAGCGCTTCAAAGTGTAGTGACTGCCTGGGTTTTGTGGGCAAACACAGGAGCCAATTTGCACACAGCAACATCCCGCAAACAGCTATGATGAACTTTATCTGGTGGATTTTCGGCCAGGACAGGGAGGGAGAGAAAAACTCTCTGCTCTATTTGAATAGCATCACAGGATCTATAAGATCCATCTGAACAGATACAGACGAGACCTTGGTTTAATGTCTCACCCAAAGTACGACACCTCTGCCCTGGAGCATCAACCTAGACTGTGAGCTCCAAGTCCAGACTCATAGGCTAGAAAGCCCCTGACGGAGCTAAACTGAGCCCTCAGGCCCTCCTTGAGGCTTCCAGGCACAACTAAACTTGGCAAGCCATGGCTCTGAGATGATATCTAACTACTGAGCTACATGGAGTCCTGTAGCTCTGTGGTTAGAGCACTTGCCTCGCAAGCGAGAGTACCTGGGTTTGATTCCCAGGCAGGACAGGGCGAAACGTTGGGTAAGTTTCCTTACTCCACACGCCTCTGTTTCCCAGCAGTAAGTAGGAACCTGGTTGTTAGTCAATTGGCAGATCGGTTTCTGGGGGTAATAATCCCTTGAAAAAAAAACTAATAGTCTGCTCGCTCAATCCACGGCTGTGTGTGGGACGCTGCTGTGCACAATTGACTGCCGCGTTTCGCCCACAAAATATACAGTCACTACACGTTACAGTGTATTCTGTGAAGCGCTTTGAGACATCTTGAAGACGTGATAAGGCGCTGTATCGAATGCCAGGATTATTATTATTATTATCCACTATAACACAATAGGCTTGAGTGTGACATACTGGTTCTGCAGGCGCCCCCTGGTGGGTGGGTTTGGACTCTCGGCTGCGGGAGCTTTCAGTCGCCATGTCCAACTGCAGGAAAGGAACAAAAACATCCTCAGGTTTAAGCCCACTTCATGACTGCTCAACTTATCCGCTCCGTCCACTCAGCAGGTTCCACCCTACTCCACGTCCCCTGACTGGCCCGTCCCACCATCGGCGGGCGGCCTTCAACCTCTCTGCGCAACACAAGGATTATTATTATTATTATTATTATTATTAGCCAGGTTGACACACTGATGCCCGAAAGCATTGCCAAAGAGGCAAGTCTTGAGATTCAAATAGAATGTACAGCACAGAAACAGGCCACTCGGCCTAACCAGTCCGTGCCAGTGTTTATCTCCACGAGTCTCCCCCCATTTCTTACCCCCTCCCTCATGTGAAGGTCCAGCTTCCTCTTGGATGTATCTACACTCTCTGATTCAACCACCACTTCAGGCAGCGACTTCCACAATCTCACTGTCCTCTGTGTGAAGAAGTTCCTCCTAAATTCTCTATTAGATCCAAGTCACTATCTTATACTGTGTCTCCTGGTTACAGTGGGAACAGCCTGGTTACGTTAACCTTATCAAACGGTTTTGTAATTTTAAACACCGTTATTAGATCCCCTCTTGAATGTCTCTTGTGCAACGTATGAATGGATCAGGTATGAATGGATTTGCTTACAGGATCTTTCTTGATGGATCCATCGTCCTGGTGCTTCCTGTGTTTTGGGGGACTGGACAAGTACTGCAGAGATTTCTCAGAAGTCTGTTTGGCCCCCTGCGCAAAAGAGAGAGAAAAGAGAGAGAGGAGAGAGAAGGGAGAGAGAGAGAGATAAAAAGAAAGAAAGAAAATCAAAGGTTAGCTTTACAAACTATTGGTTAATTTCAGGTCGTAATAATCTGGTCAGGAAGTGGGATGGATTCAGACAAGTCTACAGATACATTGAGAGGGATGACACCCCCACCCCTTTGGGTAAACCCCTGACTGTCCAGCACCTTGGGACGTCCTCCCAACGTGAAAAGCGCTGTGTAAATGCAATTGGTTGTTGAAAAAACAAAACTGCAAATGCTATTATGGGGGTAATATTAATTATGATTATTGATCCTAGCATTTGAAAGACACCATTCTCATTAGGAGGACAGCCGTCCCAAAACGCTTCACAGGCTGCAATATGAAGTGTAGTGACTGTTTTTTAAAGCCTACGCAGCAGCCAATTTGGATACAGCAGTGACCCCCAATTCAGCCATGAATTGAATGATTCAGTTTTGTTTTGGGGGATTGTTGGGCAGATCACCAAAAGAGAGAATGTCCCTCCTCTATTCGAGTGGCACCACAGGACCTTTAATGTCCACCTGAACGAGGCACAGACGGGCCTTGGCTTTGTTTCATCTGAAACATGACACCTTTGACAAGGCAGAGTTTGTCCAGCACTGCACTGGGAGGACTGTAATGTACCAGCTTGGGAGGCCTGGAGGGTTCAGGCTCTCGGAGGCTGGAGACTGGAGCGTCCAGGTCAGACTGTAAAAAATTAACACAACATTAGCAGCCTGAAGTCGCAACGACCCTCGTATTCCAGGGGTTATTAGCAGGGTCTGGGGAATACCCTTCCCTCCCCCCTATTTGGAGTCCTGTAGCTCAGTGGTTAGAGCACTCGCCTCGCAAGCGAGAGGACCCGGGTTTGATTCCCGGGCAGGGAGAAACTTGGGCAAGTTCTCTTACTCCACACACAATAAGTTGGAACCTGGTTATTAGTCAATTGGTGGATCGCTTCTCTGGGGGGAATAATTCCTTCAAAAAAATTAAATAATAATTTGGTCACTTCAATCTACGGCTGTTTGTGGGACGCTGCTGTGCGCAATTGGCTGCCGCGTTTCACCCACAAATATACAGTCAGTTTGCTTTAGAGTGTATCCTGTGAAGCTCTTTGAGACATCTCGAAGACGTGATGAGGCGCTGAATCAAATGCAAGGATTATTTATTATTATTATTTCCGCTGATAGGGGACTCAATGACTAGAGGCCATAGTTATAGAATAGTCACAAAAAGAACGAAAGGAGATTTCTTTTCACACATGGGAGTGGAACGTGAGAGGTAAAGAGATATGAAAGATTGAGGATTGAACGGGTATGGGGATCGCTTCTCTCTGTGTGTGCAGATCTCCCATTTTCGAACCTGTGTGGAGTTTGGGTAAAGTTCCTGGACTATCACTCTCTTGGTGTTCAGCCAAGCTGAAAACTTGTTGCAGCAAGTGACAGTCAATTATTCTCAGGGATTTGTTACGCCAACTCTCTGCCCTAGTCTTCAAGCTCATGTAAAGTGGACTTGCTTACAGTTTCCTTCTTCACCGGCGCGCTCTCAATACGCTTCCTGATTTTCGGGGGACTGGGAACTCGGAGGTAGAACTTCTCCGAGGTTGGTCTGGTGCTATTGCTCTTCTGTACAGAGAGAGAGAGAGAGAGAGAGAGAGGAGTCAATGACATCACTAACCTGAAGGCCATCAATTCAAGGTCATTAGCAAATACAAAATGACATTTACACAGCGCCTTTCACGTCATGAGGACGTCCCAAGGCACTGGAAAGTCAGGGATTTGGATCCGAGCTGGGGTTTGGGATCATGAGGGGTGGAGGGCAGGGAGGATGGGGGTAAGAGGGTGGGTGGGGGGGCGAAGGCGCGGTCACAGAGGAGGATCTTGAGACTGGCCTTGAAGGAGCCAAGGGAGGGGGCAAGGTGAAGGGAATGTGGGATGGTGTTCCAAAGGATGGGGCAGAGAGGCAGAGAGACTGAAGGTCCGACTGCCAATGGCGGGGGATAAAGAGTAGGCTGGAGCCCGCAAAAGTGGAGGCAGTGGACAGATGAGTACAGGGTGTTGGTGAGGTGAAGGAGCTGGACAGACTGATCTACTTCACAACAATCCTTGCATACAGCGGCGCATCACGTCATCAAGACGTCTCAAAGCGCTTCACAGAATATACTGCAAAGTGTAGTGACTGTATATTTTCAAGGATGTTTGCGGGGACATTGTTGCGTGAAATTGACGGCCGCGAAATTCACGCACAGTCACACCACTCTACAATGTATCTTGTGAAGCGCTTTGGGATGTGACGTCCTCCTGACGTACCATAAAGGTATCATAACAGATCATTACCAGTTTCTTGGTGAATACGGCTTCCGGTTCAGGTGGTAACAGAGGGGACAGCAGTTTGATCGGTTCTGCAGATTTACAGGCAATTTCTGATGTCTGTAAAGTCATAAAAGACATTATTATTATAATAAAGTTATGCATAAACCCTCAACTCTGTCCATCTGACACACAAAATCCTCATTTCCCCCACTGCCCATTTGAGTTATCAACTGACTTGAGCATGAATCCTCCCAGCGTCAATAGTTTGCTCCTGGAATTATATTTTAATAATAATCCTTGCATTTGATATATCGCCTTATTAGCCCTTTGAGACGTCTCAAAGCGCTTCACAGGATATACTGTGAAGTGGAGTGACTGGAACAGCCATGACGTGAATGACAAACAACACTGTTTAAGGGAAAAAATGTGTAATGTTTTACATTTTTTTTGTATCAATCTTACATTAATGCTCTGATTATAATAATAGTTGCATTTGATATAGTGCCTTATCATGCCATGGAGACACCTCAAAGCGCTTCACAGATTTTGTGGGCGAAACATGGCAGTTTATATACTGTATTATGATTATAATAATTCCTTGCTTTTGATATCAGGATTATCAAATAATATGCATTTGATACAATACTTTTCACGTTAGGATGACAGCTCAAAGTGCTTTGCAGAATTTTACTGTGAAGTGTAGTGGCTGTGTATTTTGCAGGGGGGGAGGAGCCCACTCTGTAAAGCGCTTTAAGACATTTGCTTACGTGAGCTGTAAACTGCTGCGTTCAACAGCCCAGTGAATGCAACTCTTGCATTGGACTTGGCAGCTTATCAATAATATCCTTGCATTTCCCCCACTTATTATGTTTTCTATACGTTTCAAAGCACTTCACAGAATACTCTATAAAGTGAATTGACTGTATATTTTGTGGGCGAAACACAGCAGCCAATTGCACAGAGTTGTGTCCCACAAACAGCCGTGGATTGAACGACCAATTATTATTTTTTAAAATTTATTTATTGTGTTGTTGAAGTGTCTCAAAGAACTTCAGAAGATTTTACTGGAAGGGAATTTTCACGTGTAGGTGGGATGTTTGGAACTCAGTTTGGTTTGGATTATCTTGAGCATGGTGATGGGTTTTCGCATTTGTCAGATACCCAGTGAACACAAAAAAGTGTAGTGACTGTGTTTTGTAGGTGATCGCAATAGCAATTGTGCATAGCAGTGTCCCACAAACAGTTATGAAGTGAATGATTGATTTTATCTGGGGACCAGTTGGTCAGGATACTGGTCTTTTCCAATAGTGCCATAGGACTTGGAACTCATAGACATAGGTTGACAGCCCAATTCAGCGCTGGTAGTGGATGGGGAGAGCAAGAAAGCGTTGCAATATTGGATGGCAAAGCCAAGGGCCTGTCCAGGTGGATGTTAATGATCCTGTGCAAGGATTGTGAAAGTGTTCTGAGATGCTTCCCTGTGTGAGGGGTGCTATATCAGCCCGTCCGTTCCCTCCGCTCGGCAAACACCGGCTGCTTCAGGTCCACCCACACTTCCCACCACACGTTGGTGGTCGGGCAGTCAGCATCTCTGCCCTCACCCTCTGGAACTCCATCCTGCAATCACCCCACCTCACCCCTTCTCTTCCCTCTTTCAAGTCCAGTCTAAAGATCTTCCTCTTCGACTGTGCCTCCGGCCACTCTGCACAATACAATACCATACAAATACAATAGCACAATACAGTACCCGGCTCCCTATCCATATATGAGCATATGTCCCCACTAATCTCTGATTCAACAACCAAGTTGAGTGGCCAAGAAAGAGATTATTCGCATGAGATTAGAGGACCTTCTTAAAAAATAAGAAGTAATAATAATCCTTGCATTTGATACAGGAAGGAGTTTCAAAGCGCTTCACGGGACTCAGCCTTTCTGCCCACTCCCAAACTCTGGAACTCCATCCTGGAGCCTCTCCATCTCTCTTGCCTCCTTCAAGGCCTATCTCAATCTTTTCTTCTTTGACCTTGCCTTTGGTCATCTTCACACCCCCCCCCACCCGCACCACTGCCCACCACCCCTCTCTGATCCCAACCCCCAGTTGGGTGCAAACCTCTCATTGTCAAAAAAAACAAACAATTTGAGAAATTATTACCCCTGAAAAAGTGATCCGTCAATCGATTAACAACCAGGTTCCTACTTACTGCTGGGTAAACAGAGATGTGTGGAGTCAGGAAACATGGCACTCCAGACCCTCCCCAACACCTTAACAGTGGAACAGGTTGGTAAAATAAAGTCACAATGTAATACATTAATATTTTAAACCACTGATTATACTGTTTAAAAGCACATTGCTGGGTGGATTGCGATCAAACACACTCAGGGTCTCACGCACCAGTTCCCTGGATGGCTCATTTCTGCACTTGGACAGTGGGGCTGGCACTTTATCAGGTTCGAACCGTCCTCCATGCACGGCTGACTTGTAGACATCTCCTGACAACTTATAATAAATAAATAAATTAGTTTCTACTCTCGGACACCTGCACCACATCATTCTGCTCAAGTCAACTGGAAACTCATTACCTCATTGGTATCTCGTTTATTCTTGCGGGAAATACTTCATCGACCAACCAAACAATCACCAACAACTTGGATTTGTATAGCACCTTCTGAGACGCTGCCTGCGTGAAGGGCGCTATGCGATTGCAAGTTCTTGTTCCCCAGCTCTGTGACCTGCTCTCTCCATATCAACCTGTCCGCTCCCTCCGCCCAGCAGGCTCCATCCCCACCCTTTGGAACTCCATCCCACAGCCCTCCACCTAGCTCCCTTCTTCAAGGCCCATCTCAAGACCCTCTTCTTCAACTACACCTTCAGCCACCCTCTTATCCCCACCCTCCCTGCCCTCCACCCCTCATGATTCCAACCCCCATCTCGGATCCAAATCCCTGACCGCCCAGTGCCTTGGGATGTTCTCACTAAGTGAAAGGCGCCGTGAAAATGTAATGTGTTGTTGTTGGCTCGGAGTGCTTCACTGTGTCTGCATTGAAAGACGAGACAGTGGGGTGGGGGGGATTAACGCAGGAGACGACCATAGGCAGGGTCGAAGAGGTGGGTTTCAGAACAGGACTGAAAGATGGGGTGGTGGGGGTGGGGGCGCGATGGAGGGGTCGAGACAGTTAACTTATGCAGCCCCTCATTGCTATCTTATACTCTACCTTTTAGATTTTCCTCCCCAACCCACCCCGGTCACTATTTTCACAGCGGAGTGAAGCTGACATACCAGTTCTGCGGATGGCCCTTTGCTGGGTTCAGGGTCAGATTTTGCCTGTGGACAATAATTTGCACAGTCAGGGGGAAGCCCTTGGGATTACCAAGTTGAGGCAAGTCCGTGTTCGATCTTTATATTTTCTTGATTGAATTAATAATAATAAATAATAACGTTTGCATTTGAAATATTAATTAAGAACATTCATTTTGTTGGCCGATGATAAAGGTTGGAGAGTGTCGAGAGGTCTATGGCACCCTCCACAGACGGCTGACCTGCTGACACTCGTTGCCAAGACTCACACGTGATCATTAATAATAATTACCCTTGCATTTATTAAACGACTTATCGCGTCTTCGAGACGTCTCAAAGCGCTTCACAGAATATACTGTAAAGTGAATCGACTGTATTTTGTGGGCGAAACTCGGCAGCCAACTGCGCACAGCAGCGTCCCACAAACAGCCGTGGATTGAGTGACCAAATTAATCATTTAAAAATATTTTTAATGGGCTTATTGAAGGGTAGAAGAGAGGAAAACTAAAGAGCATCATAATAAGTGGACTTGCTCACAGGATCTTTTCTGACCGATGTGTTGGCGTGACTCTTCTATGTTTTGAGGGACTGAACACAGTGAGACCGGACTGGCCAGGGCTGAGCTCACTGGCTTTGGTGTGTCCATGTTGTTTATGCACCGAGGAGAGAAGGTTATCTTCAGGGAACTGCAGTCAACTGTAGCCAATATGTTAGATTATATTTGTGATATTTGATGTATTTTTTAAGGCTTTTAATTACTCTTTATATACTTTTAGCTACTGATTAAATGGCTACAGCATCAACACCTGCCTATCTCAAGGCTGAGAAACAAGCCGGCTGTCAAAACAGGTAAAGAAAAGCCACTCTCCCTCCCTATTAACCGCTGCCAATGCTTGACTGGCTCTGGCCTCCCGCTTGTCCCTCGTGCCCTCCGTTCCACCATCAGCAGCCGTGTTTTCAGCCGCTACTCCCCAAAACTCTGGAACACTCTTCCTCTATCCCTCCGCATCACCTCCTGATCTTCAGGTCGAACCTGAAGACCTTGCTCTTCGGCTGTGCCTACAGTCACCTCCCCCTCCCCCCGACTCGGTGTCGTGCTCCACCACTGTCAAGCGCTCTGGGACTCTGCCCTGCGTGAGGAGGCGCTGTGTAAACGTGAGGTCTGCTTCCCGGATGTTAACAGCAGAACGAGCTGCAGTGACTCACCAGTTCTGCAGGCGACCATCTGGTGGTCTCAGGGTCTTGGCCACTGGAGACCGGAGTGTCAAAGCCCGACTGGAATAAAATGAACATGTCAGTCTGTAGCCACATCCACTGCTGCTCTCCATTCAAACATCTCAAACATGGATGCCTGATCCATTCACATTGTCCAGACTGAGGGGGAGAGATGTTTGTTAGGTCAGGGGATCAGGGGATATGGGGCAAAGGAGAGTAATTGGAGTTGAGGTACAGATCAGCCATGATCTTATAGAATGGTGGAACGGGCTCAAGGGGCTGAATGGCCTCCTCCTGCTTCTATATCACACATCTTGAAGTACTCTTCTCAGGATTTACTGTAAAGTGCAGTGACTGTGTGTGTATTTTGTAGGCAAACGTGGCAACCAATTTGCACACAGCAATGCCTCACAGAGAATCATACAGCGAGTGACCAATTTTATTTGGGGGATTGTTGACCAGGGACACGGCAGAGAGAAACTCCCTTCTCTTTGTGGAGTGGGGCCGTGAGATCTTTAACATCCATTTGAACCTCGGTTTGACATCCAGATAAACACAGAAACAGGAGGAGGCCATTCAGCCCCTGGCTGATCTGTACCTCAAGTCCAGTTACCTGCCTTTGCCCCCATATTCCTTGATCCCCTGACCTGACAAATATCTAAAGGGCGGCATCTCCGATAATGTCGGGCCACACCCCAGTGCTGCACTGAAGAGGGAATGAACCACAAAGAGAGGCTGACGTACCACGTCTAGTGACCGCCATCCAATGGGCTCAGGTGAGCATCTGGTGGGCTCAGCCTCTTGGCTACCGGTGATCTCAGGCTCATGGTTGATCTGGAGAAAATCAACGAGATTAAAGCCACCAGCACATCTACTCTTTATTTACTAGTGGGTGGGGTGGTGGGCGGGGGGGAGAAGAAAAGGAAGAGGGCAGAGTCCCTCATTTCCTAATCAGTTAAGAGTTAGGATAAGCCATCAAAAAAAAAGTCCTCCTTTACATCCTCTTGTTCCATTCCTTTACCACCTCTCTTCAATCGTGTTTTTGGTCAGCTATCCCATCCCCACTCCCCTCGCCTCCCACCCTCCTCAGATCATGCCCCCGGCCAGCAGTGGTAAGGGTTTTGAGATGTCCTCCAAATGTGAACAATGCTGTAGAAATGTACAGGGTGATCAAGAAGTTGTGATACCATTACAAAGTCTAATAAGTCTGAAAAAGAAATTATGATATATATATACTTTTAGATAATTGGGGGAGATCAATTTTGGTCAGCCCTCGACCCAACTCGTCAATCGATTCAAACCCAGATTAAAATGCGGACTTGCTCACAGTAGTTTTGTGGGACGTGCTGTCACTTCGCTTCCTGTGTTTCGGGGGGCTGAAGTTACTGAGACGAGACTTCTCCGAAGATGGTCTGGTGATTTTCGTATTCCCCTGATAAAAGAAAAAAAAACACACAAGATTGAAGGTTATTTTTTGAGAAACAAATCGCCAATTTAAAGCCATCACCAAAAATTTACCAGAATGATACCAGGGATGAGGCACGTGAATTGTGTGGAGACAAGAGAAACTGGGATTTAATAGAGGGGTTCAAGATTATGAGGGGTTTTGATAAGAGTGGATAGGGAGAAACTGTTTCCACTGACAGTGAATTAAAATAGTTGGCCAAAGAGCCAGAGGGGAAATGAGAATTTTTTTTTTTTTTAACCCAGAGAGTTGTTACAGTCTGAACGCATGGCCTGAAAGGGTGATGGTGGCAGAGCAGGTAGATAGGGCAGTAAAAAGGGCATTTGGTGTAATGAGCTTTATTAGTGGGGCATAGAGTATAAGAGTAGGGGTTATGGGTTAATCTGTACAAAACACTGGTTAGGCCTCAGCTGGAGTACTGCGTCCAGTTCTGGGCACCTTACCTCGGGAAGGACATTAAGGCACTGGAAAGGGTGCAGAGGAGATTCACGAGAATGATACCAGGAATGGGGAACCTTAGCTATGAGGACAGTGGAGAAGTTAGGACTTTTCCCATTAGAGCAGAGAAGGTTACGTGGGGACCTGATAGAGGTCTTCAAGATCATGAAAGGTTTCGACAGGCGAGATAGGGAAAAGCTGTTTCCGTTGGTAGGTGTGTCTGTGACTCGTGGTCACAGTCTGAAGATATCACCAAAAGAAGCAGAGGGGAGGTTAGAACAAATGGTTTCACTCAGCGACTTGTTAGAATTTGGAATGATCCGCCCGAAAGAGCAGTGAAGTCCGATTCGATAACAGCTTTTAAGAGAGAACTGGACAGGTATCTGGAGAAGACGGGTTTGCGGGGTTATGGGGAGAAAGCTGGTGAGTGGGGTTAATAAAAGTCAGTTGCTCTGTCAAAGAGCCGCCACAGACTCGATTGGCCGAATGGCCTCCTTTTGTAACATTCTAGGATTCTATGGTGAGAGAGGGGGTGGGAATAGAAAAAGGACAAAATGCATCATAGAACCATTGAGATTTCAGCCCATTGTGTTTGTGTTCCCTCAGAGAGGGATTCAGCCCTGTTCATCTGCTTTTCTCCCTCCACAGCCAGGACACCAGGAGAGAAACTGCCTTATTTCCGAGCAGTGACGCAGAATCTTTAACGTCCACCTGAACAGGCACAGGAGTGACCTCGGTTTAACGTCTGCAGCGAAGGGCGACGCCTCTGACAGTGCAGCGCTCCCCCCAGCACTGCCCTGGAACATCAACACAGACACTGGGGCTTGAACCCACAACCTCTGACTTGGAGGCGAGAGTTCACCACTCAACCCATCTCCCTGAGGCATGGACACATCTTCACAGTGAAGGGAGAGGTTGCACTGGTCAGCCGGGTGTCTGACTGTGCAGAAATCCATCACCATGTTTAAGAGTCTCCAAACCCAACTGAGAGTTCCCTGCAACCAACGTACACATGGAAATCCCAGAGATAGATTGTTGGAATGGAATGCACTCTCTCTCTCTCTCTTCCCCCCCTGGAAGGATGCCCCCTGTTTACCTAATTCCAGAAAGTATTAGGCACAGGTTGGCAAGAGCCAAGGTTTGGGGGGAGCCCAGAGTGTGCAATGGGGTAACTGCTGGAGTCTAACCAGCTAAAACCATATAGATTGTCATTGATATCACTGCCTGGCAAGTTTTCCTGCTGCTTATCCAGCGAGGACCACCCTCCCCGTTAGGACTTTGCTGCAGGGTTAACAGGAGCTGAGGAGGAGGATTCCTTGCCCTCAGTGACTGGTTGCCACTGTTTCCATCATCGTATCTTCCATAACACAACAGGCGCGGGTGGTACAGTGAGAACGAGGTCTGCTTCCTGGATGTTAACGGCAGAGCGAGCGACGGTGACTCACCAGTTCTGTGGACGGCCGTCTGGCGGTCTCGGAGTCTCGGTTGTAGGACGCCGGCGTGTCAAAGCCCGACTGTAATAAAATTAACACATCAGTGTAAAGCCAGGTTGGCTACTCCTCTATTTGAACGTCCGCTCATTTGTTAACCTGTGATTTCTTAACCCTATCCTTTCAGCCTCATTTTCCTACATTTTTCCTGTACCCCTGACACCCTCTCGCTGTGTCTGAATTCTGGAATTGCTTTTCTCCCCAAGCGCTGCCCCCTCCCTCTGAAACATCTCCGGCCTACCACGTGCAGAGGCCGCCATCCAATCGGAGATGACTACCTGCTGGGCTCGGCTTCTTGGCTACTGATTATCCCTGGTCTGTAGTTGATCTGAGAGGAAATGGACAACATCAGGTTTAAGTCGACACACGGTTTGCTGGTTTGGCTTGGTTGGGGGGGGGTGTGGGGCTGTGGGAGCGTGTTGGGGCAGGGGTGAGGGGAGAAGAGTTCTAAGTATTTCACGCTTTTCTTATGCTGCGTTCATCATGAGAGGACATCGCAGAATTTTACTGTAACGTAAGCGTGGATTTGTAAGCAATATGAGGTGGGGGTTGTCAGCCAGGACACCAGGAGAGAGAAACTCCCTTCCAGGAGTTTGTTTGTGAACAACACAGCGGGATCTCTAATGTCCACCTGAACAAGATATAGAAGTGCTCTGGGACGCTAACCTGTGTGAAGGGTGTTATAAAAATCAAGTTGTTGAGACCTTGATTTAATGCTTCAACCTAACTGACCTGCTTACCTTCCACTCCACTACCCACTCCCTCCGGCCTCCTGCACATCCCTCATCCCCTCCACCATCAGCGGCTATGCTTTCAGCCACTGTGCCCCGAATCTATGGATCTCTCTACCTCAATCCCTCCCCCCACCACCCTCCCCGGCTCAACATCAGGCTCCGCCATTGTTAAGCAACTCCAAGACATTACTCCAAGTGAAGTTCGATGTATAAATGCAAGTTGTTGTTAATGTACCAGCTTCTTGGATGACATGTCCTCGGTTAGGCAGTTGGAAAGAGGGATAACAGTTTAACGTCTCTCCAGGCCTCTCTGCGTGAGCTGCAGATTGTACAGGCAAGTTCTTGCAGCTGAAACAATAAGAAAAATCAGTTGCAAGTCTCAACTTCTGCCATTGATACACTGCAATTCATAGATTCATAGAACGTCACGGCACAGAAGGAGGCCATTCGGCCCATCAAGTCTGTGAGGCTCTCTGACAGAGCGTCACTTTCACTAACCCCAGTCACCAGCTTTCTCCCCATAACCCCACAAACCCGTCTTCCCCCAATACCTATCCAGTTCTCTCTTAAAAGCTGTTATCGAATCGACTTCACTGCTTTGGGCGGATCATTTCAAATTCTAACAACTCGCTGAGTGAAACCATTTCTTCTAACCTCCCCTCTGCTTCTTTTGGTGATATCTTCAGACTGTGACCACGGGTCACAGACACACCTACCAGCGGAAACAGCTTTTCCCTATCTCGCCTGTCGAAACCTTTCATGATCTTGAAGACCTCTATCAGGTCCCCGCGTAACCTTCTCTGCTCTAATGGGAAAAGTCCTAACTTCTCCACTGTCCTCATAGCTAAGGTTCCCCATTCCTGGTATCATTCTCGTGAATCTCCTCTGCACCCTTTCCAGTGCCTTAATGTTCTTCCAAAGGTAAGGTGCCCAGAACTGGACGCAGTACTCCAGCTGAGGCCTAACCAGTGTTTTGTACAGATTAACCATAACCCCTACTCTTATACTCTATGCCCTACTAATAAAGCTCAGTACACCAAATGCCCTTTTTTACTGCCCTATCTACCTGCCCCACTACCTTTAATGATTCGCTTACTTGAACACCCAGATCTCTCTGTACGTTCACCCCCTTATGATTGAGCTCCCAAGTCTATATTGCCTCCTATCATTTTTCCGACCTAAGTGTATCAGCTCACACTTATCCACATTGAAATCCATCTGCCACATGTCAGCCCATTCCACCATTCTGTGTATGTCTGTCTGCAGTTGGTTACAGTCCTCCTCACTATTTACTACCCGACCTAACTTGGTATCATCTGCAAACTTGGAAATAGTGCTCCCTATGCCCCAGTCCAGATCATTAATATATATTAGAAAGAGCAGTGGTCCCAATACCGATCCCTGGGGGACACTGCTCAGCTCCTTCCATTGCAAGAAACAGCCATTAACCACCACCCTCTGCTTTCTGTCACTCAGCCAGTTCTTAATCCAAACGGCTACTGTCCCCTTAATACCGTGGGCCTCTAATTATTTTATTAATCTCTTATATGGTACTGTGTCAAAAGCCTTTTTGAAATCCATGTAAATAACGTCCACCGCATTTCCCTCATCAACCCTCACAGTCACCTCTTCAAAAAATTCTATTAGATTTGTTAGGCAAGATTTGCCTTTAACAAATCCATGTTGGCTGTCTCTAATTACCTCGTGTTCCTCTAAGTAGAGATTTATTTTGTCCCGGATTATGGTCTCCAGTAGTTTTCCTATTACCGAAGTTAGGCTGACTGGCCTGTAATTTCCGGGTTTGTCTTTCTGCCCCTTTTTGTAGAGGGGGTAACATTAGCCACTCTCCAGTCTCTTGGCACCACTCCTGTGTCCAATGAAGATTGAAATATAATGGCCAAAGCCTCCGCTATTTGAACCCGTATCTCCCACAGCAACCTTGGGTGAAACCCATCTGGTCCTGGTGACTTATCAATTTTGAGCCCAGTCAATCTTTTCAGAACTTCCTCTCTGTCTATAGTAATCTGATCTATGTCCTCTACCCTCTCATCCAATACTGCGGCATTTGGGGCATCCATTTCCGTTGTGAAGACAGATGCAAAGTACTCGTTCAGTACATCAGCCATGCCCTCTGCCTCCACAACAAGATTGCCGTCATTGTCTTTGATTGGCCCCATCCTACCTTTAACTAACCTTTTTTCCTTTATGTGCTTGTAAAATATTTTAGGATTCCCCTTTATGTTACCCGCTAACCTCTTCTCATGCGATCTTGTAGCCTGTCTTATCACTCTTTTAAGATCACTCCTGCATTCTCTATAATGCGCTTTGCTATCCTCAGTATCTTGCGTCTTCCAATTGTTGTACGTCATCTTTTTCTTTTTCATCCTAGACAGATTATCCCTGGTCATCCAGGCCGGCTTGGTTCTTGCACATTTCCCTTTTGTGGGAATATATCTATTTAGACCTTGAGCTATCATATCTTTGAAGATCTCCCATTGCTCATGAGTCGTTTTACCTGCTAGTCTTACTTGCCAGTCCACCAACTCTAGGTCCCTTTTTAGCCCATCAAAATTAGCCCTTTTCCAGTCAAGCATTTTCACCCTTGACTGTACTTTGTCCCTGTTCATGAGTAATCTAAATCTAATAATATTATGGTCACTGTTACCTCGATGCTCCCCTACCGAAACCTGTTCAACCTGACCTATTTCATTCCCCAGGACTAGATCCAGCAATGCTTCCTTCCTCGTAGGACTGGAGACATACTGCTCAAGAAAATTTTCCTGTACACAGTCTATGAATCTTTCTCCTGCCTTGCCCTTAGCGCTGAGATTTTGCTACTCTATATTGGGATAATTGAAATCCCCCATTATCACAACTCTGTTCGCCTTACATCTATCCGCGATCTGGTTGCAGATCTGCTCCTCTATCTCCTTCCCGCTGTCTGGTGGTCTATAGTAAACTCTATCAGTGTAACCACTCCTTTCTTATTTCTTATCTCTAACCAGATGGATTCTGTTATCGGGCCCTCCAGAGCCTCGTTCCTTTCTACAGCTCTAATTGTATCCTTAACTAACACTGCCACCCCTCCTCCTTTTCTTCCTTCTCTATCCTTCCTGAACACATTATATCCTGGAATATTTAACTCCTATTCCTGTCCTGAGCCATGTCTCGGTTACTGCCACCACATCGTAACCCCCTACGGCCAGTTGAACCTGCAGCTCATCAACCTTATTCCCTAAACTACGTGCATTTAGGTACATGCATTTGAGGAAATGGTCCGCTTCTACCTGCTCTACACTTCCCACTTGTCTTTTTGCTCTAATCTCTAATCCAGTGTTTATCCTTGGATTCCCTTCCCCCCTCGAAACTGGTTTAAATCCGCCCCTACAGCATTTGATAATCTCTTGGCCAGGAAGCACACCCCTGCCTTGCTTAAGTGCCGCCCATCCTCACGGTAAAGATCCCACCTCACCCAGTAGTGGTCCCAATTGTCCAATGCAGCAACAGTGCACAATGGAGCATCAACAACAAATACAGTGCACCACATCCAAGTCCCGTTGTGGAGTCCTGTAGCTCAGTGGTTAGCGCACTCGCCTCGCAAGCGAGAGGACCCGGGTTCGATTCTCTGCAGAGAAACATTGGGCAAATTTCCTTACTCCACACACCTCTGTTTACCCAGCAGTGAGTAGGAACACAATTGTCTGCCATGTTTCACCCACAAAATATACAATCAATTCACTTTTCGTTATATTCTGTGAAGCGTTTTAAGATGTCTCTAAGACGTGATAAGGCGCTGTATCAAATGCAAGGATTATTACTATTGTAATGCGGGGCTTGAACCCACAACCTCTGACTCAGCAGCGAGAGTGCTCCCGGGTGACACACACCTATTCCTAAACATACTCTCATCCCATATAGTTACTTACAGCAAAGGGAATACCAGGGAATAGCAGCTAAAGAGCAACATTGCTGTGGTCAGGGGCTGTGGGTCACACACTGAAACACTTTGGTGACGTTACAAACATCTCCTTCAGTATCCCTTCGTGATGCCACAATAAGACCTTCAGTGACAACACAACAGACCCCTCAGTGATGCCACAATAACCTGTCTCTCACACCCCCCCCAGCGCCCACCTGGAGACCCCTTCACACAGGCAGATATAATAATAATTTGGTCACTCAATCCACGGCTGTTTGTGGGCCGCTGCTGTATGCAATTGGTTGCCTCGTTTCACCCACAAAATACACAGTCAATTCACTTTACAGTTTATCCTGGGAATCGCTTAGAGACTTCTGAACCACGTGATACGTAAAATCACGTAAAATCCGGTGAAAAGCTTTGAGATGTCCTCCTGGCATGAAAGACACTATAAACGCGTGGTCAAAGTGGAGGGTCTTGAGACAGGCCTTGAAGGAGACAGGGGGCGCGGGGGGAGTGCACGGGGAGTGTCAAAGCTAGTTTTTACACCAAGTTCTTATATTTTTCAAATATGTAATTAATGTGTTAAATAATATCGCAAGTTATATTAGTGACATTTAATCATTCGAGACATGTGATCGATGTCATATGAGGGTTTGACTAGCTTCACAGGAGGAACAAAAGACTGTTTATAAATAACAAACTGTTTTCATTCCTTATCAGTCATTTTCTCATGGAAAAAGGGTCTTCAGCTGGAGAGAGCCGTGTGCAATCGGTTTTACAAAGGAACCATCTTGCAAAAGACAATAGGTGAAAGGTCACCTAATCAACAGTATAATAATAATATAATAATAATCCTTGCATTTGATACAGAGCCTTTTCACATCTTCTCGACATCTCAAAGCGCTTTACAGAATATGCTGTAAAGTAAATTGACTGTATATTTGTGGGTGAAACGCGGCAGCCAATTGCGCACAGCAATGTCCCACAAACAGTTGTGGTTTTGAAGTGACCAATTCATTATTGTTTGGTTTTGGAGGGATTATTATTAGACGCTCTGTGTGGGGTAAGGAAACTTGCCCAAGGTTTCGCCCTCTGCCTGGACTTAAACCCAGGTGTCTCGCTTGCAAAGCGAGTGCTCTAACCACTGAGCTACAGGACTAACAACAACAACAGAGGACATTTACACAGCAACACATGACATTTAAATAACAACAAGAACGCATGAAATTTACACAACGACAACAGAGGACATTTATACACCAACAATACATGACATTCATACAACAACACGCGACATTTACACAACAACAACAACAACAAGATTCCATTTATAAAGCGCCTTTCACGTCAGGAGGACGTCCCTACACGTATAAACAACTACACGTATAAACGGAGATTGATTCGACAGAGAATCAGAAGAAAGAATTGAAGGCGAGGGGTTGAATTGGACGTGCCATGATACCTGGATACCTTTGGGTGATCGAACTGAGAAACATACAACAATCCTTGGATACTTTTGGATGCACATAAATTTGGATTAAAATGGACATTAAATTGGATATTGCTCCTGGATCTCTCCCGCAGCATTTGGTTTGGTCAACTTAAATCATCGTGAACAATTCATCGATATGTAAGCATTATTGTGATGTATTCTTTTAATCACTTATCACTATTACTAATCTGAATTAGTAAACATCTATATTTTTGTACAACATTTGTGTCAGTCCTAACTTTATTTAAGGATTTAGATCCTCACACAAATTTAAATGAACCCTTACAGAAATCAAACCTTTTTATGTGGAGGTGTGTTGGGAGTTGAGGGAAACAGGGTTAGGATGTGCTTTGGGTATGTGGAATACCTGACCAAGTAAGGTGGTACGGTCAGTGAATCCATTTTGGGTTTCAATGGGAATGTACAAAGGTATACAAACATAGGCACCACAGGCTACCTACCACCATTGCCAGGTTCCCATGATGGCCTGGTTGATGAAGGGCCCAAGGCAATGAAGTGAGAGGCAAGAGGAGACTTGTTTTTCACACCACTGGGGGATTCAATGGGGAATTAGATGGTCACATGCAGAGGAAGAGGATAAGGAGGATACAGAAATTTGGGATGATAATATAATAACAACCCAGGCATTTGACTTAGCGCCTTATCACACCATCGAGACGCCTCAAAGCGCTTCACAGAATGTACTGTAACACAGTTTGTCGGTGTACTTTGTGGGAAAAATGTGGCAGCCAGTTTGCACACAGCAGCGACCCACAAACAGCCATGGAGTGAGGGACCAGTTTTATTTGGGAGATTGTTAACCAGGATGCCGGGAGAGAGAGAAACTCCCTTCTCTTTTCCCAATAGCATCACGGAATCTTTAACATTCGCCTGAACAGGTACAGACGGGACTTTGGTTTAACATCTCATCAGAAGGACGGCACCTCCCACAATACAACACCCCCAGCGCTGCCCTGGAGCCTCAGCTTAGACCGTGTGATTCCTAGTCCTGATGTGGGGCTTGAACCCACAACCTTCTGACTCAGAGGCGAGAGAGAGAGAGAGAGAGAGAGAGAGATACGTACTAAGCCAGGGCTGACACACTTGTGTTGTGTGTTTCTGTGGAGAGAACGAAGCCTTGTTCTTACCTTCAACTCCAAGGGATGAGGTTCCATCACTCCTGCCATCTGCAAAACGTCCAGCATCGGATACACCCATCAGCCTCTGGCTCTCCACTTTCAGTCGGCAAATTGGTCTCTCTTGCAAACAGTCACTTTCACTGTGTTGTCTTCTTACCTTTCAGTCTCTTTGACTCTTCTGTTGTCCTCTGTACGCTTAAGTTACACTAAACCTCCCCCCTCCACCGACTCCTGCCCTCCTCCCACACCTGCCTCCCCCTATCCCTCCTCCCTCCCTACTCCCACCTCCCCCACTTCCCCCTTCCCACCTCCATCCCTGGCCCCCGCCTCCCCCTCCCCCCGCCTCCTCCCTCTCCCCCTCTCCCCCCTCCCCCACCTTCTCCCTTCCTCCACCCCTCCCCCCCCTCCCCCCTCTCCTACCCACTTCACCCTTCCTCCACTACCCCTCCCCCCGCCTCCCCCACCTTCCCCCCTCCTCCAAACCTTGCTCCCCACCTTCCTTCACCACTCCCCCACTTCTTCTCCCTCCCACCCCTTCCTCCTCCCACAAGCCACCCCTACATGCCCCCACTCCAACCCCCCCCTCTGTTGCCCTGATCCAATTTGCTACCAAAACATCACCGCTGACTATTCTCAACAGTGGATATTGAAAAAAAATTCCACTCCATTAGTCAGGAATCCCCACTGCCCCCCAGCTCTGGGTTTTCCACGATCGCCGCTTCAATCTAAACCAGGGTGGGGGTGGGGGGAGGGGCAGGAGGAGGGAGAGGAAGAGAAAGAAAGGGTGGGGTGGGGGAGAAGAAGAGGAAGTTTCATCCTTGTATAGAAGGCATTTTTCCAGTCCTCGTTCAGATCCTGTGATGCTCCAGGTCAGATGCAAGAGATTCCCCCCTCTCTCTCAGTTGCCTGTTGACCTACAGTGGACTTCCAGCCTTTCCGATGTTTTCCAGCACCTGCGATATTTCCCACTGCGTCTGCAACCCCCACTCAACCCCTGACCCCCACCAACACAACCCCGAACACACCTCCTGCTCTCAATTTGATTCAAAAGATCCCCAGAAACGTTTCGCTCGCTCACTCGCTCGAATGCTCACCAGACAATCAGACTGAAGCCCTAACGCTACCCCACATGAAGGGCGCTGTGTAAATACAAGTTGTTGTTGTTGTCCACCCAGGAACCCTTGGGTCTGAGCTGACAGAAACCACTGTTGCCTAACAGAGTGAGCGAGCGAGTGAGCCAGTGAGCGAGCAAGCGATGACACCAATCCCGTTACCTCAGTCTCTTGCTCAGTCACTGGACATCGGAGCTCGCCCAGCTCACCTCTGCTCGCTATGAAAGCCGGATCCTGAAAATCACAGAGAGAGAGAGAGAGAGAGAGAGAAAAAGAGGGGCCAGAAAAGGGCAACATTTATCAGTTAATGACAATAATATTACATCATGAGACATCTCAAAGCGCTTCACAGAATATATTTTGCGGGCGAAATGCGGCAGCCAAGTGCGCGCAGCAGCTCCCCACAAACAGTCGTGGATTGAGCGATGAAATTTATTTATTTTATTAAAAATGGATTATTAAACCCGGAATGCGATCTGACAACTTACTGCTCGGTAAACAGAGGCGTGTGGAGTAAGGAAACTCGCCGAAGGTTTTGCCCTGCCTCAAAATCGAACCTCAGTCCTCTCGGTTGTGAGGCCACTGAGCTACAGGACTCAAAATAGGTAAAGGACCGGTAGGGAGTGGGGTATCTCCATGAGACCACAAAAGAGGTGGCTGCTGAACACGAAAGGCAGGTGAGGCTAAACACTATTTTTGGGGCAGTTTCTTACCGGTTGGGGCACGTAATTCTCCCCGAAAATTTGCGTTTCAAGTTTGGGACACTCTTCAATCGAAGCCAGGGATCCACGAGGCGTATACTTTTCTGGGTGTTGACCCACATTTTGCTATATTTGAACCAAAAAGAAATGGAATCATTGACAGGAGATGTGTAAATGTCATCGACTGAGGACAGCAAATTCAACAACAACAAATGACATTTACACAGCGCCTTTCACATCTGGAGTGTCTTGTTTGACCCTGAACTGTCCTTTCTTCCCCACATCCACACCATGACCGGCACTGCCTACCACCACCTCCGCAACATTGCCAGACTCTGCCACTGCCTCACCCCTCAGGCCTCCAAACCCTCACCCACGCATTCGTCACCTCAAGGCTCTATTACGGAAATTTCCTCTTGAACAGCCTTCCCAACTCTTCTCAAGTTGCAGATCATCCAAAACTCTGCAGCTTGTGTCTCCTCATGCACCAGGCTCCGTGACCCCATCACTCCCATCCTCGCCGGACTCCACTGGCTCCCCACCCCCCAGAGGATCCTTGTCATCACCTTTAAGGCCATACATGGGTTTGCCCCCTCCTACCTTTCTGACCTGCTGACTCCCTACCAACCTGCCCCCTCCCTCCGTTCATCGGGCTCCGGCTGCCATGTCTCTCGCCCGACCCGCCCTACCATCAGTGGCCGGACTGCCCCCACACTCTGGAACTCCATCCCACGGTCCCTTCGCCTCACTTCCTCCCTCGCCTCCTTCAAGGCCGATCTCAAGACCTTTCTCTTCGGCCGTGCCGTTGGTCTCCTTCCCACCTCTCTGCCTTCCCTCACCCCTACACCATACCCCATGCTCAGGCCCCGACACTTGACTGTTCAGCGTTTTGGGACGTCCTCCCGATGTGAAAGGCGCTCTATAAATGTAATGTTGTTGATGAGATGCTATATCAAATGCAAGGATTATTATTGTTATTAATTATTATTGTTGTTGTTATTATTATTCAGCAATTGTACATTTCATAGCTCTCTTCTCTTCCTCCCACTCCCCACCGACATTTCACCAGTGATAATAAAGTCACAATGACAATTGGAACTCCACACAGAATAGATAGTAATAGGCAGTTTTTCCACAGTAGTGGAGCAGTCACTGCAGAAAAAATACCTCCACATTTCTAATAATAATCCTTGCATTTGATATAGAGCCTTATCACACCATCAAGGTGTCTTAAAGCGCTTCACAGGATATACAGAACTGTAAAATGGAGTGACTGGCTGCTGAGTTTCGCCCACAAAATATACAGTGTGCGCACAGCAATGTCCCCACAAACAGCCAAGGAGTGAGTGACCAATTTTATTTGGGGGATTGTTGGCCAAGGACAACGGGGGGGGGGGAGAGAGAGAAAGAGAGAAACTCCCTTTTCTTTTCAAAAGACTGCCACAGGATCTTTAAGGGCCACCTGAGCAAACAGATGGACCTCGGTTTGACATGTCATCCAAAGGGTGGCACCTCTGACAATGCAGTGCTTTCCCTCCAACACTGCATTGGAGCGTTAGCGTAGACTACACAAGCCCTCAGAGGTCTTGTATGGTCTAAGCTGATGCTCCAATGCGGTGCTGGGGGAGGTGGAGGTGGGGACGGAACACTGCCTAAATGGGACCTCAGTTTAGTGTCTCACCCTACTTGTGATAGGTAACCAGTGCGTCCTAACAGCTCACCCACTTGGCCTCCTTTGTATGCTTGGAAGACCTCACCTTCATGGTGATCAGTGAACTGCGAAACCACGCTTGGCTGAGCTCCATTGCAAGGCGAGAAATTGTGAAACTTGACTTCACCAATTCCCAAGAATTGACCGTCATGGACCATTCAGCAGCGCTCACCCAGTTGGTGCTCAGCGAATCCTGAGACCTTGGCCACGTAGTGGGAAGAATGCACCCCTCCTCTGGGTTTGTGAACAAAGGCATGACCGAAGAGAAGTAGACATCCCACCACAATTGGAGAAGGTCCACTATGTGGGGCTCCTTGGGTTTCCCAGTGTCCGTCAGCACTAGGTGGGTGTCCGGTATGAACGTGTAGTGCCAAGGCTTCACTGGTCCCAGAAAGTGGATCACTTTGGCCTGGGAACCAAATCTGTAATAAAGAGGGAAGAGATGGTGATGGGTGAGTGTTGGTCTGTAAGTGGCCAAACACATCTCTCTTTCTCTCACTTTAACCAAAAGGAAAATAAAAGAGAGAGAGAGAGAAAGAGAGAAAAAGTGAGAGAGATGATACTTGAATAATAATAATACTTGTATTTGATAGTACTTGCTCTGCCTTCCCTCACCTCCGTAACATCGCCCAACTCCGCCACTACCTCACCCCTCAGCCCGCTGAAACTCACCTCCAGGCTTGACTATGCAAACTCCCTGCGTGTCGGCCTTCCCAACTCCTCCCTCCACAGCTGCAGATAATCCAGAACTAACTCTGCAGCTCATGTCCTCTCCCGCACCAAACTCCGTGACCCCATCTCCCCCACTCTCGCCATCCCCTTTAACCATGACCGCATCCTCTTTGACCATGCTAACAGTCACCTCCCCCCTCTCCCCGGCTCGGAGTCAGGCTCCACTACTGCTAAGCGCTCTGAGACGCTGCCCTGCGTGGAGAGTGCTATGTAAGTGCAAGTTGTTGTTGCTGCTAAGTAAACAGAGGCGCGTGTGTAGAGTAAGGAAACTTGCCTAAGGCTTTGTCCTGCCCGGGAATCAAACCGTGTCCTCTCGCTTGCGAGGCGAGCGCTCTAACCAGTACACAATGCCACAGGTGTGAGTTTTACTCTAGTGCCGCGTTTCACCCACAAGAGTCATTTCACTTTACAGTATATCCTATGAGGAGCTTTGAGGCGTCCTCCCGACACGAAAGGCGCTGCACCAATATTATTATAGTAACATCAGCAAACTATGAATGGGGGTTCACACAATTTAAATATCTGGGCGCCCGAGGGGAGAGGGATAAAGCAGTGCTTACCTTTTGAAGGCCGCAAGATAGTTGTACACAGCAACGCTGCTCAGGTTGTAGAGGAATGGAAGGTGCTTGTGGATGTCCTTCGTGGCCCAGTCACTAAAGAAACTGTTCAACAGGCCTTGGTCACCTCCTAACACACAGCGAAAAGGGACACATGTTTACGACACTAGTAATAATAATAATAATTATCCCTACATTTGGTACAGCATCTTTCACGTTAGCAAGGTGTCCCAAAGCTTTCCACATGACATACTATAAATAGTAATAATAATCTTTACATTTGATGTAGCTTCTTATCATTGAGACCTCTCAAGGCATTTCACAGAATATACAACAACTTGCACTTATACAGCGCCCTCCACGCAGGGTAATGTCTCCGAGTGCTTAACAGTGACAGAGCCTGACTCCGAGCCGGTGGGCGGAAGGTTGCTGTAAGCACGATTGAAGAGAAAGGTGCTCTTCGACTGTGTGACCGTAAATTGTAAAGTGTAGTGACTGCATAACATAACATGTAGGAGCAGGAGTTGGCCATTCGGCCCTTCGCGCTGCCCCGCCATTCAATCATGGCTGATCTTCTAATCTAACTCCAGCTAATAACCTGACGCTGCCTTATCTCCATATCCCTCAATCCCTTCTGCATTAAGAATTCTATGTATCTCAGTCTTGAATATGTTCGAGGACTGAGCGTCAACAGCCCTTTGGGGTAGTGAGTTCCATACATTCACTGCCCTTTGAGTGAAGAAGTTCTTCCTCAACTCAGTGCGAAAGGGCTGCCTCTGATTTTAAGGTTGTGACCCCTGGTTTTAGTTTTTCCAACCGGGGAAACAATCTCCCACTATCTACTCTATCATGGCCTTTGATGATCTTATAGGTTTCTATAAGATCCCCTCTAATTCTTCTATATTCTAGAGAATATAGGCCCAAATTGGTCAACCTCTCCTCGTAACTCATCCCCTCCATCCCTGGCACTAACCGAGTAAATCTACGCTGCACCCCCTCCAAGGCAAGTACATCCTTCCTTAAATGAGGATATTTTGTGGGGGATCACGTCAGTCAATTGCGCACAGCAGTGTCCCACAAAACGGTCGTGGATTGAGTGACCAAATTATTATTATTAATTTTTGGAGGCATTTTTACCCCTGGAAAGCAAACCACCAATCGACTAACAACCGGGTCCCTAATTACTGCGAGGCAAACAGAAGCCGGTGGAGTAAGGAAACTTGCCCAACATTTCGCCCTGCCGGGAATCGAACCCAGGTCTCCCCCTTGCGAGGCGAGCGCTCTGAGCTACAGATCTTATCCCTTAGAATACCAACATCCATGTCTCACAAAGGACCATGAGCTGAGTGACTGATTTTATTTGGAGGATTGTTGGCCAGGACACCAGGGGAGAGAAACGCCCTTCTGTTTTTGAATCGCCCCATGGGATCATTAACGTCCTCCTGCAGACGGGACCTCGGTTTAACATCTCATCCAAAGGACAGCACCTCCGACAATGCCACACTCCTCCAGCACTGCACTGAAATGTCACCTTAGACAATGTGATCCCAAGTGGGGCTTGAACCCGGAACCTTCTGACTTGGAAATGAGATAGCTACCGACTGACAGGCATTGACATCAATTGAAGGGGTGGGGGTAGGGTGGTTGGGGGTTTCCTATTTTATTTTACTAACACCTAAACAAGAGGTGAACGAGACAAGACCTTACCATCAAAGCTGCCATAGTCCACTGCAAAGTCCAGCAATCTGTGGTAGGTGTCCATGGAAGGCCGGAAGACAAAGACCCCCGAATTGAAGCAGTCTGGCCAGCCGGGGTCAGGAGCTGCCGACAACTCTTCCCTCTCAAACAGATTATCAATGTTATTAAGCACCTGCCAAACAAAAGTGACGTTTGTACAAAGTGAAATGACCCTTACATTTGGTATAGCTTCTTTCAAGTCTCACAGGATATCCTGTAGAGCAGGGTGGTCCAACTGGCGGCCCGGGGGCCGTATCCGGTCCAAGGATGACTTAAACTGGCCTGCAAACCATTTAATAATAATAAGTATAATCCTTGCATTTACTATATCACCTTATCACGTCACTGAGATGTCTCGAAGCGCTTCACAGAATATACTGTAAAGTGAATTGACTGTGTATTTTGGGGCAAAATGTGGCAGTCAATTGTGCACAGCAGCGTCACCACAAACAGTCCTGGATTGAGTCACCACATTATTATTGATTTATTAATGAAGGGATTATTCACAGACAGTACCCCGTGTAAAGGGTGAGTTGTTGCATTGATAACCCAAGCCTCCTCACCCTGCCCGGCTAAAACATCACTGAAAGTCTCCCTCTACTCACCAACGTGTCAGCGTCCATGAAGACGCACTTGGTATACTTAATGAGGCACCAACTGTGCAGTTTGGTGAAGGTGACCCCAAGCTCCGGTCTTCCGAGCAAAGCCAAGTGAGCGGAGTCTCTGCTGTCCATGACATCCACCACGATAATCTCGTCAAACACGCAGGCCAGAGCAGTCCTGAATAATATTATAATAATAATCCTCGCATTTGATACAGCGCCTTATCACGTCTTTGAGACGTCTCAAAGCGCTTCACAGGATACACTATAAAGTGTAGTGACTGGTGTGAAAGATGCTATCCAAATGTAATCTGTTGTTGTATATTTTGTGGGTGAAATGTGACAGCCAATTGCTCACAGTAGTGTCCCACAATATCATAGAATTATACAGCACAGAAGGAGGCCATTCGGCCCATCGTGTCTGTGCCGCTCTTCGAAAAGACCCCACTCCCCCGCTCTCCCCATCGCCCCGATCAACCCCACTCCCCCGCGCTCTCCCCATCGCCCCGATCAACCCCACTCCCCCGCTCTCTCCCCATAGCCCTGATCAACCCCACTCCCCGCGCTCTCCCCATAGCCCTGATCAACCCCACTCCCCCGCGCTCTCCCCATAGCCCTGATCAACCCCACTCCCCGCGCTCTCCCCATAGCCCTGATCAACCCCACTCCACCGCTCTCTCCCCATAGCCCGATCAACCCCACTCCCCCCGCTCTCCCCATAGCCCCGATCAACCCCACTCCCCCGCGCTCTCCCCATAGCCCTGATCAACCCCACTCCCCGCGCTCTCCCCATAGCCCTGATCAACCCCACTCCCCCGCTCTCTCCCATAGCCCTGATCAACCCCACTCCCCCGCTCTCTCCCCATAGCCCTGATCAACCCCACTCCCCCGCTCTCTCCCCATAGCCCTGATCAACCCCACTCCCCCCGCTCTCTCCCCATAGCCCTGCAAACTTGTCCTCCCCAAAATAATTATCTACTTCTCTCTTAAAAACTGTTATGGAATCGGCTTCCACCAGCCTTTCAGGTAATATTTTTCTCAGTGAAAATGTATTTTGTCCTGAATTATAGTCTCTAGAAGTTTCCCCACTCCTGACGTTAGGCACTGGCTGTAGTTCCTGGGTTTATCTTTCTGCCCCTTTTTGTACAGAGAGTAACATTTGAACCCTCCAGTCCTCTGGCACTGCCCCGGTGTCCAAGGAGGATTGAAAGATTGTGGCCAGAGCCTCCGTTATTTCCACCCTTATTTCCCTCAGTAACCCTCAGGATGTATCCCGTCCAGACCGGGTGACTTATCTACCCTTGAGCACCGACAACCTTTTTAGTACCTCCTCTCGGTTTATTCTTATCCAATTTCTCTCCCCTCTCCTCCAATACTGTGGCATTGGCTGCATCCTCTTCTTTTGTGAAGACAGATGCAAAGTCCTCATTCAGTACATCAGCCGTGCCCTCTGCCTCCACAAGAAGGCTTTCTCTTTGGTCCCTAATTGGATCCACCCTACGTTTGACTAACCTTTTATGTTACCCGCTAATGTTTTCTCATACAATCTTTGCCTCTCTTATTTCCTTTTTCAGTTCTCTGTACTTTGTATATTCTATTTGATTATCTTCTGTATTTTGGACACAACATTTAAAATAATAATCCTTGCATTTGATATAGCGCTTTTCACGTCGGGAGGACGTCCCAAAGCGCTTCACAGAAAACACTGTAAAGTGAATTGACTGTATATTTGTGGGCGAACGCGGCAGCCAATTGCGCACAGCAATGTCCCACAAACAGTCGTAGATTGAAAATGACCAATTTATTATTGTTTTGGAGGGATTATTATTAGGCTCTGTGTGGAGTAAGGAAACTTGCCCAAGGTTTCGCCCTCTGCCTGGAATTGAACTCAGGTCTCTCGCTTGCAAAGCGAGTGCTCTAACCACTGAGCTACAGGACTCCACGAGTCATAAGCCTCCTTTTTCTGTTTTATTTTAATCCCAGTTTCCTTAGTCTTCCGGGGAGGTTTGGATGTCCTACCTTTCCCATTTGTGGAAATGTATTTGTTCTGTCCCCGAACCATCTCCTCCTTAAAGGCTTCCCATTGCTCATTAGCCAATCTTTCTTTCCCTGTGCTTCTGACACTCTCTGTAGGATCTCAGCCCATTTTTCCCATACGTCATGAATCCCAACATAGACCAGGACTTCTGCATGTTCCCCTTCCCCCTGTAGAATGTTTTGCACCCATATTATATATGGGTTATTATTATGTACATATAATATTATACATAGCAACAACAAATTACATTGTATAGCACCTTTCATATTGTGTGGATGCCTATTATTATAGATATATAAAAACAATCTGTACCTGACTCTTTGGCTGACCATGGGTGAAATGAGAATGACAAGGATTCGTGTCGTCTGGCTTCCCCTCAGGGAGCTGCCGAGCACCAGGGCACCTTGGCCATAGCCATCACTGGTAGCCAGAGTCACGAACGCCTGGTCTGTTATTACTAGAACACGGGAAGAGCAACAAGAAATAGATCAATACAGACAAGTCAGAAGCAAGACCGTTTCTCAAGAGAGGTGCAGGAGAAAAAGAAAGATTTTTTGGCCCAATAGATAATAATAATAATAATTCTCGCATTTGATACAGCGCCTTATCACGTCTTCGAGACATTTCAAAGCGCTTCACAGGATACACTGTAAAATGAAGTGACTGTATTTTGTGGGCGAAACCCTGCAGCCAATACAACATCCCCCCCAGCACTGTGCTGCAGCATCAGCCTCGACCATGTGAACTCAATGCAGGTTAAGCAATGTTTATTAGACTGGGGGGGGGGAGGAGGGTAAAAAGGTGAAGGTTTAAGAGTCCTTCCATGACATACAGAAGTCACTGAGCATGTTGTGTTCTCCTTATCCCAGTGTCCTGGCCAACAATCCCCCAGATAAAATTGATCACTCATGTCGCTCTACGATTTCTTTTAAGCTGACGCACAATTTAATTGATCAGTCAGTGTGTTGGATCTCGGGTTATTGACCCCAGGAACACGGTGGATGTTGGTGGTGGGTGGGGATAGAGAGGGGGCGTGATGGAATACTGTTCAGAATACATTTCCCAGGATTGGATCAGAGGGCAGTGGGCCCGGTTGGGGGGGGTCTGTGTGTGTTTGTGTGTGCGTAAAATTCAATACTCTGCTGCCCGGATTCTCACCCGCACAAAACTCCGTACCCCATCACCCCAGTCCTCACCAGGCTGTGGCTCCCAATTACCGACCAGATCGACTTCAAGATCCTCTCACTCGTTTTCTAATCCCTTCATGCTCTGGCATCTCCCTACCGTTCCGATCTGCTCCCCCCCACCCACTCCACCACCCGCTACCTCTGCTCGGAGGCTGCGGCCTCCTGTGTATGCCTCGTCCACCTCCACTCCACCATCAGTAGCCGTGCTTTCAGCCACCGTGCCCCCGAAACTCTGGATCTCTCTCTCTATCCCTCGGCTTTGCCCCCTCCTTCCCCACTTTCAAATCCCGCCTGAAGACCTTCGTTTTTGATTGTGTTTACAATCACCTCCCCCCTCCCTCTGGCTCAGTGTCAGACTCTGACTCGGTCAAGTTTCCAGGACACTACCCTGTGTGAAGGGAACGATATAAATGGCCAATGTTGCTGTTATGTGGGTGGAGGGGGGCGGGGGGGTGGGGGCAGTCTAAACAACCACAAAGCTTGTGATATGCGCTCACAATCAGCCCCCTCACAACCATCTTAACCAACAGGTACAGCGGGCAGGAGGAGAAAGGAAGAGAGGGCCAACAACAACAATAAATTATATTTATATAGCACCTTTCACGTCGGGAGGTGGGAACAATAATAATCCTTGCATTTGATATAACGCCTTACGAGGTCATCGAGACATCTCAAAGTGCTTCACAGAATGGACTGTAAAGTAAATTGACTGTATATTTTGTGGGAGAAACACAGGAGCCAATTGCACACAGCAGCGTCCCACAAACAGTCGTGGATTGAGTGACCAATTTTTTTTATTGTGAGGATTATTACCCCGGAACGTTATCCGCCAATCGACTAACAACCAGGTTCCTACTTATTGTTAGGTAAACAGAGGCGTGTGGTGGAAGAAAACTTGCCTGAGGTTACGCCCCTCCCGGGAATTGAACCTGAGTCCTCACTTGTGAAGCGAGGGCTCTAACCACTGAGCTACAGGAATTCATAAGCAGGAAGCGACCAAACAGGGACAGAAAATACTGGTAATCAGATTCACGGTTTCCTTAGCAACCACAAATATTAGATGAACTGCCAAACTTGAGGGGGGGGAGAGAAATAAGGTCACAACCCTCTACCAGAAACACGACAGGAGTGGGCGGAGGGGGAATTATACCCAACAACAACAGAATTACAGTTGTAAAGCGCCTTTCAAGGTGGGAGGACATCCCAAGGCCCTGAACAGTCAGGACCCGAGTGTGAGGGGGCAGGTTTGGGGTGAGGGAGGGCAGAGGGGTAGGAGGGAGGCTGAAGGTACGGTCAAAAAGGAAGGTCTTGAAGGAGGCAAGAGAGGGAGCGAGGGGAAGGGATTGTGGGATGGAGTTCCAGAGAGTGGGGGGCGAGAGGCTGAAAGCCTGACCGGCGATGGTAGGGTGGGTCGGGCGGGAGACCTGGAGCAGGCTGGAGCCCGCTGGGCGGAGGGAGAGGACAGGTCCAGAGCTACGCTTACTCTTAGCATTTTACAAGGCACAGAATTAGGAGGCTTTTTGTTTGTTAGGGTGGTGGGGGTGCAGGCAGGTGTCCTGACATGCGGAAAGCTGTCACTATGCTTCAGAGTGTCCAAACCAAACTGAGAATTCCATGTTTCCCACCTACACATGGAAATTCCAATTGGAATTATTTTACTTCCCCTCCACACACACACACACACACACCCCACCTCCAACCCAATTGATATCAAATAAAATTGAGCCCCAAAGAGGGGATGGGGGTGGGGGGGGGGGGGAGGAGAGACTTGTTTCCCCACCCTCTGAAATGCTTAACAAAAAAAAACATGTGTTGAAAGTTCTGCACCCTTAACCCACTGCCCCCTTCCAAAAAAAATGGGGCAATGTGAAATTTCACCCCCCTCCTGGGTTGCCGACAATCTGCTCAGAAACGCCCCCACCCCTCCAAACACGCAAGCAATAAAGCTATTCCCTTCCCACCGCCAACAACAGCCACATGCAACAAATTCAACATAGACTTGTTAGTAAAGTACTCACCGGCCATAGTATAAACACGCTCTCTCTCTCTCTCGCTCTCTTTGGGGTAATGACAAACAGCTCTCTCAAAAGGTTGGGTCGGGGCTGACAGGGTCAAGGGGAAAAGCCCGGGGCTCGTTGCAAGTTGCTCGGGGCAAGATCATAATTCCTCCTTCCCCAACGTTATTGGGGCTGGGATCTTTAAACTGGGGGGACAGCTACACATTTCACCCTCTGTTCAGACGTGTCAATTTCACAACGTTTACTTGCGCTCTCTCTCTCTCACACACACACACAAACCACACACAGACTTATAAATGGCTTTAAACCCCTCTGCTCATGGGGGCAAATCAATTCCTGCCCAATCACAATAGCCCCAAAGCTGAGTAAACACCCCCCACCCCANCCCCCCACCTGGATTTAAATACACTCTTGACCAACGGGATATGTTTTCTTTCCCTTCTAACCCACCTCTGCTTTTTTTTAAAAAAAAAGAAACCTTTCATCTCAAGCAACCGGGTCCCTAATAATTGTAGCCGCCAAACTGGGCACGTATGATGAATTTCAGGTGTTATTTTTGGGGTAGTGGGGATAATAATAATCCTTTCATTTTATGTAGCGCCTTAGCACTTTGTTGAGACGGCTCAAAGCGCTTCACAGAATATACTGGAGTCCTGTAGCTCAGTGGTTAGAGCACTCGCTTTGCAAGTGAGAGACCTGAGTTCAATTCCAGGCAGAGGGCGAAACTTTGGGCAAGTTTCCTTACTCCACACAGAGCCTAATAATAATCCCTCCAAAACCAAAACCATAATAAATTGGTCATTTTCAATCTACGACTGTTTGTGGGACATTGCTGTGCGCAATTGGTTGCCGCGTTCGCCCACAAATATACAATCAATTCGTGGATTGACAATGTGTTCTGTGAAGCACTTTGGGATGTCCTCCCGACGTGAAAAGCACTATATCAAATGCAAGGATTATTATTATTTATTACTGTAAAGTGAATTGACTGTGTATATTGTGAGCGAAACGTGGCAGCCAATTGCGCACAGCAGCGTCTCACAAACAGCCGTGGAATGAGTGACCAAATTATTTTTATTTATTTTGAAGCGATTATTAGTCCTGGAAAAGCGATCCACCAATCAACTAACACCCGAGTTCCTACTTACTACTGATAAACAGAGATGTGCGGAGTAAGGAAACTTGTCTAAGGTTTCACCCTGCCCGGGAATCAAACCCGGGTCCGCTCACTTGCGAGGCGAGTGTCTAACCACTGAGCTACAGGACTCATTATTTATTATTATTGATTGTTGTGAGCGAGTACAAAGCTGAGGTCTTTGCTGCTTGCCTCCCGAGTCCTGCACCATCTCACCTCTGCCTCCAACAATATCCATCTCCACGACCTGGCACACACCTTGGTGTCTCACTTAAACCTCCTCTCTCCTCTGAGTCTTTCACCACCACAGTCCTTGACCAAGTCCCCTCTATTCCTCTACCCATCGCAGCTGAAGCCCTCAGTTGTACCATCATCTATCATCTCTGGACTCCAGTTTAGTCGCAAGGCTTTCCCAGCTACAGCTTACCCTGACCTCCATGATCTCTACTACCCACTTACCCACATGGGGGTACATCCCGTCAGCCCATCACCCCGCACACCGGCCAGAGGATAGATTTCAACAACCCCATTCCTCTCCCGTCTCTCTCCCCTTCCCTGGCTCACTCGAACCAGATATATTTACTGCACAGAAGACATCCACCATGTCAAACCAGCAACAACAACAACATGCATTTATACAACGCTCCTCATGCAGGACAGTGTCCCAGAGCCCTTGAACACCCAAACCAACTAACAAACAGTCGGCTGTCTCGCCAAATCGTCCCACCTCGCACGATCCCTCCTACACAACAAAAAGACCTATTTGACCGTTCGGCTCCCTCCAATCTGCTCGGACGAGGGTGGAGGGTGAGATGTAGGGACCAATCCACATGCTACAATTGACCCCTCCCCCCCCCCTCCTCCCCCCACACTCAGAATGGCATTGAGAAACAGAGACACACTTACACATCCCGCAGTTCTTTCAAGTGGAAATAAGTGAACTGTGTCCAATCTTTGCCTTGCATTTCCTCAGTGCTTCTGACGCTCTGCTTTGGTCTGTGTCCCCCCAAAAAATCCACCCCTCCACCCAAATTGAGACTGCGTCATATACCGTGGCTAGAGGAGAGGGTGGGTAGGTTTATTAAGAGTCCAAAGTGCCCCCTCCACCCCCCTTTGAAACAACGAGATTAACTCAAGGTACCAGTGAAATGATGCGCAGTGAAACAAGCCGAGGCCCTGGGAGATCAGTGACCATGATCCAACCCTTCACTGGAGAGAGAGAACAAGGAAGAGGAGGAGATAAGGAAGATGGCAGAAGGGCAGGGTGGGGGGCTTTGGGGGGTGGGGGGGGCCGGGAAGGATGGAGCTTGGTCGAGGGTTTCTGCTTTCGAATCTAAGCAGAGGTGTTAGGGCATTCTGTCTCCGCGGCGACCAAAGAGGAAACAAAACAGTCGATCGGTCAAACGTGACAGATTTCCTCAACACGTGTGTTCAGAGCGATGGCAACATGTCATGGTTTTAGGGGATTTTTCCTCTCTCCTTCCTCTCTCTCGCTTGAAATAGGGGGTAACGGACGATACAGGAAAGTGGGTTTGATTGCTCTTGTTCCCCTCCCTCCCTCCTCTCCCCCCCTCGCAGACCGGTTTGGGCCGGGGGAACCGCTGAGGTCCACGTGTCGGTTGAGGCGGTTGGAAGTCAAACGAGGATGAGGGTCACCGTGGAATGTTTGGGGCGGAGACGACTGTGATGCAAGAGTGCGCGGCCGGGTGGAACCCTAACCATGTCACACACACGGGGAGAAGGGCAACAACAACAACATAAGAACATAAGAATGTGCTGGCGAAAGGAGACCAAGTGGTGGACTAGTTTGTCCACCACCATCCTGGCCGTCGCTTGTCATGTCGTGTCCCCGGATATTATTTTCTATCAGAAATTTATCTCATTTGTTCTTGAAACATTCTGCTTCCGCCGTCTGTCTGTCTCCTTTGGGGAACCTGTTCCATACGTTTCTACTTGCTCACTGAAGCAGTGTTTCCGCAGGTCAGTTACGAACTTACCCCCTTTCAACATCAACGACAACATCCACAACACAACCTAATGGTTCTCACTTTGCTTTGCAGATTTCCTCCAGAATAATAAGCCTTGTATTTGACACAGCGCCTCATCACGTTGTTGAGACCTCTCAAAGCGCTTCACAGGATACACTGTGAAGTATATTCTACGTATTTTGTGGGAGAGATGTGGCAGCCAATTGCACACAGCAGCGTCCCAGAAACAGTCGTGGATTGAGTGACCAATTTTTTTGTGAGGGGATTATTACCCCCGAAAAGCGATCCACCAATCGACTAACAACCGGGTTCCTACTTACTGCCGGTAAATAGAAGCGTGTGGAGTAAGGAAACTTCCCTCAGGTTTCGCACTACCCAGGAATCAGGTCTCTTGCTTGCGAGGCGAGGGCTCTACACTACAGGACTCTCTCAAAACTCCTCATAATTTTGAACACCTCATTCACAATGATCGGTTCAGCATTGTAGATTTCCCCTATCCCCCTCCCCACCCCCCACCACCATCCACCCCCCTCCCCCTTCACAAAGCGAAGACGGTCAAAGAGCCACTGATAAGCTGTCTCCCAGGATTATCAAGGGTTATCACAGGGTAAATAAATTAGATGATTTACGCTGACCGACAAGTTAGTAACTGAAGGCCACACAGTGAAGATAACCACTAAAAGAGGAGGTTAGACAGAAGGAGGTTTCTTTGTGCAGAAAGATGGTGGATGTTGCATTTTGGAGTAAGGACTCTTGCCTAAAGTTTTGCCCTGCTGGGAATCTAACCCGGGTCCTCTCGCTGGCGAGGCGAGAGAGCTGACAAAAACACTACGGGACTCCACAAAAATGAGAGCAAAACATCAGTGGAGGCTTGTTTGTGGGAGAGGGGTAATCGAGTGGTCCTCTGCTGGGCTCGGAATGAGTCTATGATCGCGTTTCTCATTCTAAAGATTTATTTTAATAAAAAAGGATTTTTTAGGATTCTCCTAAATCACGTCAGAGAGCTGGTCCCACAGGACAGTGGATTAAGTGGCCATTTCTTCACAGGTTCCGACAGGTTAGTTAATGTCCGTAATGCTGTATCTCATTTCCTTGCCAATGTCCTTCCTACTCCCTTTTCTCCTAAAAAGCCATCTGACTGTCAATTTTTTTCTCCTGGCGTTGTTGGAGGTGACTGGGAACCCTCAGCAGGTCAGGCAGCATCTACGGAGGGAGGAAAGTGAGTTAATGTTTCAGGTTGATGCTACTCAAAAAGAGAAGGGAGTTTCTCCCTCTCTCCCGGTGTCCTGGCCAACAATTCTCCCAAATAAAACTCATCATTCACTTTGTTGTTGGATGTGGGGCATTTGCTGTGCAAAAGGTAGCTGCCATGTTTACCTACAAACTCTATAGTCACTACACATCACAGTAAAATCCTGTGATACACAAAGAAATGTTTCAATAAGGCACTAATATGGACTATTATGTGGCTGTTTGCAGGATGTTGCTGTGCATAAATTGGCTGTTGAATTCACCCACAGCAATACACTGTACCCTAAAGTCCTACAACAACTTGTACTTATATAGCACCCTTCCCTCGCAGGATAGCGTCCCAGAGCGCTCAAAAAGTGCTTTCGAGTCGTTTCGACCGTGTGAAAAGTTGGTGTATCAAACACAAAGCTTAGTCACTGTACAACTATGAAGGGAAAAGATAAACAAGACTGATGCATATGTGTATAATAATCCTTACATGCCAAGTAAGATGGTAAAGGCTGTATCTATCGTGGGGTTCAAGAGGGAAGTATTGAAAGGGTTATTCCAACACACTGGAATATGTGTGTCCCAAACTCCCGGTGTCCTGGCTAACAATCCCACAAAATAGAAAATTGGTCGCTCACTCCATGTTTGTGGGGACACTGCTGTGCGCAATTGGCTGCCGTGTTTCACCCACAAAATACAGTCAATCCACTTTACAATATATTCTGTGAAGCTCTTTGACACGTCTCAGCGATGTGATGAGGCGTTATGTCAAATGCAAGGATTATTATTACTGAATCCAATACAGTGTATTCCAATACACTGGGATTTCCATGTGTAGGTTGAAGCCATGGAATTCTCAGCTCGGTTTGGATACTCTGAAGCATCAGTGATGGGTTTCGGCGTCTGTCTGACAAAAGTAAATGGTGGTAAGGCAAGGCAGTGGGATTGGATGGACAGCTTGCTCTGAATGGCCTCATTGTGCGCTGTAGGTTTCTGCGATTCTCTGTGAGGCTTCTTGTGAACTCTCCCTGAGCAAAGCCCAGCCCAGTCCAGATAAACCCTTTGATTCTGAAAGGAAACGTTGTAAGCTGAATAGCAAACGTTATCAAAACCAAACACTGCTTCAGACAAATTGACTGCTCAGGTCCCAACGGAGTGAAGAAATACATCGAGATAGAGGGAGCAAAGTGCAGGCCTTGGGTTCCTCACCCCATCCCACCACCAACTCCCACGCTCCAGGGCACTCACTGCTGATGGCAGCACAGCTCAGCCTAGTTATTGGCAGGACCTGGAAGGGCTGACCAGTCACTGGGGGCAGGGAATCCTCCCCCTCAGCTCCTGGTAACCCCACAGCCAAAGCCCTCATAGGTAGGGTAGTCCTAGTTGGACAAGCAGCGGGAAAAGCTTGCCAGACAGTAATAATCTTTGCATGTGATATAACGCCTTATCATGACATTGAGACGTCTCAAATCGCTTCACAGCGTTTACTGTAAAGTGAATTGAATGTGCATTTTACGGGTGAAATGTGGCAGCCAATTGCACACAGCAGCGTCCCACAATCAGTGGTGGATTGAGTGACCAAATTATTTTTTTCCAGTCCTATCAATGGGAAGCTATGTGGTTTAGCGGGTTAGACTCCAGCAGTTACCCCAACCCACACTCTGGGGTCCCCCCAAGCCTCGACTCTTGCCAACCTGCGCCTAATACTCTCCAGAATTAGATAAGCAGGAAGTGTCCCTCCAGAGAGAGAGAGAGAGAGAGAGAGCGCAGTCCATTCCAACAATTTATCTCTGGGATTTCCATGTGTAGGTGGGATGCAGGGAATTCTCCGCTTGGTTTCGAGCAACGGTGATGGGATTCTGCATGTCAGACAACCAGCTGGCCACAAAAAAATGGACACAGCAGCCTCGTGGTGGAGAGAATTAAGCAATTATTATTATTTTATATATTTATTACTTCTTGTTGGGAGGGATTATTATGCCCGGAACGAGATCCGCCAATCGACTTCCTATTGACTGCTCGGTAAACAGAGGCGTGTGGAATAAGGAAACTTGCCTGAGGTTTCGCGCCACCTGGGAATCGAACCCGGGTCCTCTCGTTAACTTGTATGTATACAGCGTCCTGTGTGAGGGGCAGAGTCTCAGTCGCACTGAAACCACAGTGCAACTGGAGTGAGATGGTGGAGGGTGTGGGGGAGAGAAGAGTAACGGACACACAGCTGACCCGAGACACCCGTTTCGCGAATTGTGTGCGTTTCTTTTAATCATGTCAGTTCATACGTGTCATTTCATACATGTGTCTCGCGAGGCATATTGCTACAGCTCTCCATGTTACAAACCCCCCACCCCCGCCCACCCACCCCCAGCCCCTCCTCACAAAAAAGTACAGCAATTACAACAAGTTTGTCAGCATTCACATTTCACCCCTCCTTTACCCATTGCCTTCTCTCCCTCAGAAAATAAAAACTTGAAACGCAGTCACACCCTGGGCTCTCTCTCCCCCTCCCCCCCCCACCCCCCACCAGCAATAAAAACACAAGGAACATTTCAGAAAGGGTTAACTTCTTTGCCCTCGATAAGCAAACTCTATACTAAAAGCTGTCGGTTAGTTTCATTCGATTAAACGTGACTACACAGTTACACAGCAACGTCAGCACCTTTCGTGTTGGGAGCACGTACCAAGTCACTGGACCGGACAGTCCAGGATTCGAGCTGGGAGTCCGAGCCGAGGGGATGGGAAAGATAGCAACAACAACAACTTGCATTTACACAGCGCCCCTCAAGAGGGTAGCGTCCCAGAGCGCTTGACAGCGGCAGAGCACGACTCCGAGGCGGGGGGGAGGCGCGACCTGAAGATGGGGAAGGAAGGGGCAAGGAAGGTGGAGGGGAGAGAGAGAGAGAGAGAGAGACGGTCCAGAGTTTCGGGGGGTAGCAGCTGAAAGCGTGGCCACCAATGGTGGAGCGGAGGGCACGGGGGACAAGCAGGAAGCTGGAATCATGCAGCAACAGTGCAGAGGAATGTGACTGGTACATCGCCCAACAACAACAACAACAAATTACGTTTGTGTAGCAACAACAACACAATCGCTCACGTGCTCACACATTAAGTTGTGGGGGCACGGACTGCCCTGCCAAGGAAGGTGGTAGAGTTTGAATCCATTGTGGGTTTGCAGCAGGGAAGCAGACAGCAGGTAGAAGGTGGAAGGATGGCGGCTCGAAGGGGTGTGAGGATGGGGCAGGGCAGTGGGATTGAACGGAAAGCTCGCTCCTAGACATAGTGTGGACGCAATGGGCCGAATGGCTGTTAATATCTACCATTTATTATAACAAGAGGCAAAGACTTATATTGTAAATAAAAAAAATCCCCAACATTCGGCAGATCCCCCCCACCCCCCCCCCCCCCATCAAAAACCGGCAAAGATTCAGGACGGCTCTTTTGTGAATTTCTTAAGCAACGTAAAGAGGATTTTCATACCTTTTTGGTTCTTTTTTTTTATATAAAAAAAAACATCCACCGACTTGCTGGCTTTGCAATACCGTACAATTCGACATTCACACACAGCGCCGGTCACGTCGGGAGAACGTCCCAAGGCACTCGACCCTCCAGCCTGGACACGCGAGCTTGGTGGGGGGGGGGGGGGGGGGGTGGGGGCGAGTTGGAGGGACTCAAGGATCGAGTTTTAGAGAGCGGGAGTCGGGGGGGCAGATAGGCTGAACGCAGGACTGACAATGGTGGGGCAGGTGAGGTGGGTTTCTTTTCATAAAAAAAACACTAACAGAATTTCTAACCCCCCACCTCCCCCCCCCCCCCCATCCATGTTTTACTGCATATATTAAAAAAACACACCCTGGTCGGCAGATTCTGTGTAGTTTCAAACAACGATGATGACGACGACAACAACAACAACAAAAAACACAAAAATGAATCGATGGCGATTTTTAACCCATTGGAAAAAATTAAACTAGAAAAAAAAAAGGAGTGTGTTCACGAGAAAGAGAGACACAGCAGTCAGGAGAATCGTGGTGTCGTCAGACTTCTCTCAGCGTCTCTGTTCCTTACTAGTTGCCTCCAGCGGATTGTGACTGCAGTAGAGTGCTGTAAGCTGTAGTTTGGAGAGGGTAGTGAGGGGTGGGGGGGAGAGAGAGAGGGTGAGGGGGGGGGGTGGATTAGGAACACAGAGGGTGTTGAAGGAAATGAGGAGGGTGGAGAGAAACATGGGGAAGGGAGGAGAAAGTGTATGGGGTGAGGAGAGGGGAAGGGAAGAGAGAAATAATTTGATTAATGGGTTAATTCATTAATCGATTAATTGATCAAAGTATGTTCGGTTCAACAACCACCACCACCACCACCACCACAGGTTATATTTACGAGGGACTTTCAAGTCAGGAAGATGTCCCAAGTCAAGGATTTGGTTCGCGTCGCAGAACACGTGCGCAAACATCACAGCAAAGCAAACCGCGCACAATACGCAGCTCCGGGAACCGACCCCGCGCTATACAAGCTCAAGTTGTTGTTGTTGTGAATACTCTGGAATTCAGCAACCAGGGCTTGTCCCTCCAGGAAGAGGGAGAGAGAGAGAGAGAGAGAGAGAGTGCATTCCTTTCCAGCCACAAGGAAATTTCCACGCATGGGTGACATACATAGGGGTTCTCCCCAAATCGAGGTTTAAGCCCCACGTTGGGTCTTTGAACTCACTGGTTTACACTCCAGTTTAGTGGTGATTAGGGGGAGGGGGGAGGAGAGGGAGTGGGTGGTGGGTGGGGTTGGAGTTAAACCGAGGCCCCTTTCTGTGACCGTTCCAGTGGACGTTAAAGATCCCGGGAAAAGAGAAGAGATTGTTGGCCAGGAAGCTGGGAGAGAGAGAGAGAGAGAGAGAGAGAGAGACTCCCTTCTCGAGTGTCAATCTCTTTCAAAATCTCATCCGAAGAACGACACCTCCAATAATGCAACGATCCATCGCTCCATTTCCAGCTCATTCTCTCCCCCCCCCCCCACCCCCTCCTCAGTACTGGACTGTGAGAGGATATACGTCGTTGAGACGTCTCAAAGCGCTTTACAGAATATAATGTAAAGTCAACTGTATATTTTGTGGGCGAAACATGGCAGACAGTTGGGCCCACAGTGCCCACAAACACTCGTGGATTAAGTGACCAAATTATTCTTTTGTTTGAAGGGAATTGTTTTGAAGCGATTATTACCCCCGAAAAATGATCCGCTAATTGACTACCAACCGGGTTCCTATTTACTGCTCGTAAACAGGGGTGTGTGGAGGCAGGAAATTTACCTGAGGTTTCGGTCTCTCGCTTGCGAGGCGAGTGCTCTAACCACTGAGCTACAGGACTCTATGAATGTGGAACAGAATTGGGGACATTTTGCTGGTGTGATGGTGGGGGAGCTGTTGGGGGTGGGGGTGTTGTGGGTCAGGGGCAGAGGCCAAAATGCGCAGGTCAAGCCGAAGAGCAGGGAGGGGTCCAGGGGCAAGAATCATAAATCATGATTCTTTATACAACAACAACAACAACTTCATTTACACAGTGCCCCCTCATGCAGGGCAACATCCCACAGCGCTCAACAGTGGAGAAGCATGAGATCGAGGGAGGGAGGGAGGGAGGGGGTCAAAGAGGAAGGTCTTAAGGCGCAACCTGAAGATGGGGAAGGAAGGGGGCAAGGCGGAGGGTTTGAGGGAGAGTTCCAGAGATTCGGGGGTGTGGTGGCTGAAGGCACGGCCACCGATGGTGTAGCGGAGGGGTCGGGGTACAAACAGGAGGCTGGAGCCAGCCGAGCGGAGGCAGCGGGTTGTGGGGTAAGCATGTCGGAGAGGGAGGGAGGTGCCAGGGCTTGAAGGGATTTGAAGGCGAGACAGTTTAAGGAGGAGAGACGTGCTCAGGCTGAGACTGTCGAGCGTTGGACTGACACCATTATTACATACACTGAGGATCCTCTTTCTGGTTCTGCACATTCTCCTGCTTGGTGCCCTGCTCAGCCGTGTTTCCTGCCGACGTAGAAAGAAAAATATCGGTAAAACCATACAATGCACCAATACACAATTACGTTCACACTCTGTGCAGAGTGGCTACTTGTCGAGTAAGGACACTTGCCCAAGGTCTCACCCTGCCAGGGAATCAAACCCAGGTCCGCTCGCTTTCGAGGTGAGATCTCTAACCACTGGGCTACAGGACTCCACAATTGGCCAAATCTCTGGCTGATACAGTGACTGAGCCATTCGGAGTGAGCAATCTCACCTTGTATCTTAAAGCACAGCTTCTTCTTCTGGTAAGTGAAATAGCCCCCGGCAGCACCGACCAGAGCCATGGCAATGCCACCAACAATTCCAGCCGTCGACCCTGCGCTCTGACCTGGAGAGTCACACAACACAGAAACACTCACTAAAATCTCTGCTCAAGAAACTAAGATATTTACACATACGCAGACACAGTCACACACGCAGACACACACACACACAACACACACAGTCACACATGCAGATACACACACACGCGCATACACACACCCGCATACACACACACATGCGTGCACGCAGTCACACACGAACACACACACAGTGACCCACACACACACATGCACGCGCACACAGTGCCCTGATTTCGACTCCCTTTTCCTTGCATATGTTGTATTGAAGCAAACGAGACTGACTGCAGACTGAATGAATCCGTCTGACCACGGGGTGGCAGCAGTCCACAGCCTTACCGCCCGTGTTATGTTTTGTGAAACAAATCAACAGGATCCTGGGGTTAGACGCAGCGCCTTTCACGTCAGGAACACGTCTCAAAGCGTTTCACTGGAGTTTACCATAAACTGCAGTGACTTTGTGTTTTTCAGACAAACGCGGCAGCTAATTTGCACACGGCAACGTCCCTCAAACAGCCTCGACGTGAATAATATTAACAATACTCCTTCAGTTTCATCTAACCCCTTACCACATCGTCGAGATTTGTCTCAAAGCGCTTCACAGAACACAAAGTGGCTTTGACTGTGCAGCGTGTGGGCGAACGAGCGATATTATCTGGGGGATTGCCGGCCAGGACACAGGGAGAGAGAAACTCTTCTCTTTTTGAGTAGCCTCGGGTGATCTTTGGTATCCACGCAAACAGGATACTGACGGGACCTCAGTTTAACGTCTCACCCGCTGGTCGGAACCTCCACCAATGCAGGGCTCCCCCCCAGCACTGTGCCGGAGTGTCAGCCTAGACTATCCGAGTTCAAACTTCCCCGATGTGGGGGGGGGGGGGCGCGGAACTCGCAACCTTCTGAATCGAGATGACTAACCGCTGAGCCGGACTGACACCAAAAGAGAAAGAATTGCAGCCATACCTCCTCCTCCTCCGCCTCCACTGTTTCCGTTGGTGTCTGAAAGGGAATCGTTTAAAAAAAATGAACATGGGAACGAAAACTCTTGTTACAATTGCAAGTCGACGTCTCATTTCACTCTCTTTCCCCCGTGATGACAAAGAGGGAGAGTTGCAACACATTCCACGCTGAGTGAGGTTAGTAATAGGCTTAAGAACAAAAATTTGCCCCAATAACAGATACCATTTATGGCCGCGATAACTATTGGCTCTAATCACCAAGACCAAAATAATCATTAGAGATACTTTCACGAAGAATATCACCCCCCGCCCAGTCTACAAAATGCTTTCAAGCTTTAGGAACAGGATGCTACTCATTTGATCGCGTCTGTGCTGGGGCTCACTCCCCCTCTGGAGCTCTCTACTCTAACCCCATTCCCCCGCACTTTCAAATATTGATAAAAGTATTCATAACCGTGCCGTTTTCAACCCGTTAGTATGGATTCTGCTTCAGCAGTTTGAGCTAAAAGATTCTGTGCTCTAACCAGGGTGAAATAAAATGCTTTCTACCTCCCCCTCTTTTTCCCCGGGTGATGATATATCAGGCCGCGCAGATAATTGTGCAACTTGGCTGCAGTCGAGAAAGGAATTAAGTACGACATCATTTCTTTTTATGACTAAATGCATCACCTTGGCTCAAGACCCCATTAACTAGCCGCACTGACACTCAACAGTAAGAACCATTAGCAGCCAAATTGAGGTCTTGAAACCGGACACGCGACAGGATCCGTGAATCCAAACACGGAGGGCAAGCGGGAGAGTCCGTGACTGGAGGCCAGCGAACGATGATAATTAGCAGAGGAGCAAACTGGGAAGAACAGGAGGATTTTTTTCTCGTCGACTCTAGTCTACACACACCCACAATATAATAATAATCCTTGTATTTGATACAGCGTAGTAGTATCACGTCTTTGAGACGTCTCAAAGCGCTTCACGGGACACACTGTAAAGTGAATCGACTGGATATTTTGTGGGCAAAACGCGGCAGCCAATTACGCAGAGCAGCGTCCCTACAAAGAGTCGAGCCCGGGTCCTCTCGCTCGCGAGGTGAGCGCGCTAACCACTAGGCTACGGCACTCTACAATATACACGCGCACACAGACGCAAACGCATGCAGACAGAGAGACACAGGGGAGGGAGAAGGAGGGCAAGAGAAAGGTGGGTAAATGGGACTGAATCGATTGCTTTTTCAAACAAACGATGAGCCAAACAACAACAATATAATCCCTGCATTCGATATCTGCGTTGAATGCAAGGATTCTTTTTTTTTTAACAGTATGGATTCATCCAACAAAGTTCTAAAGAACATAAGAATTACTGGACGGAGAAGGCCAAGGTCCATCCTTGCAGTCGTTTGGACAACAAGTCATGTCCCAAACTATACACGGTCTCCCCCCGGATATTATTTCCTAAGAGAAATCTAACTCATTTGCTTTTGAAAGAAAAATTGCGATAAGAATTGTTATTTTATGAGTTAATTGCTCTCACCGGCTGAGCCTCCGCTTGCCTTGCGACCTGCACCAAACGAGAGGAAGGACAGGTTGGGTTAGACACGGGGCTGAACAGAGGGTGAGAGAGTTTCACCGCCAACAGCCCCTGATATCACCAGCAGCTGCAAGAGGTTCTATAAGCTCTACTGCAGCAGATTGTCGGGGGAAAGAGAGGAGAAAGACAGAGAGAGGACTTCAGAGGAACTGGCTCTGACATATACCAGGGGAAGGAGATGAGGTGATGGGTGGGAGGGATGGAGAGGGAGAATGGGAGTAGGAAGGCATGTCAATACGACTGAACGACTCCACACCTGGGCAAAAGCCACTTGGGGATTGCCCTTTGCCAACACCTTGGGACGTCCTCCCGATGTGAAAGGTACAGATGTATTATTTTTGTTGTTGTTAGGGAGAGGTGTGTGTGTGTGTGTGTGTGCGCGACTGTGTGAGTGGGAGGGGGAAACAGTAGGCTAGCGAGAGGAAGTTAGACTGTAAGCAGAGTAAGACAGACCAGCGATGGGGAGAGAAGAATGAATGGGCGGGGGGGGGGAGTGAAAAAAATTGGGACTCACAAAACCAAAAAGTTTTGAAAACAAAAGAACATTTAGTTACAGGGTTCCACAGAAATCATTATTTTGCCATGATTGAAACCATTTCTCGTGCGGAAAGCCAACATCTGCATACAATGACCCCAGGAGGCGGTGAGGGAGGGGGAGCTGGGGGAGGGGAGGAGGGGGGTTAGGGGGGAGGTGAGGATGGGGGGAGGAGGTGGGGGAAGGAAGGGAATAAAAAAAAAGCACCTTGAGTTAAAGCCCGTGGGTTAAATCCAAAACAAAGTTTGGAGGAACTTTGGCTAATTTTGGTGTTAATCATCTTCGAGGACAACTCCTGTCTTTATAAATCCCTCAGAGCCTGACAACGAGCTGGGGGGGGGCGGAGGGGGGAGTGACCGGAGGCGAGGTCGAATAGGAAGGTCTCCAGGCGTGACCTGAAGCGAGGAATCAAACCCAGGTCCTTTTGCTCGCGAGGCGAATGCTCTAACCACTGAGCTACAGGATGGTGTTACAGAGATGCCGTTAGTGGGTGCTTTTTTTTTTCCCTCTTCCGCACCCAAACTCCCTTCTCTTTTTTTCCCCCTCCTCAGAAATTAGTGAATTAGGTTAAAAAAAAGCTAAACCCCGACACAGAGCATCACATGCAGGTGAGAACCACTGACTGACTGTCAGCGACAGCAACAGCAACCAGCCCGGCACAGGGCTCCGCTGTTACCACCCACCCATCCCCGCGGAGCAAGGCAAAGGCACCCGTCAAAGACCCCCCCACTGCAGACAGTCGAGGGAAACTTACCAGCTGACCCCTCATACGTGTCTTTTGTTATCGAGAAGGTTCGGGTGGGGGGGGGGGATGGAGGGGAGGAGAAGGGTGTGTGTGGGTGGGTGGGGGAAGAAAAGAGTGAGTGGGGAGCAGGAGATAGATGGGAGAGGGAGGGAGAGAGGGAGGGAAAAAGAAAAGGGGGAATAAAATTTATGTAGCATCCATTTGCAACTCATTGACCTGCTTCCGCAGGTTCAAAGTTGCCAGGATTAGTTAAACACTGACAATATATAAATCAGGTGAAGCTAATGTTCTGTTGCCTTCAGCAGCCACTTTCCAAACCAGACCGAGAGTTCTACATACGTCTGCCACCAACACACGCAGATTTCCCCGTGTCTGGAATAGAATGTGCACTCTCTCTCTCTCTCTCCCCTCGTTTATCTAATTCAAGAGAATAATAATAATCCCTGCATTTGATACAGCGCCTTATCACATCTTCGAGATGTCTCAAAGCGCTTCACAGGATACACTGTAAAGTGAATTGACTGTATATTTTGTGGGTGGAATGTTCTATTAGGCGCAGGTTGGCGAGAGCCAAGGCTTGGGGGGGGGGCCCAGAGTGTGTGTTGGGGTAACTGCTGGAGTCTAACCGGCTAAACCCACACAGCTTGGCCATTGCTATCACTGTCTGGCCAAGCTTTCCCGCTGCTTGTCCAGCGAGGACCATCCTCCCGGTTAGGGCTTTGGCTGTGGGGTTACCAGGAACTGAGGGGGAGGATTCCCTGCCCCCAGTGACTGGTCGGCCCTTCTAGGTCTTGTCGATGAGCCATGGACCCATTCACATTGTCCAGACTGAGGTGGAAAGATGTTTGTTAGGTCAGGGGATATGGGGATATGGGTAATTGGAGTTGAGGCACAGATCAGCTTTGATCTCATAGAATGGGGGAACAGGCTCGAGGGGCTGAATGGCCTCCTCCTGTTTCTATGTACTCCATTGACCACCCCCTTCCCTCTCTCTTCCCTCCTCCTGCAGTGCCCATTTGGGCAGGAGCACAGCCTCCCCCGCAATGCCATCTCCTGTGCCAAAGAAGCCAGACTGTTGGCACTCACCATCTAGCATGGCAAACAGCAAGTCAGCAAAGTACTGCATGGCAGAGCGCACCCAGGGAGCTGCTGTACTCCAACACCAGTCAATATCTTCAGCAGAGAGAGGGGTGGGGACTGAGGGGAAAGAGAGGGGGAGGGGAAAGAGAGGGGGAGGGGAAAGAAAGGGGGAACGGGGGAAGAGAGGGGGAGGAAGGGAGAGAAGGAAAGTAGAGAGAGAGAGACGGGGAGGGGTGGAATGGAGATCAAGAGGGGCAGAAGTAAAAGGGAAGAGGGGGGACATAGAGTGGGAGGAAGGGTGAGTGAGAGATGGGGGTAAGGGAAGAGAGACGGGGGTAAGGGGAGAGAGACGGGGGAAGATAGGGGGGAGGGGGGAGAGACGGGGTAAAGGGGAGAGAGACAGGGGTGAAGGGGGGTGGAGAGACGGGGGGGGAAGGCGGGAGAGATGGGGGGGAAGGGGGAGAGACGGGGGGGAAGAGTGAGAGAAGGGGAAGGATTGAAGGAAGGAGGGGGAGAGAGAGGGCGGGAGAATTGAGGAAGGGAAAAGGAGAAAAAAAATGGACTCAATAAGACAGCACATGATCTTTGACCTTTTCGGTTCCCTCCTTTTTTTGAATAAAAGTGACCGAAACGTAGGAGAGAAAAGGAGCACAAAATGGGAATTACCCTTGGAATTGGTCTGGTCAGGTTTGTAGTCACCATTCATCAAATCCGAGTCCTTAAGATCAGTGTCTGAGAGAGAGAGGGGGGGAGGGGGAGAAGAGAGAGAGAGGGAGGGGGAGAAAGAGAGAGGGGGAAAGAGAAAGAGAGAGGGGGAAGGGGAGAGATGGGGAAAAGGAGGGATAGAGAGGGAGGAGGAGAAAGGGGGAGGGAGAGGGGGGGGGGAAAGGGGAGGGCAAGGGGGGGAAATTGGGTAAGGGAGGGATAGAGGGGGGAAAGGGAAAGAGGGAGAGAGAAAGGGGGAAGAGGGAGGGAGGGAGGGAGGGAGGGAGAGGGGTGGTGGGGGAAGGGACAGAGAGAGGGGGGAAAAAAAGAGAAAATGGAGAGAGAAGAGGAAAAGAGAAAAAAAGGGGAAAAAAAGAACAATTTCAAAATTAAGCCAAAACATGTTATCAATGCGAAGCAAACAACAACTACTACTTGCATATATATAGCGCCTCTCACACAGGGCGGTGTCCCAGAGCACTTGAACCCAATGGTGAACAAACCATTGTTTGATGGGGGGGGAGTTTGGGGGTTTGGGGTAGGAACCGTGTGCTCGGACACTGGGAGAAACTCCTTTCCCTTCCAGTAACGCGGGAACAATAATCCTCGCATTTGTTGCACCGCCTTATCACATCTTCTCGACGTCTCAAAGCGCTTCACAGGATACACTGTAAAGTGAATTGACTGTATATTTTGTGGACGAGAGACAACTTTCTTCAGCTCAACGTGCGCAAAACTGAGGCCCTCCTGATTGGGTCGCGTCAGCGCCTCCGCACCTCAGGCGCTGACAGCATCAGCTCCGCACTCTCCACCTCTCAAAGCCATCAGGAACCTCGGGGTTCCCCTCGACCCTGAGCTGTCCTTTCTCCCTCATATCCGCACCACAACCGGCACCGCCTTCCATCACCTCCGGAACATCGCCAGACTACGGCACTACCTCACCCCTCACGCGGCTGAAACTCTGGTCCACACCTTTATCACCTCATGTGGACTATGGAAACTCTCTCCTCGTCGGCCTTCCCGTCCCTCCCTCCACACTGCAGGTCATTCAGAACTCTGCAGCTCGTGTACTGTCCCGCACCAGACACCGCGACCACATCACTCCCACCCTCGCCCTCACTCCTACCCTCACCCTCACCCTCGCCCTCACTCCCACCCTCACCTTCACCCTCACCCTCACCCTCGCCCTCGCTCACCTCCACTGGCTCCCCATCCCCCAGAGGATCGAATTCAAGATCCTCATCCTCACCTACAAGGCCATTCCCGGCCTCGCTCCCTCCTACCTCTCCAACCTACTATCCCCCTACCTACCTGCCCGTACCCTCCGTTCCTCTGGCTCCGGTCTGCTCCACGTCCCCCGCCCCAACCGCCCTACCATCGGTGGCCGGTCCTTCGGCCTCTCAGCCCCGAGGCTCTGGAACTCTATCCCCAGTGCCTTCGCTGCTTCCTCCCTTTCCTCCTTCAAGGCCGGTCTCAAAACCTTTCTCTTTGACCTTCAACCTTCAGCTCCCCTCTCGACTCTCTACCCCTCCTCGCTCCCTCCCTTCCCTCCCCTCACCCTGACCATTTCCCCACTGCTCGGGTCCTGACCCAACTGTCCAGTGCCTTGGGACGTCCTCCCGACGTGAAAGGCGCTCTATAAATGGAATCTTGTTGTTGTTGTTGTTGGGCGAAACACGGCAGCCAATTGCGCACAGCAGCGTCCCACAAACAGTCGCGGATTGAGTGACCAGATTTATTTTTAAAAGCAGATGTTTAACCCCGGAAAGCGATCCGCCAATCGACCAACAACCGGGTTCCTACTCACTGCTGGTAAACAGAGGGGTGTGGAGTAGGGAAACTTGCCTGAGGTTTCTCTCTGCCCCGGAATCAAACCCAGGTCCTCAGGCTTGCGAGGCGAGCGCTCTAACCCCTGAGCTACAGGACTCCAGTATCTCGGCAGCATTTACTGATGTATTTATACACAAGCCTAACGGGCTGCTCCAATTACTGTGTGACTGAGCCCTTGGGGGTGACCGGTTACGAGGGATTTTACTGTACATCAAACACCTTTGGAAACATTGAATGCTTCCCCTCCCTCACCTTGATTTCCTCCTCCGCGAGCAGGAACTCTGGGTTTCTTTGTCGGGGTGAGTTTATCTGTCGGAACAAGACATTTCCACTTGAGACGTAGGCTCAAAAACCAATTGCGCTCTTGCACGATTTACCGGGAGCTGGTGATTAATCACACTGCCCCAATGCAAACAAAAATACCTGAGCACCCCACCCCATTTTAGACTCCCCCTCCACTGTAACAAACACAGCACCCCCACATTACAAACAGGATACTAACTGTTGTCATTTGTAATGATGACCCCACGGAAACAATTAACAGAAACAATTCCACTTAAAAGGACAATATTAACAATAAAACAAAATTACCGTCTCCGAAAAGGGCGTCCTCTAAATTAAAACCTGAAATGATAAAAAAGAAGTTTTTAAACTCAAAGTTTTCGTTTAATCACATTAACAGCCACCATTTGTGTTTCTCAGCGCATCAATCATTCTGCCTCCAAATACCAGCGAGACCCGTAATATAATAATCTTTGCATTTGGTGCTTCACTGGATTTGCCTGTGGAGTGACTGTGTGTTTTGTGGGCAAACACGGCAACTCACTTGCGCAGAGCAACGTCCCATGAACAGTCACGTATCAATCCACGACTGTTTGTGGGACGCTGCTGTGCGCGATTGGCTGCCGTGTTTCACCCACGCCTTTCGCATTTCATTCCGCTGAGGTTAATATTCGCATGAATTGCTTATTTTCCCAATTCAGTAGCTGCCGCCGTTCCCTTAATGGTAGCGCTCACGCTGAATATTTTATGGTGCCATTTAGTATCCGCAGCCTATCAGTGCGGGCGTTTACACAAAGTGGAATGGGTTCTGCGCAGTGGCTGATACTGATTGCCCGTCAGCCTGGCTCAGTTGGCAGCGCTCTCGCCTCCGAGTTCAGCTCCGGGTTCAAGCCCCCACATCGGGGACACTGAGCTAGGCTACCACTAGCACCCCCTCCACGCACGCACACACACACACCGCACAGGTGACACACTCACCATCATCCGATCCCTTCGGCTTGTTGCCAACGCGAGGCGGAGTTGGCTTTGGTTCATCGAAATCCAAACCTGTGCATTTAGAACATTTCTGGCGTTACTGTCGAGTTAGGAGATTGGCGCAAATTTGCAACAACAACAGAAGCGATATTTGTAAAGCACCTTTCACGTCGGGAGGTAGTCCCCAGGTGCTGAAAGGAGGCCATTCGGCCCATTGAATCTGCATCGGCTCTCAGAGCGAGCTGTCCATTCCACCTCACTGCCCTGTTCCCACACCCCTTCAAACCTCTATCCTTCATGTACCTGTATACTTCTCTCTTGAAACCCACAAGGACTCGGCCTCCACCACCTCACTTGGCAGCGAGTTCCACATCGCAGCAACTCTCTGTGTTGTTGGGTCAGCAGGCTCTGGCCTGCTTCACACCCCCCACCCAGCCCGCCCCACCATCGGTGATCGGGCCTTCAGCTTCTCTGCCCCCACCCTCTGGAACTCCATCCCACAGGCCCTGTGCCGCGCTCCCTCCCTTGTTTCCTTCAAGGCCGGTCTCAAAACACTCCTCTTCGACTGCACTCCTGGTCACCCTTCTACGACCACCCTCCCTGCCCTCCACCCCTTATGATCCCAACCCCCAGCTCAGGTCCAAATCCCTGACTGTCCAGCACCTTGGGATGTCCTCCAGACGTGAAAGATACTGTGTAAATATAATAATAACCCTTGCAGCTGATTCAGCGCCTTATCACATCTTCTAGACGTCTCAAAGTGCTTTAAAGTGTAGTGACTGTATGTTTTGTGGGCGAAAGGTGGCAGCCAATTGCGCACAGCAGCGTCCCCACAAACAGCCGTGGATTGAAGTGACCAACTTATTTTTTGTTTCTTGAGGGATTATTATCAGGCGTGTGGAGTGAGGAAACTTGCCCAAGATTTCGCCCTGAACTGCCGGGAATCGAACCCAGGTCTCTCGCTTGCGAGGCGAGTGCTGTAACCACTGAGCTACAGGACTCATTAATTTGTTGTTGAAATAAATTCTCTTAAGCTCTCCTTTCTCTCGTATAACTATGGCCTCCAGGTACTGATTCCCCTACCAGTGGAAACAGCTTCTCCCTATTCATCCAGCCAGAAAACAACTGAACAATAATAATAATAATCCTTGCATTTGATGCACGTTGTTGAGACGTCTCAAAGCGCTTCCCAGGAAGTATTGTAAAGCGGAGTGACTGTGTATTTTGTGGGTGAAACGCGGGAGCCAATTTCTCCAATCTCTCCTCACCGCTAAAACCCCTCATCCCTGGGATCAATTTCTCTGCCCACCTCCCCACCCCCTCCAAGGCCTTAATATCTTTCCTGATATCTGGTGCTCAAAAAATATTTGATTTGTTAACCGAACGAAGAAGAATAACAGCAACAAATTACATGACCCAAGGTTGTTGGACTCCAGTGAAAAATGGGTGGAAGATTTTCTTACCCAAGTCAGGTATTTCTTTATCCCCGTCCTTTGGTGCGTCTAAACCAACAAATAAAAAGACAACACATTTACAGCACTGACAAGCAAAATGCCCCAGAGATAGAAAACACACGAACGATCAATACGTCGTCAACTTGCCCTGTATTCCCACCATTCCATCCCAACAATCTAGCTCTGGGATTTCCATGTGGAGATGGGGGGGGGGGGGTCATGGCATTCTCGGCTGGGTTTGGAGACTCTTAAGCAACGGTGAGGGGTTTCCGAGCTTGTCAGAAATCTTGCTGCCCACTCAAAAAAAATTCTACACCCACCAGTCACGTCACGTAGGAAAATGTCTTGGAACGCTTCACGCAGGCCGGGTCGGACACTGAGCAAGGGAGAGGGTGGGTCAAAGGCGGTCACTGTGGTCCTTGGGAGTTGGAGTGTGCATTGGGCTAAGATCGTTGGACAATAGGAAGCGGCATAAGGGTGGGCAACCAGGCAGGAGGGGGTCCCAGGGCAGGGGCAGGCGCTCTCTCTCCCTCCCTCTCCGTCTCCCCCTGCTTGAGGGGAAGTAACACAGATTACATAAAGTCGCACTGTGTGTATGTGTGTGTGGGGGGTGGTTGGTGGGGGTTGGACATGCAACTGAGCTGGATGTTGGGTAAAGGGGGGGTAGGATGTGTGGATGCGTGAACAGAGGAGTGAGGTAGAAGGTAATAATAATAATAATTGATTGTATGCGTTGTGGGCAAAACGTTGGTGGCGCGAAAAGGTTCACAAGTGAGGAGCCTGAAGTGGATCCGTTGGGATCCAGTGGATACAGAACGAGACATACCTGGGATGTCCGGATCAGGGCCAAGAGCATCACCGAGATCCAGGTCACCATCGTCACCTGTAGAGAGGAAAGCCAAGAGGTTAAATCCACCATAGATCCCAGCTCATTACAGCCTTCACAATTGGGTGCCGCGTTTCACCCACAAAATTCACTTTACAATATATCCTGTGAACCACTTTGAGACATCCAGCAATATGACAAGGAGCTATGGAAAATCCTGCAGCTTGGTGTTTTAGAGCTCGCTTCGCAAGCAAGAGGACCTGGGTTTGATTCCCGAGCGGACGGAGTGTGCGGGTTTGTAAGGTATAACGACATTTTAAATAAAAAAAACTATTTCCGACTAATACTATTTGAAAGGGACAAAAATGTAAGCAACAACAAACTGACTTTGTTAGCGCCTTTCATATCAAAATTTTCATTGGAAATCAAAATATAATAATAATACTGATTTGATTTAGCACCTTTCAATCCATCGAGACGTCTCAAAGTGCTTCACATGATATACTGTATATTTTGTGGGCAAACGTGGCAGCCAGTTGCGCACAGCAATGTCCCATGAACAGCCATGGAGCAAGTGAACAATCTTATTTGGGGGATTGTTGTCCAGGACACTGGGAGAGAGAGAGAAACTCCCTTCTCTTTTCCAATAGCCCCGCGGGATCTTTAACGTCCACCTGAACAGGCACAGACGGGACCTTGGGATTAACGTCTCATCTGAAAGACGGCATGGAAAAATATAGTCCTGATGGGGAAAAAAAGTCTTGTTACAGCGAGTTCATCTGTCCGGGGAAACTTGGCACAAACTGCCCACGGACTGGTGACTTGGCTGGCCTTGTCAAGTCATCTTTGCTGTCAAACAACTTAAGCCTCAACAAGAATTGCCTTGTTACTAGGACTGGGAGGCTGCTTACACACAACACACACACAGCCAGGCAGAGGGACAACTTGCATTTACACAGCGCCCTTCACACAGGGTAGTGTCCCGGAGCGCTTGACAGTGGTGGAGGTCTGACCCCGAGCCGGGGGGGGAGAGGGAGGGGGGAGGTGACCGTAAACACCATCAAAAAGGAAGGTCTTTAGCGGGGATTGGAAGGTGGGGAGGGAGGGAGAGAGGGAGGAAGGCGGAGGGATTAAGAGAGAGTTCCAGTGCTTCGAGCGGGGGAAGTGGCTGAAGGCACGGCCACAGATGGTGTAGTGGAGAAGAGGGAGGTGGGTGGGGTGGGGGGGGGGGGGGGGGGGGGCAGAATGCATAATAATAATCCTTGCATTTGATACAGCGCCTTATCCCATCTTCGAAACGTCCCAAAGCCCTTCACAAGATACACTGTAAAGTGAATTGATGAAACCCGGCAGCCAATCGCGCACAGCAGCGTCCCACAAACAGTCGTGGATCGAGTGACCAAATTATTATTATTTATTCGCTCAGTTTCACTGTTAGCCCCAGGTAACTGCTGTAATACAGCGTGAATGAGTCATTCGCTCAGTCTCAGGACTCTTTCAAGACGACAGCAATGTGCAGCAAGCCAGACAGAGACCTTAAAGCAATGGAATAAGGATCTTAAACAACAGTTGGCCATGGGAGGGGGTGGGTGGGTGGGCGGAGTGAGAGGGGGAGTGGGGAGGAGGAGTGGGAGGGGAAGGAAAGTGTGCTGGTGGAGAACGAGGGGGGTGGGGGAGGTGGTCACTACAGGTTGCTGTAGCCCAAGGGATGTGCTTGCAGCTGGATTCCCACAGGCGGGCTGCCGCGCAGGTGCTGGAAATGGGACAAGTGCAAAGTCAAGGCCAGGCAACGCAGCAAAGGAACATTCCTTGGCTCCTGGCCTCAATCCCATCCCTGAAAATCTGCAACATCCAGCGTTACTTAGAAACAAGTCAAACCCCCACTGGCTTCAGCCAACTCCAAAATACAAGACAATACAAACTGACATTGGTTGATGATCTCACTGCACTATTGGCGATGTGATCCCTCTCTTTAAGGTTCTAGGAGGCTGGACCGTGCAGATCAGGACAGGCTGTTTCAACTTGTCCAGAATAGTAAAACCAGAGGTCACAGCCTGTGATTGAAGGGGTTAAATTTACACAAACACTATTTCAGTGAGCGAATGGTGAACCTGTGGACCGGGCTCCCTGGGGAGAGGCTGAAGCAGGAAATGTTGATTCTTTCAAACACAGATTACATAGTTTTCTTTTAGGAAATAACATGATAGAATACAGTACTTAGGGAGTTTGGGACACACGTGCATACGACCGGCAGGAAGGTGGAAGGCGGACTAGACCTTGGTCTTTTTCTTGTCTAACATTTCTTTTGTTCTTATATTGGAGAAGAGTTTACCCGGCATTTCTGGCAACCAATATGATAATAATAATCCTCGCATTTGATACAGCGCTTCAACACGTCTTTGAGACGTCTCAAAGCGCTTCACAGAATATACTGTAAAGTGAACTGACTATATTTTGTGGGTGAAATGCGGCAGCCAATTGCACAAGCAGCGTCCCACAAACAGTCCTGGATTGAGTGACCAAATTATTATTCTTTTTGAGGGATTATTACGCCCGGAAAGTGATCCGCCAATCGACTAACAACCGGATTCCTGCTTACTGCTGGTAAACAGAGGCGTGTAGAGTAAGGAAACTTGCCGGGAATCAAACCCGTGTCCTCTCACTTGCGAGACGAGGGCTCTAATCAATATGCTACAGGATTCCACTGTATGAGGCACATCGTTGGCTCGGCACCAAGTAAATAATCGTGCGAGACCTTTCGGAGACGATTCCCGACACGATAGAGCAAGGCATCAACATCAAGTGTTATTCTCCTTATTTTGTCTGCTTTTCCTCGGTTCTCCTCTCTCCTACCTCTTTCCTGCTCCTCCTCCCCCACCCCACAACACTTTAATATCTCCCACAAAGGTCTTGGTTGGAAACTCTTCTTGCTTAAGCCTGACATTGTTAGTCAGTTTGTGGGACGCTGCTGTGCATGTTTGGCTGCCGTGTTTCGCCCACAAAATATACAGTCACTCCACTTTACACTATAGTCTGTGAAGCGCTTTGAGACATCTCAATGATGTGATAAGGCACTGTATCAAATACAAGGATTATTATTAGTATTAATCGAAGACGTGATCAAGACAAAAATGTGCCGACTGAACGACCTTCCTCTTTGACCATCCATTCGACCACACTCCCAACCCCTACTCCCCTCCAACCCACTCGATTCCGACCCCCAGCTCGGGCGCAAACCCTTAACTGACCAGCACCTCGGGACGTCTTTCTGATGTGAAAGGCGGGGTGTAAACTTAATTTGTCGTTGTTGCTACGGTTCGGCTCTGAGAAAAATTATTCAAAGGTTCTCGTGATTTTATGGTGTATTTTTTTGCCCTGAAGATTACAAGATCCAACTCAGCCAGACTGACTGTTAAATACCCATCCTAACATTCGACACCTTTCATGTCAGGAAAATGCCTCAGAACACTTTGCAGGATTCACTGTAAAATGCAAAGTATTTGAAGGGGAGCAAGGCAGCCGATTTGTGCCAGAACAGCTTCGGGGGAGGGCGCGGGGGAAGTGAAACTGGTGAGAAAAAAGTTTCAGCAACAGTTTCGAGAAAGATAGCATGTTCTCCGATACAGTGCCCTTTCTGCTGCGTATCAGAGTCAGAGAGTACCTCACACAAACTGATGCCAAGTCTACTCGTTGAAGTTGGCAGCCCCAGTCTTTTCCCACTGATGAACAAAGGCCAGGGTTACAGAGAGGGGAACAGCAGGTTGTCCTCAATCCTTGGGGGCAGGGAATCCTCCTACAGAGCCCTGACTGGTAGGGAGATCCTCGCTGGACAAGCAGCGGGAAAGCTTGGCCAGACATCGCTCTCAATGGCCAAGCTGTGTGGGTTTAGCTGGCAAGACTCCAGCAGTTACCCCAACGCACACTCTGGGCTCCCCACAAGGCTTGGCTCTCGCCAACCTGCGCCTAATACTTTCCAGAATTATGTAAACATAATTGTGTCCCTCCAGGGGGAGGGGGAGAGGGAGAGAGAGAGAGAGAGAGAGCGCATTCCATTCCAATCATCTATCTCTGGGATTTCCGTGTGTAGATGGGATGCAGAGAATTCTCAGCTCGGTTTGGCGACTCTTAAGCGATGGTGATGGGTTTCCGTGTGTGTCAGACATTTGCTACAAGCACCAAGTAACTGCACCATGTGTTTTACAGCAAATACTTTGAAGCGGAGCAGACTGTGTATTTTTGTATAATCTGTATATTCTGTCCTTCTGATGAGACGTTAAACCGAGGTCCCGTCTGTACCTGTTCAGGTGGATGTTAAAGATCCCGCGGGGCTACTGGGAAAGAGAAGGGAGCCTCTCTCTCTCTCTCTCTTTCTCCCGGTGTTCTAGACAACAAATCCCTCCAATATCCAAAAATTAGTCACTTCAATCCACGACTGTTTGTGGGACGCTGCTGTGCGCAATTGGCCACCGCGTTTCGCCCACAAAAATACACAGTCACTACTTTACAGTGTATCCTAAAGCGCTTTATAATAATAATAATAATAATCCTTGCATTTGATATAGCGCTTTTCACGTCGGGAGGACGTCCCAAAGCGCTTCACAGAACCCACTGTAAAGTGAATTGACTGTATATTTGTGGGCGAACGCGGCAGCCAATTGCGCACAGCAATGTCCCACAAACAGTCGTAGATAGAAAATGACCAATTTATTATTGTTTTTGGTTTTGGAGGGATTATTATTAAAGCGCTTTGAGACGGCTCTCAACGATGTGATAAGGCGCTGTATCAAATACAAGGATTATTATAATATTATTTAATATTATTTAATAGGCAAACGCACCAGTTAATGAACAATATCCCCAAAATAGCCGTGAAGTGAATGAATATTTTGGGGGTGGGGGTGGAGGCGGACGATTGTTGGCTGGGACACTGCGAGAGAGAAACTCCTTCCTCTTTGCGATGCGCCAGGGGACTAGTCAGAGCTCTGGGTCGTCCTCCTGACGTGAAAGGCGGTAACTGCAATACTACATTACAAACACCTCACGAGGTTGGCAGACACAAACAGACTAGGGGATAATTCAGGTTCTTCCTGTTTTGACTACGCATCACAGCTGCTCAGTCAGGCCAGCAACCAGGGCCTCGGGTGCGAAGCTCAGCAACAGGAACAACAACATAAACTGCATTTGTTTTTTGCCCGGCCGGGTGTCAGACACACGCAGAAACCCATCACCGGAGCTTAAGAGTCTCCACACCAAACTGAGAATTCCCTGCATCCCACCCACACACGGAAATCCCAGAGAGAGATTGTTGGAATGGAATACGCTCTCTCTCTCCCTGGAGGGATGCATCCTGTTTACCTAATTCTGGAGAGTATTAGGCGCAGGTTGGCAAGAGCCAAGGCTTGGGGGGAGCCCAGAGTGGGCGTTGGGGTAACTGCTGGAGTCTAAGCAGCTAAAACCATATAGCTTGCCATTGAGAGCGCTGTCTGGTAAGCTTTCCCGCTGCTTGTCCAGCGAGGACCCCCCCTCCCCAAGTTAGGGCTTTGGCTGCAGGGTATACAGTGCCTTTCACATCAGGAGGACCTCCCAAGGCACTGGAGACGCACAAGAAACCTACACGTGTGGCTGAACTTGGGAAGTGCACGACGAGTTGACTCAGGGCTGTGCACCACCCACAGCCGACGTCAAACGTTGCACATCTGGAAGAAACCACGGGAAGGAAACACTACTTCAGTGAATGAGTCGTCAGCTTATACAACAGGCTCCCCAGAGAGGCAGACGGTGGAAGCAGAAAGTGTTGTTTGTTTCAAGAACAAGTTTGGTAGATCTCTGTTAGGAGATAATATCTGGGGGGGTGGGGGGTTACAGTGCATAGTTTTGGGACATAACATGCCAAGCGACTGCCAGGATGGCGGTGGACAAACTGGAAAGGTCTTGGTTTCTTTTGCCAAGCAAATTCTTATGTTCTTATGCATTTTTTTCCCCCAATCCGAGGCTACCTACCCCCACCCTCCCCACCCCACCCACACACACTCCCTTGTGTCGATCACGAGACAGACAGCCACACTGCCACTAATCTGCCATCCAACTGTTTTGGGTTCCAAATTTCGCCAAAGTTTCTTAGGCTGTTTTGCAGCAAAAAAACAGCAAAGGCTGGTTCCTCTGTAAATGCTAAACCACATTGGAGTTCACAAGCAGCTGTGAGGCTTCCAGATCGCTTTAATGAGCTGCCAACTGCACCACATTCAGTTCCTCCCAAGCTCTCTCTCTCTCTCTCCCTCTCGCTCCTCTCCTTTCTCCCCACCCCTTCCCTTCCTCCCCTCCCCAGAGCACAGCAACTCTAATCCAGGACCACGTCTGAGCATTTATTCCCTTCTGTGATCAAGACGGATTGCACCACCCAGAGCACAATCCCAATCCAATTAGCTATTGGATCCCAACCAGAGCAGGGCGCACATCTGGAGCACACCCACGAGCCTGATCTCATTCGGTAAACATCTGGATCACAACCAGAGCAGGATCTTACTCTGACACCATACGGTTCGGGGTATTTATAATAAATAATAATCCTGGCATTTGATACAGCACCTTATCACGTCTTTGAGACGTCTCAAAGTGCTTCACAGGATGCACTGTAAAGTGTAGTGACCGGGTATTTTGTCGGCAAAACACGGCAGCCAATTGTGCACAGCAGCGTCCCACAAAACAGTCTTGGATTGAAGTGACCAAATTATTATTATTGTCTCCCTCCTTCCCTCCCGCCTATATATTATATAATGCGCCCACAAAACACACAGTCACTCCACTTTACAATACATTGTGTGAAGCGCTTTGAGACGTCTCAACTACAAGATAAAGTGCTTTGTCAAATGCAAATATTATTATTATTCTCACTTCCTCTCCCCACAAAAAATAATCCCAGGATGAACAAATACACATCAATGTATATCCTTCCTTGGGGGTTATTGGGCGGGATGGGGGGAGGGGGGGGGTGGTGTCACCCTGGCCAACAATTCCCCCCCGCACCGCGCCCGCCACCAAATGAAATGGTTCACTCACTCCATGGCTGTTTGTAGGACATTCGGTGGGCGTAAAATTGATGACAGCGATCGTCCACCAAAATACACAGTCACTACACTTTCTAGAAAACTCTGAAGTGCTCATTCGATGCTACGTTACCCACGTGACCCCCACCAACCCACTCTGCCAACTGAAGACCCAGAGATGCCAACAAGGGCTCTGGGTTTACAGGCCCCCAGACCACCCCCCCCACCCCCGCACCGCCCAACCCCAACCACCAGAGAGAGACAGCAATGCGGATCAGAAGGCTGGACACTTACCCGTGTCATTGGCACCCAGTGTAGGAGCCGCTGCAGGGGAGGAAGACAAGACAAAGCCCATTACTGCAAGCGCAGGAGCAACAGACAAAGGTAAGCAGTTTACACCACAACCCCGGGGAAACACAGCCACTCAGCACCGCAACCCCACCAGTACACGCACACACTGCACACCGCGCACACACACTGCACACCGCGCACACACACTGCACACCGCGCACACTGCACGCACGCACACCGCGCACACACACACTGCACACCGCGCACACTGCACGCACACACCCTACACACCCCCTGCACAACCCTACACACACACTGCACGCACACACCCTACACACCCCCTGCACAACCCTACACACACACACTGTGCGTACGCACACTGCACGCATATACACGCTGCACGCGCACACTGCACACGCACATACACACTGCACACGCACACATTGCACACGCACTGTACACACCCACACCCCCTGCACAACCCTACACACACCCCGCACACCTCCTGCACTACACACACAGTGTACACAAACACAGAGTATACGAGTATACACACGCGCGCACACACAGTAGACACAGATATGCACACGCACGTGTACACGCTCACAAACACATGCGCACACACGCAAACAAACATGCGGGAACGCACAAGCGCACACACACGCGCGCACACACACACAACAGGTTTAAACAGTCCGAGCAGATTAAGCAGCTAAAGCACAAGAGGCAGAAGCTCACACCCACATTTGAATAAAAAGAACAGATTAATTTTTAATTTTTTTTAAAGTTTAAAAAAAAGCAGCGACAAGATAAACTCCAACACTAGCATCTCCTTTAAATACCGCAGCGTCAAACGGGGAAAGCAAGTGCTGGTGACAGCAGAGCGGGCAGCAGAGAAGGGTTTTAAAAGGTATGTTGAGACTCAAATCTCCTTCGAGGTGTAAAACCCAGCGGGTAGTGCACAGTCAGCAACTTCACAACCATTCGAAAGAAAAAACAAATGGGTAAAAGGGCTTTAGTGGCATTTTGGTCTCCGCATCTACGACACTTCTTCTGCCCCTTCAATAATAATAATCCTTGTAATTGATACCGCGCCTTATCGCGTCTTCCAGACGTCTCAAAGCGCTTCACTGGAGTGCAGTGACTGTGCGTTTTGTGGGCCAAACGCGGCAGCTGATTGCACCCAGCGACGTCCCTACAAACAGTCGTGGATTGAAGCAACCAAGTTATTACTCTTACTTTTTCCTTAAATAATAATAATAATCCTTGCATTTGATCCAGCGCCTTTCGAATCACATCAGGTGGAGGTCAAGAAGGCTGTGAAGCGTAGTGACTGGACTCTGTAAACGAATGCGACGGCCTAGGAATGCCCCTCAAACAGCCGCAAGACACGAGCGAAAAGATTTTATTATTTTATCGGGGGGCGTGGGGGGGGGGAGGGCTTGTCGGCGAGAGAGAGAGAGAAATTCCCTTTTCTTTTCCAACAGCGTCACAGGGTATTCAACGTCCACCTGACAGACACCTATGTGACCCTCGGTTTAACATCTTAGACTCCACAAGCTCAAAGTCTCGACGTGGGTGGGGGGATCGAACCCACAACCTGCTGACTCAGAAGTGAGAGGGGCTACAACTGCACCAGACTGAGAGTTTGAGAGCTCACCCGGAGCTCAACGCAATTTAGATCCACACAGAATCCACAGCCTTTTGGGGGAGAGAGTTCCAGATCCCCACCGGCCTTTGGGTGAAAACCTGCCCCTGATTTCACTCCTCAATGGCGCGGCTCTAATTTTAAGATGATCCCCGTGTTCTGGATTCCCCACCAGAGGAAACAGTTTCTCTGTAGCTGCTCTATCCAATCCCTTTATTATGTTAAACACCTCAATCAGATCACCGTCAACCTTTTCAACTCGAGGGAAGACAGACCAAGTTGACGCAACTTGTCCTCGTAATTTAACCCTTTAAGCCCCAGTTGCTGCGAGACGCTTAAGCTTACAGAATGTAGTAATAATCCTTGGCTTGACGCAGCGCCTGTCACAAGCCTGGAAGACGTCTCAAAGCACTTCACAGGCTTTATTGTGAAGGGTGCGTTTTGTGGGTGAAACGCGGCAGCCAAGTATAGCAATACTGGTTCAGGCCGGGAGCATTTTATTGTACACACACCCCATTTACTGTATGTTCTGTACACACTTGGTTGCCAGGCCAACAGGTTGGAATTAAAGCCTCATCTGTCTGCTTAAGAGATGATTGTTTTGGAGACTTCAGGCCAGAATAATGTAGGGCTTTATCCCATACATTCACCAACTACAGTGAGGGGCGTGGGGGGGAGGTGGGGGGAGCAAAGGAAAGAGTGAGATGAAGACAGATAGCTCTGATGGCAAATTCAGTGCAAATAGGGAATTTTTTTTCCAATATAACGATCCTTCTATTTGATATAGCATCTTAACACATCTTTGTGACGTCTCAAAGCGCTTCACCAGGTTTTCCGCGTAATGGTTGTATTTAGTGAGTGAAAGCAGCAGCTATTTCGGCACAGCAATATAATAATAATAATAATCCTTGCATTTGATATAGTGCTTTTCACGTCGGGAGGATGTCCCAAAGCGCTTCACAGAACACACTGTAAAGTGAATTGACTGTATATTTGTGGGCGAACGCGGCAGCCAATTGCGCACAGCAATGTCCCACAAACAGTCGTAGATTGAAAATGACCAATTTATTATTGTTTTTGGTTTTGGAGGATTATTATTAGGCTCTGTGTGGAGTAAGGAAACTTGCCCAAGGTTTCGCCCTCTGCCTGGAATTGAACTCAGGTCTCTCACTTGCAAAGCGAGTGCTCTAACCACTGAGCAATGTCCTCAACAAACAGCCACGATCAATTGTTGACCAGGACACGGGGAGAGAGAAAAACCCTTTGCTTTGCAAACAGCACCCAAATTAGGTCACGGCAGGACCCGGGTTCAATACCTCAACGATTGTTTGAGAACCACTGGCCAAGACTATGTAAGTAGTTGTGGAGTCCTGTAACTCAGTGGTTAGAACACTCCCCTCGCCAGCGAGAGGACCCGGGCTCGATCCCCGGGCAGGGCGAGACCTTAGGCAAGTTTCCTTACTCCACGCACCTCTGTTTACCAGCAGTAAGTACGAACCTGGTTGTTAGTTGATTGGCGGATCACTTTTCAGGGGTAATAATCCCTTCCAATAAATATACATATATAATATAATTGGGTCACTCAATCCACGACTGTTTGTAGGACGCCGCTGTGTGCAATTGGTTGCCATATATCGCCCACAAAATAGTCAATTCACGTTACAGTATATGCTGTGAAGCGCTTTGAGACGTCTTGATATAAGGCTCTATATCAAATGCAAGGATTATTATTATTATTGTTGGTATAATAAAACCCTGACTTGTCACTTGAACCACAACCTTCTGACTCAGAGGCCTATATACATATAACACTATTTAACACATCGACGTGTAGACAATTCTCCTCTTCTCTCATGACCTCACATGCCCCAAACCCCCTCTTCCCCCTTCTCTCCCCATCTCAAGGAAATCCATCGCTTTCCAATGCACCGACCACCTTTGTTTAAGCAGGCAATTGAAAGAGTGAGAAGCGCGAGAGAAAGAGGCGAGAACAAAAGGAAAAAAACAAGACGAATAAAAGGGAGAAATAGAAAAGAAAGCTTTCAAACTGCAGAATGGAATTACTCATGTGTGGTTTGATGTGCAGTTTGATACCACATTGATGAATCTCTTTCTTTTTTGGGGGGTTGGGGTGGAGGAGGAAACTTGTGCGGGTGGAGCATAAAACTAATGTCAATCTCAAGATTCAGATTAAAGAAGGGATGAACGACAGCAACTCTGATCCTGACCGGGCATTAAGTACATAAGAATTTGCTGGACAAAAGGTCCATCCAGTTCACCTTCCACCATCCTGGCAGTCGCTTGCGCATGTTGTGTCTCAAACTATACACCGTCTCCCCCAGATATTATTTCCTTAAAGAAATCTATCTCATTTGCTTTTGAAAAAAATCAACACTTTCTGTTTCCACGGTCTCTCTCCCTGGGGAACCTTTTTCCACAAGTCGATGACTCGCTCGCTGAAGTAGTGTAACCGCTGATTTATTCTGAATTTACCCCCCATTCAATCGCAGGCCGTGTCCTCTGGTTCTACTGTTCAGTACAAGATAAAACAGCTTAGTTTTGTTTTACATCAGATCCCCTTCGAATCTTATTAGCTTTGGGATGGAGATCCCGAAAAGTGGTGGCGGGGGTCAAAGAGCGGAATGGCTGAAAGTTCGCTCACCAGATACATATTTGACCCGTCCCTACACACACACACATAGATTCTCTCCTTCTCTCACTTCCCCCCTCCCCACAAGGGCGTCCCTTTGCAAACTGACCCAGGGCTTTGTCCCCACCCTGGTGGGGAGCTCATTGTGAGCGCGGCAAACGTAAGCAGATGATTCACAGCAGCCAACCTTGGATTGAAATGACTGAAGAGTTTTGTTTCGCCTTTGTCGCTCAGCAACTTGGGTCAATGACATCTCCCATCTCCCACTTTCCCTCCCATTTACAATGAACATCATTCACATAGTTAAGGGTTCTACCCCTCTCTCTTTCTCTCTCTCTCTTTCTCTCTCACCCCCCACCTCAATTTCTCCACGCAAGCATTAACTAGAAGGACAAAGGACGATTCTTCAGAAAAACATCCACGGTTAAGACGTCGATTTCATACTCATTACCCGAATGACACCACAGTCAGGGGGTGATTAACAGCGCCCGGGCTGCTAAACGGGTAACGTCACAAGACCCGGCTCCTTTAATCTTCTATAAAACGATAATGTTTGTCTGTGTGTGCACTTCAAGAAAGATCGCAATAACCGATTGACGTAGAGACATGATTTACACCTCATCGGAAAGGTCTTACGTCTGGGAGCGACATGGGCATATTTGGTTTCGGGTATCTCCTATCGTTCATGAGTTATGACCTAAAATGTATTTCAGTTTTGTGTTTTTTGCTGCAGTTACACCTGATGGCCATCAAGTCAAACTATCAT